TATAAATAAGTTAATATAAATATTAAATAATTAGTTATAATTAAAAGTAATTTTATATAATAAAATTAAAAAATAATATATATTAAAACTTATAATTATTTTTATTTTATTTTTTTTTAATTAAAAAAAGAAATTCTTTTTTTTTTATATTTATTTTTTAGCTTAGTTAATTAACTAAATTATACTTTTTTAATATATCTTTTTATTACCTAATTCTATTAGTAATTAAGATTAGTTTTTTTAAACCTAACTCCTTTATTTATATACTACTATCCCTTTTTAGCTTTTTACTATAAGTAGGTTTCTAGCTAATTATGTGTACTATAATCTCCACTTAAATCACAACATCAGAGGCTGATATGTGACGAGGTGGGGGGGTTGGTTAGTGGGCAGGTACGAATTACACCCACTGTAATTTGTACTTAAGTATCACACAAGGACGAGTTGCCAGCAAAAGTGAAAGCGCATTCTATTGCCCTAGGTACTAACCTATGTCGGTTGCTATGTGTTAACCAACCTGATCTATCATTCTCCATTCTCTCATACTAGGTAGGTCCCCGCCCTCGTCCAGTACCTATCCCCTGCTCTTTGCTTTTCACCACAATCCATCCACCCCTTGCATCCATCGTCCATCGTCCATCGTATCTCGCCTTTGCTGCTCTCAACCCAGCTCCATCTACGTCATGCCGTTGACCCCCGTCGCCACGGCGGCCCTGCGTCGATCCGCCCCCTCTGCTGCATCAATGACCAGCCCAAGCGGTCCTGCAGCCCTCGTCGCCGCTGCTGCCGCCGCTGCTGCCGCACCCCTCCCCCTCCCCGTGCCCCCCGTGCCCGGTCGGCTGACGCTTCGCCAACCCCGGCCCTTCTCCGCGTGGTCAACCCCGCGCCCTCGTCACCGCTACCGAGCCAATGCCCACGCCGCCTTTTCCACATCTACCTCACGCCACGCCAAGAACCAAGTCTTTTCCCCGTACGTCTATCTCTGTCTATCCTGTCTATCCTAGTTACTTTGCCTCGTGCGCTTGCCTCTCGAATGATGCCTTCCTGCCCCCTTGTCTCCTTGGCCCCCCTTTCTTTCTATCCTCCTTCTCATCTGACCAAGCCGCCCCCTGTCCAGAATCCGCAACAATGACACATTCCAAACCCATCTCGCCCTCTCTTCGTCCTCGCGCACGCCCCTCCTGACCCTCTGGACCGCGTCTTGGTGCCCAACCTGCCGTAACGTCGAGCCCCTCATCCGCTCCCTCGTCGAGTCTGGCGTTGGCGAGCCCCAGGGCGGCGTCGCCTTTGCGCCAGTCGAGTTTGACAGTCCCGACATCATGTCTGCCGGCGCCGAGGGCCTCGCCATGACCTACATGATTACATCTATACCCACTCTGCTCAGCTTCGACGCCGGTGAGGCTCAGACTACCACCAAGATGACTGATGCCAGACGTCTGGCTGATAAAGACCTCCTGACCCAATGGATTCAAAATGAAGCCCGACGTCATGGCGGCCGTGGCGGCGGCGGCTCCTCCGGTCTCTCTTTCGGAGGCTTATTCCGCCCCTCCACGTAGATGGACGGCTCGAGGCCGCTAGTCAATATAGTTGGTGTAGTGGCCCTCCATCGCAGTAATGTCTAGTTTCAGTGGACAGCTTAATTAAAATAGCTCTCTAGTACTGTTGTACTTCTATATACAAATTACATACAATCCATTAGTTATGGCACACATCACGCAGGCGGCGCCTGAGTAACTATGAATTTACCTGGCCGAAGCCTTAATGGACCTATCTACGATTGAAATTCGATAACGCTTTCTTGACACCAGCACTCAATTTTTAGTAACCCGCATTCGAACGAATCAGTTCATTCGAGCATGCCCAGCGCCCAGCATACTAGCACCGTGGCCATGAAAGAACCCTGTCAACCGTCACCCATATCAGCCCTGGCCAAACTTTCGTTCAACCAAGCTTAAATCGCCATCGACGCTCCTATCCAGCGCCGGTCTGGCAATGAAAGCTAGCCGCACCCTTCAACGTCGCCAAACAGCCCAGCGTTTCTACCGGCTTTTTTGTTGCTTCAGAATCGCCCAAACACGGCATCTTGATCTTGTCGATGAATCTCGTGAAATTCTACGCCTTAATATAATCTGGTTGAAAAAACTAATCCCGAGGGTGAGTGCGTGCACGCCCACGCCCCATTCGGCGCCGGTGTGGAGGTCCCCGGCCGCGCGGGGTGAGGACGGCGACACCGTGGGCAGTTGCCGGCCTCATAAACGGCGAGCAACTCTGGCGACGGCTCACGCACGTACGCTTCTGTAGGCCGGCAGCACAATTTTCGACCGCGTCAGGACGGTCAGGAATAGCCGTGTGCGTCGACAAGTATAGTTTCATGGCGACTGATGCGCGGGGAAAGTAGTGTACGGGGACCTCGTCAGGCGTGACGGACGTATTCGGCGAAATAATTACTTGGCGCAACAAAATAAAAAGTACACTGCAACGGTACTGACAAATAGTATATATACAAAGGGGGGGCCTATGGCGATTTTGTGCAAAAGGACACACGACCTCATGATGTGTGTATACTAGCGAGGTCCCGCGCAGACGATCGCGTGGTCCACGATGATGGCGCCAGGTAATCGGAGGAATAGACATAGCAACGACCTCATCAGGTGTATATGCTAGCGGCGTCCGGCGGGTAGGATCGCGTAGCTAAGTGAGCCAGGCGGGTGGTCCACGATGGTTGCGCCAAGCCATCGAAGGAACAGTACCTTCACACATCATAGCAGATGCCCTCGTGCTCCGCGGTCTACCATGTATTTGCAAAAGCGCACGCAAGCAAACAAGAATAAGAAAAGCTACGCATATAATGTACAATATTCCATGTAAAAGAGCGTCATGTTCGTGTCCATGAGTTTCTCTCCCGCGATATACGGTATACTCGGCGCCATGCGTTTCGCCCTGTCCCTATTCGCCGCGGTGCCGCCCGCCGCGTCCGGCGCCGGCACGCACTTTCTCAACCACACCGCCCTGCTGTCTGGCGTCGAGGACCCGGCGTGGTTCAGCGCCAACGTGCCGCTGGTGGAGCTGCCCAGCGCCGACCTCCAGGCCGTGTACTACTACCGCTGGTCCACGTACCGGGAGCACCTCGCGTACACGGGCGCGCCGCACGGGTACCTCGCGACCGAGTTCCTGCACGCGGCGTCGTACGGCGCGCCATTTGGCGGCATCGTCGCCGCCGCCGGCCACCACATCACCGAGGGCCGCTGGCTGCGGGACCCGCGCTACGGCCGGGACCTGGTCGACTACTGGCTGGCCGGGCCGGGCCAGCGGCCCAAGCCCGCGACCGAGGCGCTCAACAAGGACACGCGCGACTGGGCGCACCAGTACAGCTTCTGGGCCGCCAGCGCCGTCTGGCGCCGCTACCTCGTCACCGGCGACCGCAACGCCACAACCGCCCAGCTCGCCAACCTCGTCGCCCAGTACCGCGGCTGGGACGACCACTTCAGCCCGGACCTCGGCCTGTACTGGCAGGTGCCCGTATGGGACGCCACCGAGTACACCGCCGCGTCGTACGCGTCCCCCGGCGGGGACCCGTACCACGGCGGCGCCGGCTTCCGCCCCACCATCAACGCCTACCAGTACGGCGACGCGCGCGCCATCGCCGCCATCGCCGGCCTGGCCGGCGCGCCCGCCCTGCAGCGGGACTACGAGCAGCGCGCCGCGTCTCTGCAGGAGGCGCTCCAGCGCCACCTGTGGCACGCCGACAAGGCCTTCTACATGCACCGCGACCGCGACTTTGGCCGCGCGCTGCTGGACGACCGCGAAATCATGGGATTCCTGCCGTGGATGTTTGGCGTGCCCGTCGCCAACGCCTCGGCGGCACCCTTTCGGCAGCTGCTGGACCCGGACGGGTTCCTGGCGCCGTTTGGGCCGACCACGCTGGAGCGGCGCAGCCGCTGGTACATGCACGAGGCTGATGGCTGCTGCCGCTGGGACGGCCCGTCGTGGCCGTTTGCCACGGCGCAGACGCTCGCCGCCGTCGAGACGCTGCTGCACGAGTACCCCCGCCAGGAGGCCATCACGCCCGCCGATTACGTGCGTCTGCTTGAGACGTACGCCCGCACGCTGCACAAGAACGGCGCGCCGTACGTGGCCGAGGCGCACCACCCCACCGAGGACCGCTGGCTGTACGACGGCCGCGACCACAGCGAGGACTACAACCACTCGACGTTTGTGGACAATGTGCTGGCGGGCCTGCTGGGGCTCCGCGGCCGGCCTGACGACGCGCTGACGGTGCGCCCGCTGGTTCCCCCGTCCTGGCCGTACTTTGCCGTCGAGAACTTGACGTACCACGGGCGCCGCGTGACGGTGCTCTGGGACGCGACAGGCACCCGATACAACCAGGGAAGGGGCCTCACCGTGTTCGTGGACGGGGTCGTGGCCGCCCGGCGCGACACCCTGGGCGGCGACGGCGGCCTGACCGTCCCCGTGAAACCGGGCATTCCCGTGCCGGCCCCCCACAAGGTCAACATTGCCGCCAACAGCCAGGACGACCCGCTGCTGTCCCGGGCCTTTGCCTCGTACACGTCGCCATTTGACGGCGCGATGCGCGCCATTGACGGCAGCGTGTGGCGGACGGCGGTCCCGTCCAACAGCCGGTGGACGTCCTATCAGAGCCCGCACGCGAGCGACCACATGGGGGTGGACCTGCGCCGCGCGCAGTCCGTATGCGACGTGCGGCTGTACTTTTACGACGACGGCGACGGCGTGCGCATCCCCTCTCGCTACGACCTGCAGTACTGGCGGCCCGACGGGTGGGCGACGGTGCCGGGCCAGAAGCGCAGCAAGGCGCCGACAGCGTCCAACGAGGAGATCCGGGTGACGTTTCCGGCCCTCGTGACGTCGCAGCTGCGCGTCGTCGCGCCGAACCCATCGCCCGGTCGCGGCTGGGGCCTGTCCGAGATGGAGGTGTGGACGGCGCCCGTGTTTCACCTGCGCAACGAGCACAGCGGGAAGCTCATGGGCGTGGACCGCATGTCGACGGCGGCGGGCGCGCGTGTACAGCAGTACGACGACAACGGCACGCGCGATCACCACTGGCAGTTTGTGCCGGCGGGCGGGGGCTGGAGCGCCATCGAGAACCTCAACAGCGGCCTCGTGCTCGCGGTCGACTCGGATGAAAACAGCGCCGGTCTGGTGCAGAAGGACAATGACGGCACCTCGCACCAGCTGTGGAAGGTCGAGTTTGAAGGGAGCGGCCTGTTTTTGATCAGGAATAAGGGAAGCAACAAGGTGGCGGGTGTTGATGGCATGTCGACAAGCAATAGCGCCAATGTTGTGCAGTACGACGACAATGGGACAAAGGACCACTTGTGGAGTATCCTGCCTGCTGCGGTTGAGGGGTGCTATAGTTGACAATTGGCGTCAAGGTTCACACTTTATATGTTAGTAGTAGTCAGACTCAAAATGCACATGGAATGCAGCAATGCTTTCAAGGTTATCCCCAAGGGGGCCGATTGCAGCTCATTCAGAGCTTGTTCCAGCCTTGGGAGCGCTCCAAAAAGATCACATCCACCCAAGGTCGGGGAGGGATAGATATCGGTGCCAAAGTAGTAATAGTTATGATGCTATTAGTATGGACTTGACATAGCGTGGATATTGTCCTCTTCACCTTGCAGCACCGCCGTGGTTTAATAAGCTCAGACGGCCATCTCTTCGCTATGAGCCGCTCCTCTAGTATTGTTGACGGCAAAAACACGACGGAACACTGCATGGACTGGAATCCAGTAATTTTGGTTTGCCTCTTTGTTGTTGTTTTTCTTGTTATTTTCCTTGTGTATACTCCGATAAATCAGCATGAAGAAAATTGTCATGTAGCAATCGAGAGAACCCTATATCCGCCTGCCCCTCCCCAAAGAGTCTATACAGACGAATCGTTTCAAAACAACAGCAATAAAAAAATGTACGAAACGTCATTTATAATCTCCCTTCTTCCATTTCATTCCGTGTACGGGCTCGTGACAATTGCACAACTAGAAAAGTGTGATCTTTTTTGGGTTGTTGGTTTGCTTTTCTTTACTCCTTGGAGGTGCCACGGGCGCCGGCGGGCTGACCCGTCTGGAAGCCGTTCTTGAAGCGGCGGGAGACGTCCTTGAGGTAGCGCGTGCGGCCAGTGCCGACGGTCTTTCTGCGCTTGGCCTTTTCACTCCAGTTGTCTGCAGCACACATAATGTTAGCCAAATTCTCACCTCGCGAACGCGCTTTAGGGGGCACGGGGCGCTTGCGGAAGAAGGCATGGGCGAGACAATTCAATACGTACACTTGCGAATCTTGGCGCTGGGGTAGCCGCAGGCAGCGCACTCCTTCTTCTGGGCGGAGAGAGAGCGGCGACCTAGAAGAAGCAGGGCAAGATTAGCATTCGAAATTGTCCACGTGCGGGCCCGAGCAAGGCAACGGGGCTGGTGTATTTCAAAGGACGATGTTTCTCTCGACAAGTCGTTTCGGGTTCCGGGGCGTCGCTGGTCCGGTCGAGCTCTTGCGTAAGAAGAACCCCCGCCTCTGGAAAGAAATCGGTCTTCCAGTCGCGTGAAACAAGGGAGGAAACAACCCGCCCACAGCAGCGTGAAGGGCCGAGTTTCTCCCAACGGCACATGGGTGAGGATAGCTTGACCAGAAATCGAGACGCCGCGAAATGGCACCGTCCCCGCTTGTCGCTCGATCCGAGAGTCATGTCTTCGTCGCGATTGAAACCCGTAAAGAGGTCTCAGTAGGGTAGTAAAGGGCAAAAAACTAACCGCATCGTCGGCACAGAACGTGCGACTTGTTGTGGCGTTTACCGAAACTGGAGGTACCCTTGGCTATAACGAACAAGTTAGTCTCAAAAGAACAGTCCTGGCTTCCTCCAATTCTCTGCTCCAAGAGAAACAACTGCACGGCATATTCGCGAGAAAGAGAAGAAAATCGACGAGAGCCATCTTCGCCAACCTGGCATGTCACGGATCGATCGTCGTGTGTTCTGCGTGCGCTCTGGAGCTGCGTCGTCGTTGCGTGCAACTTGGCCTCCGGAATATTTTTTGGCCTCTTCTCCGTCGGAATGAAGAAATGTTGCGGTACAGCTCGTATTTGGTTTGGACCTGACTTCCGCCTTCACTGTCTCATGTATGCAATCCCCCAACATCGCGAGTGCGGTACAGAACATAGGAGGGGGTGCAGGATTCCTCTCTCGTCGATTTTCTTCTTCGTTTCAAGCATGCTCACAGCGCGGTCGCCTCCCAAATGGAATTAAATCAGAACGTACTCATCTTGTCGGTGTTGCTGCGGTCGTTGGTGGAATGGGTGCGAACTGCAAATTTGAGTCGGTTAAGAGGGCGTCGAGAGTGTAGAGGCCTTTTTTCGGTCGATGGCGGTGGAAAGGAAGAGTGGAGTCGCTCGCCCACAAAAGCTGGCCAAAATTGCGTGTCCAAGCGGTGGGCGAGCCCTAACGTCGGAGCTGCGAGCTACCCGGCCCGCCAATGTTCACCAGTTTCACGTGACTTTACCCTTCCATGTAGGCTAGACCAAGTTGGGCACCTCCATAATTGTTCAACACGTTTAACTACGTTACTCATCCAGAGTGCAGTGGATCAATGCGAAAACGGCTCTATTCAGTCAGACACATGGAGGAGGAGAACCGTTGCAAATTAGATATGCCCATATGCATCGTACGCTATCCAAAAACCAATTATCCCAAAACAATACACCCATACTCCGTCATAGCTATACAAAAAGAAATGCTCGTGTCCTCATCAGTCTTTGCTACGGACAAGTTTAACATCCAGATCAACATGCCATCTTACCAGCTCGACATGTCGCATCGGAGAGAGCGCCCGCGTCAGCGCCAATCGCTAGGCCCGAATATTTGGCCAGGCGCCGGATGCATAGTAATCGCTTTGCCGTGATGATCAAGCGTCTGCAAGGCTTCGGTGTTGCCCCACCACTGCGGTGCCACTGTCTTGGTCAAGTAGAGCGTGAAAAAGATGACGAGGGTGCAGACGATGAGGCCACAGTCAAGGGCTGCTGAGGTGATGTAGTTGTACTGGAGCCACCAGCCGGTGTAGCGACGCCTGATGAAAAAGCTGAAGATGGCGCCGACGATACCCCAGCAGAGGTAGATGTAGACGGTGGCCGGGGGGATCTGGCCCGCACCACCAAAGATGAGCGGGGTGTTAATGTACCGCAGGAAGGACTTGGGCCAGCGGCGGGCCAACAGCCAGGTGAGGATTGGCGTCACGGCGCCGATCAGCCAGAACCACTGGAGAGATGAGTAGATGGCGCCACCGCTGAAGATGCGGGCAGGACCAATGGCACCCCAGACAACAGAGGCCGTGTAGAAGACGCGGCCGCCAGGGCAGGTAAACCTGTCTTTCTGGTCGGGAGAGCAGACATCGGGAATGTTGTCGAGCGCCCAATTCATAAGCAGAATCTGGACAATGGCGGACCAGATGGAGGCAACGAGCTGCGAGGCAAACATGACACGGGGAGGGACCTTCATATAGTGGCCAAGCTTGAGATCCTGGGCAAAGTACAGAGCCTGCGACATGGAGATGTAGCCGTAATTCTTAAACATCATCATGGCGAGGGGGCGTCCCGGGACCATGTAGCCAATGATGAATTCTGTCAAGACGTTGAGGCCAAGCTGCATGTTAGTGATGGCCTGGACGAGACCGATGGGGATGAGCCAGACGATGGGCAGCAGCATGCACACGACAAATGCCCAGGCGGGGAAGCCGGTGTCCCAACCAGCGACAACACCAAAGGAGATGGCTATCATGACAACAAAGAGGGCGGCATACCACCAGTCTTCGGCGTCGCGGTACTTTTTCATGAGACGCATGTGGACGTCGTCTTCCTGATGACGGGCCATCTTGAATTGGTCCCAAATCTCGCGGCCATGATAAAGAGCAACATGGATCAGGACGGCGGAGACGGCGGCGAACGAGGTGCCGTAGGCAAGGGCGAACTGGGTGGGAAGGAAGAGTGGGGAGTATTGGTGATAGGCGGTCTCGTTGAAGTTGAAGTTGGCATCGAGAATGCGCGAGACGTTGTAGACTTTGCCCATGTTGTCAAAGGAGTCGCCGGCCTGGACAGGGAGGAAGTCGGAAAACCAGGTGCCGCTAAAGTGAATACCGCAGGAGAGGAAAATGAAGATGGCCAAGACGCCGAGGATGACGTTGAAGATGGCGTGGAAGGGTGGGATGAGAGGGGAACCGACGTAGCCGCTGACGACGGTCCAGTCAAAGGTGATGGGCATGAGACCATAACCGTGAATAGGGCCAAAAAGCTTGTTGACGACGACATTGTTGGGGGCAATCCAGCAGATCCAGGTAAAATAGGAGAGTCCCTGGAAGAGCCAGCCCGGGAACCAGTACCAGACAAAAGCCGAGGCGCCAATGATGAGGAAGAGGCGGTAGCGGCCGATGGACCAGCCGTTTGTCTTTGCAGGGTCAGAGGGGGAGTGGTCGTGCAGGCTGTAAAAGAGAGCACAGTTGACAAGATCAGCAGGCCAAATCATGGCGGCGGGCCATACGAGAAAGCGGCGGGCAAGGCCAGCGAGGCCGTAGCCGGTGCAGAGGGTGGTGATGCCAAACAGCATCTGAAAGGCCCAGCTAAAAGTCTGCTTGTAAAAGATGCGCTGGGTCAAGAGAACGTCTGTAGCGTACAGGACGCCGCCAGCGTATGAAGCCTACAACTTGGGCGTCAGTATTGGTCGAGGGTGATGAGGGGGGCGGACCATGTGGAAAATGGACTTGCAGTACATGTACTGGGTAGAAATACTCACATTGGACATGGCGACAATGACGACGTGCTCCTTGAAGTTGAACTTGCCGGGACGCAGGTTGAACTTGAGGCCGAAAAGATTCCAGACACGATCGGGCATGATGAGGTCCCAGCCGAGACCGATGGGGTAGGCGATGAGCTGGATAACATAGGTGTTGATGGTGATGGTGGGATCGCGGAGGGAGAAGAGCATGTTGATGCCGGAGCCGATGGTGCAGAGGACGAGGCCGATGACCCAGGCGCGGACGGTGTTGGCCGGGACGTCAACGTCGTAGTTGCGGACAACGGCGCGGACCTCGGGGTAGGGGCTGTTGTCCTCCATGAGGGCGTGCTCAATCTCGATGCCTTTTTCGGCGTTGCAGGTGGCTATGGCGGCGTCGAGGTCGTTGAGCTCATCGATGGGGAAGTTGGGGTCAAACTTGTGCATCTTTTCAAACTCGTGGAGGTGCTTGAGCTGCTCCATGCCGGCGACGTCGAGGTCGGCGGCGTAGGCGGGAATGGGCGTGATTTCCTCGGCCTCGTGCCGCTTGCGAAAGAGTCGGGACACCATGGCGGGGAGGACGGGGTGGTGCGAATCGCTTTGCGAGGGGAAGCTGGCTTGTCCTGCGCTTGCGCGCGCGGGGATTGCGTTGAATGTGCGCCTCGACGATGCGGGAGAAGGGTGGAAAAGTCGTGGGGAAGCAACAAGGACAGTGACTGATGAGGGGGGGGGATGTTGAATGTCCTCCGTACTTTGGCTGGGGAAACAAAGCGAGCCCGGGGTTCTGCGGGTTGATGGCACTGGGGTTCAGTGGACAGATGGGCAGCTGTGGGGGGCTCCTTTTGATGGCTCTTTTGATAAGCCCTGGCGCGCTTTTGATACCTAATTATTCAGGCGCAAAACTTTTGATAAGCAAGCAAGGACAAGGCAATTATCAGTGGTGGTGGTGAAGTGGCGCGTGGCGTCGCCGCCAAAGGACGCCTTCTTCTTGGCCGCCCGTTGCCGTCTGCCACCAACCTCTCCCTGGCTGCCATGCTTTGCATGTGTAGGTTAATAAGAGTCAAATTAATACACAGTAATTTGTACAGTCACTATTAATGCTTTGCTTTACCTGCTGGTCAAATTGCCACGATAAATTGCAACATGTCGCTTAACATTTGTTAGAGGCCCATCTTAATAAGCCGGCTCCGAGTCATGCGCTCGCCCTCTGCCACCCTACTCCGTAATCCGCCCTGACCCGACCTGCCCAACTGAGAGTAGCTGCAACAAATTCGTTTTGCTGGTTGCATACAAACACCACACCCTCTTCTTAACCACTTTTACACTCTCGACGAAGCCACTCCATTTGCCTCGCTCTCATCTCATTACTTGACATCCACATCGCTCGCAGGGCCCATCGACCCCTCGTACACTGTCCGTCGCCCCTGTGTCACTTGATGCCATTCCTCCGATGCCTGTACCGCCTCGGCGTACGCCTGCACCGTCGCCGGCAGCAGCTCTCGCCGCCCATTGTCCAGCAGCCGGATCATGAGAGCCGACGCATACGCGTCAAGAATCGTTGGCTGCCGCCCAAAAATCCACCGCGAGTCCTCGGTTCTGTGCTCCTCGATGATGCTCGCCAGTTCCGCCATCAGCGCAGACACGTGCCTCTCGACTTGCTCAATGTGTTCCGCCTCTATCGTCCTGCTATGTAGCGTGTCGTGACTGTCGCCCTGTCAGCTTCTCTTGCTTGCTTGCCGCGACGACCTCCGGGGAGAGTTGCCGTCGTTCGTCTGCAAATGACCTACAAAATGGATTTGATCTCGAGAGCCCGTCGGTGCGTTTCCGAAATGCTAGCATTCTCAAGCATGGCAGCGGCGACATTCGGTAAGCCGTTGGCCGCGGCTTCCGGCTGTATGCTGAGAGCCTTTAAATGAAACTTGTACAGCTTCTCCATCAACCCGTCGATCGTTTCCTTGTGCGCCGCAGGCACCAGCTCTGGCTGCTTGTCGCACAGCCACTTGGCGATTTGGTGGCTATCACTCAATCCCGACGGAAGCAGAGCCGACGTTAGAGTAGGCACCTGGTTTGAGCAACGGTGAGCAAATGATGCACTACTATATCCCCGCACTCTCACATCCACCGCCCTTGACGCTACTCGTCCTGCTACAACGGCGTCGACGTACCTGTCCTTTTGAATTGACCCTGGTGAGGTACTCCTCTCCCAGGTTCTCCTGCGCCGGAAGATTGACGAATTTCAACTGCACTTGCGGCGCATTGTCGCTGTTGAGCCGTCTCCCCAATCCAAGGGCGAACTGCACCATGAGCGAGTACAACGAAAAGGTAAAGTAGTGAAGCGTGTAGTCGGCCTCGGCGTCTGAGGATTTGTTTTCGCTCCCCATTGTATCGACGCAATCCATCAGTCCGGGGTGACAAAGGCGCAGGTATGTCGTCGCCACTAGATATCAACCGAGGCAAGCCCCTTGAGCGCAAGTCGCGATAGTTTTGCTGCAAGGCTCCGCGCAACTGGTGCACACGTATTCGTATCTTGTAGGGCGTTCTCTACTTTGCGTCCGATGCAGCATAGACGTTCCTTGCGTTCGCCCAGGTCCCGAGTTGCTTGTCCAAACAAATGTGTAAAAGTGTAAATCAGAATTTGGCTCCAGAACAAAAACAGAAACTCTATTGAAGTTAGTTAGGCCGGGACGGGCGGCCGACTCGCCTGAGGAACTAGCCCAAACTTGGATGAGGGTTGGGATGTGGTGACGCGCTAGTTGATTGAGTTTCCTTGGTTTTTTGGGCAACTTGTTTCCTTCTATTCTCCGGTTCGCCTCAACCGTCACAGCGAGATGTACCTGTTTCGAGGGCAGAGCTCAGGTCGCCCGCCCAGCTTGTTCCTTGTCGTTGTCCTTTTCGCGCGAGTGCCTCTGTTTTTCGCGCTATGAAAAAAGCAAAGAGTCCGGGGGAACAGAATCTGGCCTTAATCGATTGTATAAACTGTTGTGAAAACACGTCCACTGTTTATCGCAACGTGACTATATTCTAGTGCCAAGTGCGCTGTAGGGACGTACCGCGGCCGGCGCCCCGGCGCTATCCGCCAGCGGAAGCCGGCCACGGCCCCGCCACTGGCCTCAAAACGAGTACAAGACTTTTGCAGCCGCATATATCAAGATGATTGATATGTAAACCGTAATTTTTCGCTGGCGTCTTATTCAATTCTCGTCTGCTCAAAGAAATTGCCTGCGCTTCCAATAATTAGATCTGGCGCAACAAAGCCAGTCTTCGAATACGTTCCCTCCCGCCGGGGAGTCAACCAACCTGCTTTACTTGGTGAGTCTCGTGCAAGGACTCCAAGCACACTCGTATTGACAGTGCTTCATTCGTAAGCGCTTTTAAACTGACTTGGTAATTGAGTGGTGTGTGAGGGAGGAAACACCGCTATCAATCGAACTGCATGATCGCTTCCATTGATCTTGAGGGGTATAAAAAGCTTCGTTTTCTCAGCAAGCCATATATGCATGCAGGTTCCCGTCCTTCTAATTGAATAGAAAGTTTCGGATATCAGCGTGTCTCACTTGCAAACATTGCTGTAAGGCATCGCTATCGAGATATGTAAGTCAGCAACTCGGCCCATCAGCATGCATATACATGCTTGGCTGACACCATCCCCCCTGAAAGCTGTGAAAATGTCTTGTCAATCCCTACTTTCGTCAACCCCCTAGTTATGCCAAGTCACTGTCTGTCCAACTCAACTCAGCCCTCATAGGCCAGCAAGAGCAAGCCCATGTTTTGAGTACCAAGGGCTTGAACGGCGCTGTATTCGCCGGCCTATAACACGGATGCTGTGACACGATTTGCTAGTCTAGTGAAGGCAAGGCGAAATCGTCGTCAACACTGCCTCTCCTTTGAAGGCTGCGGACAGAGAAAAAGCCGCTGGTGAGAAGTTAGTCCTCATTCATATGCCTTGACCAAGAGTCCATCTAGTGGGACGGCATCTGGCGATGCAAGTCATGGCTGGGCGATTGACTAAGACGATCTTTTTTTTTTTTTTGACTTGAAAGATGATATACACTTACTTGTGACAACATGAGGGCGATTCCTACCAGTATCGCACCCCCGGTCTCCTTGTCGTTGAGCAACAAAACATCGCAGGCAACGTCACGTACCGCCTCATATCATACAACATCTACCTACGACATCTCCTTCAGCGAGACGGGTCATAATCCTTGACGCAGGGTCTCGGAACGTGTCCATGTCGACCGCCCCGAATCCAGACAGGATGCGGACGTCTTTAGTGGAGGAGTTACGCTTCGCATCGTTATTCTCGTGCACGTGGCACTCGCCAGCCCGCCAACTAAAGGGCTGGTGCCTTCCGGAACACTGGGTGATGGGAGTATTGAAGAAGGCTGGCCCTGGACGAGCAGGAAATCATCCACTAGGGCTTTGGTTCAATGAGTTTCAAGTACATGCAGCTACAGTCTTTTTAGAAAAGTAAACAGTCCCTTGGGCGATACCTGCTGGCTTGGCTTCCCTCCGTCAGGTCGGTCAACGGCACATGGCCCTTTGTGTAAGTGACGGTGTGGCCGTAGAGTACATGATACATTCCACTGAGGTGCTGAACTTGTTGCAGCAGTCAGATTCTACATACTACATATTGTTCCTCCAATATTCCACCTTTTGAGGAAACCAGATATGTGTGCAGTGGCTGGTCTCGTCTTACCCTTGACGCTGTGGTCCACGGGCAATCAGATTATGGTATCACTATTGTACGGATAGTTACAGTGTTATGTTTTTCTTTTTACTGGAGTTATCCTGGGATTATCTTGAGACATAGCTAATAATAGTGTCTTGGTGACTACCAGTTGCATTTGCGCAGTACAGAAGGCAGAAGCGATCTGGACATGCCCACCATTCCGATTTGGCTTCTTCTGGTAGCCTTTGCTAAGTCTTTGGGCTTTTTTACGATGACTTCGCTTTGTATTATATATGAGATAAATAGGGAATACGATGCGGTTCGTTTGACAGCTACAAGGCGTGTTCAGATGAGACAGACGGCTCTTCCGGAAGGGCTTGGCATGAGCCAAGGAAGTCGCGCCCATTTGCGGCACGCCCAACGTGGCATAATACATCTAGATGTCATGTCTGGAGTCGGTCTAGCAACTTGGCTTTTGGATGCCTGGTAAGGAAACAAGTTCGTTATGTATGGCGTCAGATGTCGAGGAAGGACGCGACAACTCAAATGAAGCTTACACAGCAAAGCCGTAATAAGACTTTGCTCCGAGTTCAATCAACCAGCAACTTTATTTCACTAAAGCCATACGATAATGAGTAGCGCTATGTTAGACACACTGCAAAGATAACAGCGCCAGATCAGAGTTCCGACTTGTCTTATTCACGATGTAGGGTACGTAACCAGTGAGGCAGAGTTGCGAACCCGTCAATCGTAGCCTAAGACAGCAGGGGGACTCAACCCTGCACCAATGACATGGGCGAAGGGGCAGGATGAGGAGAAGAGAAATTCAAAAAGGCGAGGAACTGTGAATTTCTGCGACCTTTACCAGTATACCCCATGTTCCTGCAGCAGTAACTAGCGAAGCCTCCGAATTGAGACGTGGAAATAACTAGAATAGAAAGGAGCGGGAACGTCAAGATGGCAGAGCACAGGTACCAATAATCGCAGGGAGGGGGTGGTTCCAGAGGAACTGGGCGTTAATATGATGGGCGGAAAAGCGGCTTTTTTGTTCCTTGTGCATATCCACATATGTGTATCCGTACGGATTTATTTAATATGTATGAAAATTCGGGATTTGATTTCTTCAATTTGAGGGGGCGCCATGGCACTGTGACCAGGTCCAGTCCGTTGAGTCAGGGTATGGGTGTAACTACAGGTATAGTCGCTGTGTCACTGTCTGGTTGGCACACCAATTTGTGAATGCATCGAGCACCCCCTTGCCGGTAACCTACCCCCCGGGTTTGTTCACAGGTACCTACAGTTGTCACTTATACATCAAGAGCTCATCTCTAAGCGCCTATAGAAAGCAGCTGCCAGGAAGCATAGATACGCCTTGAGAGAAATAGAAAGTCAGTATAGGTAGCCTAACATAATATAGTAAAGTAAAGTTTCTTCCTTATAATCCGGAGCCTCGACGGCGCAGCAAAAGTGCAGCGTGGTGGCTTGGGAGACCAGATCGCTGGTCGGCGCGGTGGGCATGAGTAGCTCGCTCCATGGCCTCGATGTTGAGGAAATTTTATCCATATTCATCCATATTACCATATTACATTACCCTGTGCATCAGACAACTACTAGCCGGTGAGTCACCCTTTGTCCTAGCAGTCAATTCGTCATGACTTTGCCGCCACAATCCCAACGTCTGTGGCACAGCCCTAAGAGTACCGAGTATAACAAAAAGCCTATTCCCCTGGCCCCTTGACCCTTCAACTGTGCTGAGGCCCCATCCAATACTCATATTTACATTTACCACAGGGAAATTTTCGCCCATGATGTACAACCGGTGTACTGAGGCCCCATTCAATACTCAAGTCACAAATATTCGGCCTCGCCCTCATATTTACAATTACCACGGGAGACTTTTCGCCCATGGTGAATTACACCGGTGTACTGAGGCACCATTCAATACTCCACTCACAAATATTCGGCCTCGCCCTCATATTTACCGTTACCACGGGAGATCTTTCGCCCATGATGTATTACAACCGGTGTACTGCGGCCCCATCCGATACTCAAGTCACAACTTGTTGTGCATTTAGTAACCACGGGGGCTCGTGCCAGTGATGATACCTGACCGAACCGGCGCAAGGCGTCGCGGTACTTGCTCTGAGGCACTGCAAGGTGAAATCTGGATATCTGCACTCCTTCGTTCGCGAGCCTCGTGAGTTTGGCTGCAGAAATCCAGTTGCCATACGCGAGATCTGGACCAGAATAAAAAGCTCTCAAGTGAAAGTACAGCCGTCCAAAGATGGGCCGACGGGTTACCTAGGTAGGTACCTACGCGGGTGAGGGGGGTTTCTTGACATTGGTTGTGCGCCCTATTGAGACTGCTAAAACGTCTTCAAATAGGTATAATCTGTTAGGTAGATGAGGAAATGCGGGCTGAAGTCGTGATGATGAACAATGAACGAATAAAGGTGTAAGTAATGCTGAGGGTAGTTACTTCCAGTAAGACGTGTTAGGTACCTGGAAGAGGTTAGCTGGGGGCGGGCGTAGTCGAATAGCGACACAGTGAATATAGTAATATCTCATTTTTCGAGTGTCAGATATATGGACGAGTTGGTTTTCCGCTTCCGCGTATTCTTTGAGTAAAGAGTCCAGCGTCCCCGCTGAGAGCATCATCCTGCGGCGTGCCGAGGTTCCAAGGTGGGAAGGGAAACAGCCTCCGTTGCTTTTAACTTGCTTTTAACTAGTGGCTGACTTGTTTGGGACCTTTTCCCCAGTTGGCGGATTTTCACTCTGGAATCTCCAACTAACATTGGCTGTACAGATGAACTGGTCCCTGTGGTGGCTCGCCGCTCCCTTGATCATTTATTATTAGTTATCCCTTCTCCACCTCCCGAACCAAGGAGGGCGCTTTCTTGCTTGCCGAGTTTGCGCACAGCCCGAGTGTCCGTGTAATATGAGCAAGACGGACGAAGCGACAAGTCAGATCCTCTTGCCGCTCGTCCCAACGGCCGCAGCATACCATTACGTAGCCGTCGTCGACAGCTTCGACGACCTTTGGGGCCTGCAAGAATCCGAAGTTGTTTCCCCCTTTTTTTCCCCTTCCGGAATAGCCGGGCCGAAAGCGCAGCGTGATATTCTAAGCAACTTGGTAGACGGGCGGGTTCGTGGGGAAAGAAAAGCCGCGCAAAAATTGAGTTTACGCCGCGGGGTTTGGTATGCCGGAGCCTGCTACGTGTGTTGGGGTCTTTTGTCTACGGCTGAGTACGAACACGGCGGTGCTGGTGTTTTTTCTTTTTTCTTTCAGTAATAAAATAGCTTATAATAGTCCATGAATCAACGCGCGGAACAGAGTAGCTACAAGCCGGTGCCCATGACCATGAATCAGAATCTACCCGTCTTCCCGGCTATCACTCTGTGCTACGGCGGGGCTCCGTGATACCATTGAACCTGGAATAGTGGAATAGTTATAATTTTATTCAAGAAGCTCGCTGGCGAACAGATTTGTGCTCTGTGGCGTGCTGCTAAGTGGGCTTGGTGCTGTTGTTGCGCTCAAGTTCATGGCGTGCTTGTCTGTCTGTCTGTGCTGGTTGGCTGGAAGTGTGTCGAGGAATAAAGTCAGATGTAAAGGCCACTGTCACGCAGGCCATCACTTTCCAGTTCCCCTATCAAGGCGCGCGGGCCGGGGCTCATTAGAGGCTAATCACACTGAGTAACCAGACTAACGAATAAGCGCCTGCATTGTCATACTTGGATGGTTGCGGCGAAGTAGAGCTTGATATCTGTAACACTGTCTCGGTACTGTTCATTCAATCGGCGAGATGATGCTAACGGGGCACCAGTATGTGCGTCGACGTATTGGCATGCAAGCCTCACATTATGCCGGAAATAGTAACACATCCATGCAGAGAGGGCTTGCCAACATGACAAGAAAGATTGCTGGTCATCACTTTATTGTTTTCTTGACCTTGTCATCTTCTTTATCTTTATTCCTTTTTTATTTAAAATTCTCTTTCTCCTTTTGATTCTCTTATCGTCATGAATGCCTTATCTTTATGATTCTCTTCATCATTCTGTCTCATTTTACCCCTGTAGTCTTTTCGAATAGAGTGCCAAGACTGTATTGACTGATATGTGGCCAGTTTTTTTTCATGATCCGCGTGCTAGCCCTACCAATTCCGCCCCATCGTGTCCTTCCGCACCGCTCCTTGCCAAAAGCCAATTGTCTACCAGGAAGAAGGAGCGGATAATGGCATCTTCGTGGGGCGACGCGCAATTACCCACTGCATCACGACGGAGTCATGTCCCGTCATCTCGCGTCCGTTTTCCTTGCCGACCTGCTAAGTTATTACGGACGACTCTGTCATATCTACGATGCATCTGCCAAGTGGTGGCTGGGATGGCAGACCGCAAAGCCAGATTTGCAGATAAAGGACTGCCCAATTTCCGGCCTGCCGCTACTTCGTACAACGAACAACATCCATGGTAGTATCAGGCACTTGAAAATGTGGCACTTGAGGAAGCGTCCATATGCCAGTCGACGTTGTTCCTGGACAAGCTTGCAGATGCTTCCCACGACCGCAGTTCCGCACAGAGAGGCTTCTTTCCCTCTTGAGCGGCGATAAGAGTCTTATCATGGAGAGCTTTGTGTAACCGACCATATCTCGGAGTTCCTCTGCATGTCTGTACGCAGTTGGCAGTCGCACAGTCACGGTACAGGGAGCACAGGTTTCTAATTTCGGAGCTTGTACGAAGTATGAATGGCTTGGCAAAGATTGGCCCCATGCTGTGAAAGACAGTCCCGCAATACGAGACGATGCAAGCCAGTGACCTGCATGGCAGCAGAGCTTTTTTTCGAAGCGCAGTCCAGCTGGCCAACTATTAGAAAATTCAAACAGCAATCATGGGACAATACTATGCATCAGTGCAGAAAATGAAAATGACTCTTGTCCTGGGTCTCCGCTTCCACGCCGCGCCATTGCGGTACACTACTCTTTTGACCCAAAAAAGGTTCACGGCGGCCTGGTCCAAAGTCTGCTGACAAGAACATATGGTGGCTTTGACGCGCTCGCTCGTGAAACTGGAAAATAGTTGAGTGGCGAATGAGAGGGCCGGAAGAGAGCAACGCGTCTTTTTGAAAAAAAAAATGAGACTTGATATCCAATGGGAGACCTGACCTGACCGTCATCGTCCACTCTCCTGTCTCCAGGCCGCGAGCTCGCGACGACGTAGAGAAGGAAAGCGGCCTTAAGCCAGCTATGCTAGTTCCGGCCATTCTAGAGGCTTTTCTAGGCTTTTCTAGCCTACGCAACCCCGGTTTCCGTCCCAGGATGACGACGTGCGTCTTGCTTGGCGTACGAAGCCATCACGCCCAACAAACCGCATCTGCGCCTAGTTACGTACAAGGCTTGCAGTGGGAACAATAAAAGGAACCCTAGGCCTGACTGATACGGAGCGAGCCGGGCGGGACCAGACCAGGGGCCACATCAGATTACTGCCTTTTGACCTGTCTCTTTTGTTGGCTCGAAACAGCGACTTCCGAAGCACTCGTGCAGCAGCCGGGCGATGACGCCGGCCGCCGCTTGTTCTGGTAGCTAGTTCGCGTGCCTCTCGGGATACGAGTGACGTTTCTCTTTGCCGCTTGCTTGCATTGGACAGCCAGTCCTTGTTTCTTGTGCGTTCCTGTAGTTTTAGCGGCGGGCCATCGGGGCCCCTCTTGAGAATCTCACGCGAGCTTTCTCCTTGGGCCCTGGGTTGTTGCTTCGCCTGGTCTAGTTAGGACACGAATAACTAAGATGAATGGATAAGAAGAAGAAGAAAAAGCAAAGTCTAGTCCTATTCGGTTTAGGAAAAGCGCACCTTACAGGACGTGATGGAGACGCCTGGAAAGCCTCCATCAACGGCTGTGAAAAATCGAATAATCATAGACGCCTGCAGCCACGAGCTTCGGACGTAATAAGTTAGGACACAAGACACAAGCTGGTCCAAGCGGAAGTGGGCTTATCCAACAAAGCGAGGCGAGGGTGCACATAGTTTGGAGTCGGCTTCGGGCCGCTGGTCGATACGTCGACACTCTTTTCCCCAGCTCCAATACCTAACCACCTAGTTACCTAGTAGTTAGGTAGTTAGCAGCGATGGGTGCCCTTCGGCCAACAGTTAGCAGGGTGTCGAGCCACGGGACGGGTATGTTGATAATATTGCTGGTCGCTTTTTGAGGCCCTTTTGGGTTTACCTTTAGGTGCCTGACGTAGCAAGCCTCGTATTCTGGACGCTGTCCTCTATTTTTTTTCGCTTTTTCGCTTATGCCTTGGCCAGTCTCTGGCCTTTTATTTTCCAAACCCTCTCTGCTGCTTGCCCCATCCCATCCCCGCCTTGTGTCTCTCTTTTTTTGCTTTCTCGGGTTCCGTCTTTTTGATTCCTTTTTTTCTCTCTCGTTTGTTGATCTGTGCTTGGGGTCCTTCCTCTCCTTGTTTCTCTGCTGTCTATTTTCTTTCCCTCTGGCATCCTCCCTGGCATCCGCAGATGCGTTTGCCCTAACCAAAACCCTGGGTGCTCATCGTGTTTACATCAGCTTTGCCGCGCACCACTTGTCCATGACGAACGAGTGATCCATCAAGCTATACCCACGGTTAAATCTGGGTATTTTGGACAGCCAAGAAACGGCAGGAACCCTCGCGAGTCGCCGAATCCGACCACACGCAACCGACGACATCGCATCAGCGTCTACTATCCAAGCTGTTTGCCTGCGAGCAAGCAATATTCCGTGCCACCTACGACGACCGAATTTATTCTTGTCAAAAAAATCGATTTACCCTCGACGGTAACCATAACCTAACAACTCCGGCGTTGTCACGTTGACAATTGCATTTCTTCGATATCACGTGTGTGTGTACGGCTGCTTTCAAGAACAAGAGACAAGGAAAGCCAAAGACCAACGACAGACTTCCCCTTGCCTTGGACCCGCTTCCCAGACGTGGCGTTGTACCGCCAGGATAGAGTGTTCGGGCGATACTTGCAACGGCAACATTTGGCCTCGCGATTCCCGTGCTACGGCCGAGTCCTTGGACGACTTGTTGCGCCGACCGTCAAACCAGGCTTCAGCTCCTTCGCCACCTACTTGATCGAGCCATCCAGATCGAGCTGGGATACACACAGCTGCCCAGCCAGTTACCTTGCAGATATCGGACACATTGCGTGCCCGATTTGACAACTTAAGTACCGACAGAGTTTGCGCTACGGGTAAGTACTGACTTATTTCTTACCCACTGTCCGCTCCAAGCCCAAGCGAGCGTCTCACATTCACCACTTGAAAGAGAGCAAAAAAAAAACCCTCAAAAAGACAAAATTCAAGAATACGCAGTGATCCTGGGGCAATAGCAAGCAGGTTCATGCACGCTCGAGTGAGGCGCATACGGTCGCATCCCGGAGCCTTCCTTTCGGTAACTGAGTACTATTCCTCTCTTCCAGTGACAAGTGTCTCCTCAGCCATCAGAGCTGTTGGATTTTCTACAGGCAGAAGCCAAGTCCCAATCAAGGAAATATGTTTTTTTCTTCTTCTTTTCTTCTTCTTCTTCTCATGCCACTGGCTGGGGACTGGGAAAATGCGGATACTGAATCGGCGCTACTGCTGTTGAGCGTTGATTGCGTGCCTCGGAACCTCCGGCCAATCCGTTGATAGGAAGGGCTGGTGACTGAGTCTTATTCACCCACCTTGCGGAAGGGATGGTTCGATTCATCTTTCCCTTTCGTTTCGTGGTTGGACTAGTCGCGACCACAGTGGTTCATGTTCAAGTTCAGACGTCGTGCCAAAGTGCCGGAATAGTCTCCTACCGCCATCGCCAGGTAGGTGTTGTTTGCCCAAACATGCTACCTGTGAAGGATGCGTTGCGTTCCTCTTGCCCCCCCTGGCCCCTTTATTTTCTGCTCAGTTATTATTTCCTTTATTTCCCGGCTTCCCACGTTTGCACGCCACGCGAAAACCGGCACACCCTCCAAGCCATCGTCGGGCAAGGCCTATTTCAGCGCAACAGGGCTTAACAGTGGGACGTGACAGCGCAGCGCCACCCGCACCCGCAGCTTGCGCCTCTTTGAACAATGTGCTGTGCCGGTACCTGCCTAAGATAATAGGAACCTGGCACCATGTCTGTGGAGGCCGCTGGACATTGGTACTCTGCACGTACCTAGGTACCAAGGCAATACATGGACAGGGCCAGCAGCGTGGGTATCGTTGTACCTCTGTTGCCGTTTTTCTGAGGTACCCAGGTACATTGTGAAGGACGCCGCCTGCCAGTCGAGATGACTGCTGCGTTGCTGGTACAATGGTACAATCAGCGCTGCCCACCTGCCTGCCTGCCTTACAGGTAGTAGGTACCAGGTCCCTACAGTACAGGCAGGTACCTGCCGGCCGACATCATTGTGCTGTCCCTCGTTGATGCAGCGCCCTCTTTCTCCATCGCAATGCTTGCAGTGCAAGTAATAGGTACCCCCTTCTCCAAATAGCCCGGCCAAAAAAAATCTTTGACACCCCAAAGATTGTGCCCACTGCAGGCGCAGCTTACCAGCCAACGACGCACGACTCTGCCTCCTCGACTTGTCCTCTTCATTCCCCCTGTCCGCCCACTCGCATCGTCCCACCATCGCTGGCACTTGTTGATATCCTGGTTCGTGGCTTCGTCGCTCCGCTGTCGCCTTACCGGCCACCACCACCACCACCACCACCACCACCACCTCTTTCTTCTATTGCCAAGTACATACTGCGTCCCTCATATTGCATCTCATCTACCCTATCTTACCTGACTCCTCCCACTCTTGCTCTTCCTTTCAGCCATGTGCTGGTCGCCCGTCGCTCATCCCCCAATGTCCCAGCGTCGTCCCTCTTTCCCACCTTCCCGCTTGCGCTACTAAAAGTTAGCCCCCTCAGTTTCTGACATTGTCACAGTTTTTGCCCACCCGCTCTGGCCAACCAGGGTTGCATAGCCTCGCTCGTCCCAGCTCTCTCCCATGCCAGCCTTTTTTCAGTCACTCGTTTGAAAATCCCTACCTATCGGAAACACGCTGCTCGACGTTGCTCCATTGCCCCAACCAACCAGCATCGCGAAGCTGCCACACCCTCAGGCCGCTTCCATCAGTCTTTCCTGTCGCTGCTACTCTGCTCTGGGCTCATCTGTCCTAAATATCCGGCCGCCCTGCCTCACCGATCTCCCCACGCGTCGCCTGCCTCGCTGCCTGCCTCGCGTCAACCTCTGCGCTCGGCCCACATACAACTACCGCCCACCTGGCTGTCTTGACGATATCTCACCACCACATTCCGTCGACGCTACCTAGCCACCACGCTGTGCTTGTGCCTGTGCCATCGCAGCACCCACACCCCTGCCATTGCTGCTCCATCTCTTGCCGACCCTCCCACTCCTCTGTCAACTACTCTACTTGCCAGCTCTACAGGCTCAAGCTCAACTCGCTTTCAGCCGCCCCTGTCACCTCGCATTCAGATCCCATCGAACCCGAATCATACCCCCCTTGACCGACTCCCGAGATTGCCTCTTTTGCTTGCTAGTTGTCCGTCTTGTCCTATAGTGCCTGTCGACTACGTCAATAGGGCCTTTTCCCCGCGGCTGACCTGGTGCCGCCAAATCATCAGCCGATCCCCTGCGAGACGGCTGCTCCAACTCCATCTACCCTGCGAGAGCGAGAGCGAGCGACTAATAAACTCGGACCTTTGAACGCTGGGCCGCCACTTCACCACACTAGGCCGCATCGGGCCATATCGACTAAACAGTAATGGCACCTATGACACCCCGTCTCAAGATTCTTTCAGGTTCGTCCATCCATCCATCCATCAGCCCAAGCCCAACTCTCCCACCCCTCCCACCCCCCTCCCAAAAAAAAAATCACTGCCCGTCCCCAAATTTGCGTCTTTGGTACATTGTGGTGCTACTCTACCCTGGTTGCTTTGCTGGCGGGTACTAAAGCGATCCGTCTTCACACTGTCACCGCACTCTCTTATTTTTCTTGGGGCGCTGTCGCCTTTGACTTCCTCTCTAGCCCACTTAGTCTCTCGTCCATCATTCCATTCCAGTCGTTGTACTCTTCTGTCTTTCTATCCCTCGTCATTCTCTCGTTGCTTTCCTTGCTTTGCACACCAATTGAGCAGTATTCTTGAATCGCTCTCGCGACCTTGCTTTATTATCCTCGCATCACTTGCGCCCGGCGATTACTCCCCGCCACGCCACGGCGCTTTTGCCCATCATGAGCGACACTGAGCTAATGCAAGTTTGTTCAGTCGGCGGAAACCCGGTTTCTGCCTTTCTTTCTTGGCGACTGCAAGCAACAAATGCCTGCGATGTTACTCTAGTCTGGAAATCGGGATTCGAGCATGTTTCTCAATATGGCATCTCCTTCAAGTATGTTGCTCTGAAGGCGTCCGGCACAGCCGGCCGACGGCCATTGCACCAGCCGCGATCGTATTGCTAACAGCTATTTGCAGGTCACCCGTCTTTGGAAATGAGCGCTTTAAGCCACGACATGGTGTGTATCTGAGTCAAGTCGCACAGAATTGAATCGCGCAGGTTTTCCTATTTCTAGATAGAAGCTAACAAAAGCCTTGTTCAGTCGTCCGAAACCCCGAGGACGCTTCCACTGTCCGCGAAGGCCCTTTCGATTATGTCGTCCTCTGCGTCAAGGCGCTCCCCGATATCTATGACTTGGCTGCTGTTATCGATTCCGTCGTCACTCCCCAGCATACCTGCATTCTGGTCAACACAACACACACACTTGGCGTCGAAACTGCCATCGAAGAGCGCTTTCCCACAAATGTCGTTCTCTCATTAGTGTCCGGTGCTGAGCTCACCCAGCTTGGCCCTAGTGAATTTGAGCACAGGGGCTCGACCGATATCTGGGTCGGCCCGGCCAACAAACAGAGCAATATTCCTCAAGCTATCCAAGAGGACATGGCACAGGCTCTCGCTATGACCCTCAGCACCGGCCAAGTTGACTGCAAGGTGTCGCCCAATATTCGTCAGCAGCAATATGAACGCGTTATTGGGTATGTTTTTGTTTCGTCTCCAAGTTGTTCTCCCTACAGTCTGCTTGCTAACATCTTTTAGCCCGATTGCTTTCCACCCCGTCAGCGTCCTTTTTGAAACTCCCAACCAGTCCATCCTCTTGGACAAGGTTGGCGTCAAGGACATGATCACTGGCATTATTGACGAGCTTGTCACTCTCGCCGAGACTAACGGCTGCAAATTTGATATTGACTTCAAACAGAGGCTAATGGACGGCATGACAAAAACAAATCTTCCGGACAGCATCATGTGGCAAGACTACGTCGCTCGACGCCCCATGGAGATTGAGACTTACCTGGGATCCCCCATAAAGCTGGCGCACGAAGTCAAGGTTCCCGTTCCCAGAATTGAGACGCTCTATGCCATTATGCATAACTTGAACGTCGTAAACAGGAACCGCCCCAAGACCGCCGACGTTCAAGGTGTCATGCCTCCAGGCTCTCCCACCGTTGGCCAGCCTCCACGCCTGCCATCCCAGAATGGCCACCGCCCCATGATGGGCCCCATGCCCAATGGCAACGGTATGCCACCGCGCCAGGTTCGTCCCCGGAACTCCTCCAACTTCGGTCCCCCTGGACCCATGCGCCGTGGACCTCCTATGAACGGCGGTCCGAACGGCATGAATCGCCCGCCACAGAACATGAACGGTGGATCTCGAGCTCCTTCTCGTCGCGGATCCATGGACGCCAATGATTTGGAGGAATTCTCTCATCTTGTCCTCTACGACGATATTCCGGAAGACCATGAGCAGAATTTAGGCACTGACGGCAGTGACCCTGTTGCGCGCGAGAGAGAGATGCATCTGAGGCAGAGAGAACTAGCTGTGAAGGAGCAGGATATGCGCATGAGACGTGGCCCTCCTCTGGGCCCCCCCGGCCCTCGCCGCGGCCCCCATCCTATGCGCCACAGCACTCAGATGTTTGATGACGACGATGATGACGACTTTTACGACCCTCCCGTGGGTCCTGGAATGCCCGCCATTGACGCCGACAATTTTGACATGATGAGCGTAACGTCGAGAAAGAATCGTAAAGCTTCCGGTCCACCTCCCGCACACATTCGCCGCAACCCTGAGTTTGATGCTCCTCCCCCTTCCCGCGGTAGCAGATTCCGACCAAGCTTTGGCCGAAACCGTTCCAGCCAAATTGCATCGATGCCCATGATGACGGACAATATCCTAGACGATCCACTTATGAGCTGCTCGTCGAATCGCTATGGTACTGTCGACCGAGGCACCATGAACGGCGGCTCCCGAGCCAACTCCCTGACGGCCTCGAGACTTGATGAGCTGCAATACGGCCAGGCTCCCGGTGGCCCCCCAGGCACGAACTTCGGGCGTCGCGCAAGCCAATCTCCCGGTAACCCTTACAGTCCTTCGATGCGCGGTGGCAGCGGCAGACCTTCTCCTCCCAACGGATACGGACCTCCCATGAATGGCCGTCCCTCTCCTCCTGATGGTGTCCGGCAGCCAGTTCCTCGTTATCCTCCAGGCCAAGGCAACGTGGTTGCACCTCAACAAGTTGAGCAGCATATTGGGGTGAGCCTCCTCCAACCACCAACGACTAGAAATGTGCGAAGTCTGACCGGTAGTGCGAGTGCTAGCGCGGGCAGTGGTGAAGTCGATTCCGAAAACTCTGCACGCAGCAGCCAGACCAGCTTTCCGCATGCGCCACCAGCCGCCACGAGTGTTCACTAATGTCATCGAAGACGAAAGTGCTGCAGGAGCGGATGCCATCGATGGCTGCGTTTGAAGACCACGTTGGGCTCCAACAGGCCCTCAATTCTTCTTCTTAATTTCCTGTTTGCTTTATACCTGCGAAAAAAATAACACAGCGTTGGAGTTGGGCTTGATTTGGCAACAGCGAAAGGTGCCGAATAAACGTACGACGTCTTGTTTTTCCTGTGGACTTTGCCAAGTCCTGTACATACGGCAACAAGGAATGGCAGCAAGCGGTCAAATGCTTCGGTAATATTCCATCCGAGCAAGAATATTTGGTTCTTCGCCTTCCAGATGTGGATGGGTCGGTTGGGCCAAGGATCAAGTATCCGCCAGCGGCTGGTTCTTGTCGCCTATAACGGTCGCCCGTTTTACGTTATCGCCCTGTGATAACCTCAGATGAGAACAGGTAAATGGTTGCTAGACTTTGATAATATGCACGGCGCGAACGGTAGATTGGGCATACTGTCGGTGGACATAACCTTGCTTGGTGTTTTTGTTTTACTCATTTTTTCCCCTGTGAAGTTTCCTTGACGAGGCTGGCATCCGTACCACGGTATCGGTGCCCCTCCAGGAACTATGACAGGCATTGTTCTTCTTCTTGTTTTATTACTCACAAACACACATATTAGAGTCGGGGGTCACTTGCACATTTTCTTTTTTTGTCTTTCTCTATAATACTGTCTCGTTATACGCCAATTTTTATGTATCGTTTTGGAACGAAGTGTTACGATGGCGGCGGTGGACATTGTCATCTCATTTGGCATGAGGTGATTGATCCGAAGGACGATGCGGTCCGTTGGGTCTGACAAAACTTGTGGTATACAAATGCACAAGACAGCGAATATTGGAGCGTCCAGGTAGTGGGGTGCCTCATTTGAATAATTTGAAGTTGAACTATCGCTGTTTATCATACTTTTTGCCCTTTGTTTCCTTTTTGTGAGGCCAGATACACATAGCAGCGTGATTTGTCTTATTGTAATCGAGGCACAAAACTCAGGTTCGCTCACAGCGACAATGTCACGTGGAGCATCGCGCTGGAGCAATCGGTGTCGCAAGCGCGTACCGCTCGACTAGGTCATGCGACTGAATGTTTTTGCAACGGAATCTCGCTACTACCTTAATTAATAAATTCGTCTTCCCGAAGCATTGGATTCATTCTTGGACAACCAATCCCCATTATTTGTCTTGATAAGCCCTTGAGCATGGCGACAAGAAATATCGCCGGCGGCGGAAATCGACAAAGCATGGCCATCTCCGCCGCGAGCGGACAAATGAAGTCGAGACAGCTGGTATGTACAGCTGTGATTCACGCGTGGAGGGGCCAAGAATAAGCGAGGGCACTGACTTTTGCCAAAATAGAGCCATTTACACTCGCAACTCGCGCAGCTTTCGGCAAACCTCTCCGACACGGAGAACCTACTACGCATGACGAGCGTGCAAGCGGAGGCAATGAGGGGCTTGGGAAGCTGGCACGGAGCATTGTGAGTACTCTTTTCTCGCATTCTGGTTGTGAGCGGCCTCGCGAAAAATAAATCACTGATACGACACAGATTTATGGCGGCTAGTCGGGTACTGGGTGAAGAGAGTGTCAAAGAGGGCGGGAAGTAGTTGACTGCAACGGCCCTGTAGGCATTGATGATGATGATAATGACATTGCATACTTTGATTTTTAAGCTATTTTAATGGCTTGCGCCGGGTATCATTCGTTTCTATGCATTCTCTCTCTCGTCCATCCGACAGGTCGCAACATCCAATATTCTCCATATCACACCACGCATCACGTTCCTTGCGTTGTCAGTCTCGTCTCTTCCGCCGCCACGTCTGCTTCCTGGCCGTGTCCTCCTCCGCGAGCAAGTTTCCTCCTCCGCGCGCCGCCTTTTCTATTTGTTGTCTCGCCTACTGGGAAGCGCTTCACGCCGGCGCACGCGCGGCAGCGGACGGTGAGCACGTCAGTGGCCCATGGCTTGCGCCTGCTCGCGCTGCCGACCGAGGCGTCGCAAGACCGGCCCTCGATGAGCAGCGCGTCGCAGTACCGGCAGACGCTGCGCTTCATCACAGGACACGGCCGGATCAGCACCTTGCGGGTGACGGCGCGCATGTCGGCGAGAAGACTTCGCGACATGTTGCGCAGGGCGCGCTGCTGCTGTTTCTGGTCGTCGTCGGCGGCTCCGTGGCTCGCTGGCTGGGCTGGGAGATCCGAAGCGGCGGCGGCGGTGTCGTCGTACCCTGGCCTGCTGCTGTTGGCTGCTGCTCGTACGCTGTTGGGTGTGTCGTTGACAGTGCTGGGCTGCAGGGAAGCGGTCGCAAGAAAGGCAGCGGCTTGGTAGAGGTAGGATGCTCTCGTATAGATGTGTCTATTTTGCACGCCGAGCGGCACTTTTGCCTTGGCCATGCTGCGTCGCACAATAAGCTAGATTTGCGAATTCTTAATGCGAGCGGCGAAATCCAAATCTTGTTAAATACAACGCTATTCGTTGACAAGTACGGATTTGCCCATCGCAGCCTAGCGTGCGTACAGATTACCTAACTTCCGCCAATCCCATTTGTGTGACCTGGACGCGACGGGCTCGCCGTAAATATCACGTGACTCCGCTCCAGGAGGTCCATGCTCCGAAGCAGGGCGCTGCTCTCCCTCGCATGCCCTTTAAACAACCAGGCTCCCCCATCCTTCCCCTCCATCAGCCCATCGTCTCCAGAGCAGCTTGACAGAAATCTCGCTGCTTCTCTACTCCAACATACTCCTTTTCCTTCTTCTTCTCTCTCCCCAACTCTTTGACACCTCATATTGACTGTTTTCTTGCCACTCTGTCGCTTTGACTATTTTCCCCTTCGGTTTTCGTCAATAAACACGTCTCGCCACCAACAACAAACACAAACGCAGGCTTTTCATTCTCCTACTTCCCACTCTCGCGCCGCTAGCCGACACCACTTTCGTCGCCTCAACGATCTGTGCGCAAACGCAGCCTGTCGATTTTCCGAGAATTTCGCTCGGAATTGATCTCCGAAAGATCCGTCGCTATCTACCCACACGAAACACCGCTCATCATGTCTCACGAGGAGGATCTCATTGACTACTCCGACGAGGAGATTGGTGCCAACGAGACCGCCAACACAGCGACTAAAAAAGGCGAGCTTGCCGCCAATAGCAATGTCGACAAGAAGGGTAGCTACGTCGGCATCCACTCCACCGGTTTCCGTGACTTTCTGCTGAAGCCCGAGCTTCTGCGCGCCATCGGAGACTGCGGTTTCGAGCATCCATCGGAGGGTCAGTCTTGATATCATCGCACACATTCTAATTACCCACAAACAAAGCATCAATATCTCCCTCCCCCTCCCCTCTTTCCTCGCTGTCTTCCTCCTTTCTTGATACAAAGGAACGAAGACGGAAGAGGCAAGTGTCCGTCCATCTCGCAATTTGCGCGCAACAGCAGCTCTCACTGTTTGGGGGTCTTCAAGGCAATTCACAATGGCTTGAAGCATCCAGTCGCGCTTGGAAGAAAGCAAGACTGTAGATGACTATATTGACGGCCTTCCGGCCTTTCGGATCGACGCCGTGGATCTTGGCGTACCTGAAATATGGTCCCAATCCTATCACAATTGAATGCGCTGCTTCAAACTGAGGCTAGCAAGTATATTACCTGTCACCTCTTTCGAAGAAGAAGCACCCAGTCGCATTGGGCGACTCCCTTCGCTGTCATTGTTTGAGCAAAACAACGTTCCAAGCGAAGCGCGACCAGTCCTGGTGGTAGAACGTCTAGGTCCAAGACGTCAAGCAGACCGTTGGAGAAAAGCGGCAAGGCAAACCCCGTTGATGTGCAATGGCACATTGACATGGATCTTGGTATGGTACATGGAAAGCCAGACACGCGACAAGACCTTGAACCAGATCGTTGGTATCTGCGCCCAACAGGACTGTGCTGTTTGGCCATGCATGTGATTTCATGTTTGCGACTGCAATGCGCCGATGGACGGACTTATCCTTGACCCGCACGCCACTCGTTTCGTTTCCACTTATCAATACAAGTTTCTAACCTTCCCTCGATCGACAGTCCAACAAACCTGCATTCCCCAGGCTCTTCTCGGTGGTGATATCATCTGCCAGGCCAAGTCTGGTCTTGGCAAAACTGCCGTCTTTGTGCTCGCGACCCTGCAGCAGGTTGAGCCTGTCAACGGCGAGGTTTCGGTTGTGGTCATGTGCCACACTCGCGAGCTGGCCTACCAGATCCGCGATGAGTACAACCGTTTCAGCAAGTACATGCCCGATATCAAGACCGGTGTCTTCTATGGTGGTACTCCCATCAAGACCGACATGGAGACCCTCAAGAACAAGGACACTTGCCCTCACATCATTGTTGGCACTCCCGGCCGTCTCAAGGCTCTTGTCCGCGACAAAGCTCTGCGCCTTGGCAGCGTTCGCATCTTTGTTCTCGACGAGTGCGACAAGATGCTCGACCAACCCGGTACGCCAAATTTGGGCAACATCAATGCGACGAGAAGACTAACAATACATAGATATGCGCACTGATGTGCAGGACGTATTCCGCGCTACTCCCCACCAGAAGCAGGTCATGATGTTCTCCGCGACTCTGTCGGAGGAGGTCAAGCCTATCTGCAAAAAGTTCATGCAGAACCCTACCGAGCATTACGTTGATGAGGACACCAAACTTACTCTGCACGGTCTGCAGCAGTACTACATCAAGCTTGATGAGAAAGAGAAGAATCGCAAGCTCAATGACCTCCTCGATGAGCTGCAATTCAACCAGGTCATCATCTTTGTAAGGAGTACTGTCCGCGCTACGGAGCTGGACAAGCTGCTGCGCGAATGCAACTTCCCCTCGATTGCTGTCCACTCGGGCGTCAGCCAGGAGGAGCGCATCCGTCGATACAAGGAGTTCAAGGAATTCAAGAAGCGTATCTGCGTTGCCACTGACGTATTTGGTCGCGGCATTGACATTGAGCGTATCAACCTAGCCATCAACTACGACCTGTCCGCTGATGCCAGCTCGTACCTTCACCGTGTCGGTCGTGCTGGTCGCTTCGGCACCAAGGGTCTCGCCATTTCGTTCATCAGCAGCGAGGATGACCAAAAGGTTCTTGGCGAGATTGAAAAGCGCTTTGAGGTCGCTCTTCCGTAAGTAATGCCTTTTCTGTGAGAGTAGATGTCTGTTCTAACGAGACGACAGCGAGTTTCCCAAGGAGGGTGTTGATGCCAGCACCTACATGGCTTCTTAGATGACCGCCCCTCTATTAGGTTGCATGATGCGACGACCATTGCTGGGAATGGGTCTGCCTATCCATATCTATTGGGAATCAAGAAAACCGGGAAACAGGTGAAAAAAGAGGAATGATTTGTATGTATGCGGTTTTGCAAGTGTTGTATCGTTTAGGATTTGCTAGGTTAATCTACACTGAGACTGAATTGCGAAATTGATAATATGGTGTGTATGTTGGAATAATTCCCAATAGTTTTCCCTCGTAGTTTTCCCTATGCAAGCAGGGGTTGGCATCGGCGCTGGTGCAAGGAAGGCAGCGTCACGATATCTGTGCCGCTCACAGCCTCATAGCAAGGATGGTGCCAGCCCGAGGCTTAGAAGGAAAAGGCAGGAGAAGAGGCGAAAGGCAAGCCCGTTATCCAGAAGTCTTAGAGTCGCAAAGTGGCAAAACAGGCTGCTCATGGTTGCTAGAATGAAGGTTACGTATTTTAGTTCATGCTTTATTGGCGGCGCGTGCCCGTCGGCCCGCCCCAAGTCGGCCAGTGGCCCTGCTGCCTACTACGACTACTTTCCGTGTGAAGAGCATGGAGACAGTTCACGAGATGGAAATGGATGACTCTTCTGACTTGCACGAGTTGCAGCCAGGCCATCACATGAAAATGTCCTACAGGATTGGTTGCCTGTTGTGGTTAACGATGAGGGATATCGGAGCCGACCAAGAAGCTGGCTTCGTTCTTGTTGGCTTGATAATTTTTGCATTTGGTCTAGCGGACGCCCAAGTTACGAGTTGTTTGAAATTGGGCGCGTCCCCGATGACCGGAGCAGTCTGTGTTTTTTTGGTAGGACATGTGAGCAAGTAAGCGAACATGGTCTGGCTTCCCTGGTGGTGAGAGCCAAGCGCAACATGCTGGCAGCATTGCGAGGGGCTCCTGGTTTACGTGGCAAAGTAACTACCTAGTTAGAAAACACCATCAGGCCGCCCGCCCGTTCAGGCTGTCTTGTCATACGTAACTATTCTTTGACTAAGAATAGTGGCCACATGTCGCCGGAGAAGTCGTCCCCGTGCTAGCCATGCACGCACCGGTGTCCAATATGATTCAGCCATGAGAAGGCGGGGTGAGAAATGACGTGCATGCTCGGGCTGTGGCCAATGACTACAAATCCCCATCATCGTGAATTATTATGATAAAACTAGCAGTGGCTGCCTTTTTTGTGTCAGGGCTCGCCCGGATGCGGCTGTTGGAGCCTAACTAGGAGTGGGGGCGGTGATTTTGGGTATTTGTCCCCTGAATTGCCATCGCAGGTGATAGGTGATGACTATTGAATCATCGGAGGGGATCAGTTGATGAACAGGCTTGGTACATAGGGCAGCTTGTAGGAGGATCGGTGTGCCACGGGTGTAATTTGGATCCCGGAAAACTTGACGCTGGCCGGCTGGAAGCATTATCTTCAAGGCCGGCTACGTTTTGCTACTAGGCGGGCGAGAAAGGCGAGAAAGGCGAGAAAAGCGCCTAGGCATGCCGACGAGCAGAGGCAGGGTAACTAGGCGGACAAGACACACACTACCTAGACAGTGGACGCATGATATCAGAGACATGGCAGCCGAATTCCTTCCAGTCACTGCTTGCACGCCAACGAGCTTATCAGTAGAAGAGTCTTGCATAATTAACTTGGATGACGTTTGATACCCAAAGCATTTCGGCGATTAGACTAGTTAGCTTTCTGAAACAAGACAATTCCACACATCACTGCCCACAACAACCTGCGTGGCTTCGGGCCCCGGCCATCTTGAACAGAGCGCAGCAGAAGATATCGCACACGCCGTAATGGTATATCCCAAACTGAAGATAGGCAAGAGCTGCCTTGTGCTGTTTCCACCGGTTCGGCTCGAAGCCACAGCCATTCTCGCCGCGTGCTCTGTTGGCCCCCTCTCGAAAGCAACCAGCCTTCAAGCATCTCAGGCCAGATACGGAAGGCGGTGAACCATGAAATGTAGGGAGCCACTCACCATCAAGGATTACCAACAGCGGCTGCAACTTTATGGCGCGGGATGTAGAAGGCGTGTGATTCTGCCGAGCGGCCGAACATGATTTATTCACCATGGCAGCTCTCAAACCCGGAGATGATGGAAGGCATCAGACCCAGAATGAAAGAAAGCAAAACCCGTGAAGCCGTCAATTCCTTCTGGCGCTCAATCATGTGAAGGTCTATTCATCGGAAGACTCCAGGGTACCGGGCTTCTGGAAAGTAGATTGCGTCCTCAGGCACCAACAAAGCACAACGTATCAGCGCCGTCAACGCCCTGACATGACTTGCCAGTGTTGCCACGGATGTACCGGTACTCACCCATGACGCCAAGCCAAATGCAGTGGCGGCCAAGTGTAAGATGTTTTACCATACAGTAGTTGCCAAAGAGTATCGAGTACAAGAGAAAAGTCCAAGCAACCAGTGATGTCAGGCCACAGCAAAAACCATGCGTACCCCGCCCGACATGCAGTGGCGACTGATGCAAACCCCTCGCTCCCAGGTGACGCGATTTATGACTTATACACGCCGCCAGACTGTCCACATTGGCGACGACTTAGTTATAACTTGCGGGGAATATGTACCAGCCCATCCCATCCACCATGGTGAATGAGAGGAGTCATGTTCGCCACTGCCACTGTGGCAACGACGGCCAGGCCTTGTATTTTCTGTTGTTGAATGAGCCGCGTCCGACTTGAACAGTTGTCTTGCTGCTCGCCACCGATTTTGACGCCCAACCAATGTCCAGAGACCAGAGATACGCCAGAGCGAGGCAGGACGGCGCAGAGGGCTGACGCGATGCTGTGCCTGTAACAGAAGCGCATTTTTACAGTTGAACGCGACGAGGACACCCCAGATCAAAGAATAGAAGAGTTACATATTAGTTACGAGCGGTTTGTCAAGTAACTAGGCAAGGAGAGCTCGACAGCCGACATGCGGCGCTGTGAGGTAGTTACCAGGTACAAGGACATTCTGGCGCAAACACGGTGCCTCATTGCAGCCACGCCCAAATGGCCACTTCCTGGGTCGTGCCCCACCCCACCGGCGGAGCACCTGGGCTCGCCGTGGCCAATCGAGAAGCGGCGGGCAGCGGCGCTAGTCTGTTTCTGAGCGCAGCGCCGTAGCGAGTCGAGCCCAGTTAAATCAAGGGGAGTCTTGCGGTCCCCCTTCAACTGTCTGGCCTCACCAAGAGCACCGCCTTCTGCCTCACTCTTTGGCGCAGCCAAGTCTCCCCTCTCTGTGTTGCTAGGTATCTTTCCCACTGACCAGCCATACAGGCGGTACTTGGCAACCCACCCGCCCACCACAGAGGCCCCCCCCCCAGCCTTTGTCATTCTCACTCGTCAATTCCTCAAAACTAAGCCGTGACCCTCGTCGTGACTCTTCGTTTCCCCCCTCGCATCGAACTGCAAAGCCGTCACGATGAAGTTCGAACTCGTCTTGTAACCGACCAGCGACTCCTCGAAGTCTGCTTTGGTTCATCTCTCCACTCCACGGCGCCATACTCTGACATATTATCGACATTTTTTTTGTTTTATTCTGTACTCGTTATTTCCCCTCGCCGGCGCCATCCTTTCGACGACTGCACTTGCTTTCCCGCCAGCTGGACGCCTTTTCTCGATTTTTACCAGCCAACCACGCACCACGCACCACGCTCGCAGCGACATTCACTTGTACCTTGCGACTGGGACGGGAAAAATTGTTTTGCAAACGCGCACAGCCGCGTCAAACCCAACACGACCTCTAGGACGTCGATAGCAGCGAAGAAGAAGAAAGACAATACTCGGTGGAATCATCGGGAATTCATCCAACTTTTCCTCGTCATACCGACAAACCCGCAAGAACTCTGAGCGAACGCTTTATTATTACTATCGTGTTACTCACATCGACCCATTTCCTGCCGCCACCACCTACAGCCCAAAAGGTGCCTGGCGTCTTTGTCTAACTAGACTCGCCCCCCAACAGCGCTGACACCAGTCGCCCCCTCCGAAACCGCCTGTGGCCCACCCACTACCGGCTCTTCTCCTAGGGACTACCTTGGCTAGTACTGTGCCTCGCTGCGCCGCTCAGCGTCCGCCTGGCCACCACCCGCACCCACCCTCCACTGGGTTCACGCTCTCTCTCTGCCTCTTTTGCCACCCGTGCAAAAGAGTCACACAGCCGCCTCCGGTATCCACACACCACCCGCGCCTCCCAGCCTGTCGCCATCGGCCTCGCCTTGTTGGCCTCCAACGGTAAAGAGTCACATCTCTAACTACCCGTTCCTCCCCCCTCCGTTAAATACCTTCTTGGTCGGCGCTTCGTCATCCTGCAGCCGCACATCGCCCACCCCCTACGTGCACATCACCAACGGTCGCGTCCTTGCCGTCGCTCCAGGTTTCCCACTCACCACTCACCACGCCCCTCGCCACCACGCAACACCAGTCCTCTGCTGAATCACCAGCTTCTGACTCGATCATCTCTGTGTTACTTCTTCCCGCCAAATGGTTGACTTGATCTAAAACAGTCTTCCATACCCTTCAACTTCATTTTCTTCAGATTATACAGTCTTGACGAAATGCCTCTTGCACCCTACACAACTATCCCAGTCGCCGTCTCTGCCTCGTCTACCGGTCCCATCGTCATTGCCAAGAAAGCCTTTGTTGGCCCCGACATCTAGCTTTCTTCTTATCCTGCACGCCCCGGACACAGCTCATGTTGAGTAGCATCTTCTCATGCTTCCACATCGGCTAGCTCTACTTCGTCACGGTAACTCTGAACTTTTGCTCAACGGTAATTCACGATTCGTCTCTCGGTTTCACATAGCCAGACGGCGACTGGAGTAACACGATATACGGCTTGAAAACCAACACACCCCTTTCAAGCCCCGTCATATACAATATATACATCCTTCAAGATGCAGGTCGACAATGCCATCTCGCCGACCTACGTCTCCATCCACAACCAATATGCCACCTACAACAACATCTTGACCTCTTCCGTCTCGTCCGCCAACTCGACTTGGTCTGACACGGCTTCTCAATCTTCTGATGACACCTCTGTTTCGTCTACTTCCGACTCCGACTCTTGCGACCCCTACCACCGCACCACCCACGCCCTGCCTGCCCAGACGGTCAACTATCGATGTGCTCCCACCAAGGCCCTCATTTCTGAGCCTCTCCCCAAGGAGCTGCGCCAGAACCCACGCCGCTCCGGCTCTGGGTTGCGCGCTCGAGGCGCCTGCCTTCCCTCGCTTGTCCGACAGTGTGACCGCAAGGTCAACTTTGTCGACTCTCTTGTTGGTATGTTTTTGTGCAATACCGTTTGCTACATCTCCTCTTCAGAACTCTCCTCTCACACAATCACCCCTACAGACTCGTCGACACAAATCGTCGAGGCAATTTGGCCCCTTTCCTCGGCAGCATGCCGTTCCGAGCTCGGTAGCAAGGCAGTCTTGCCTCTGCGCACCTTTATTCAAGAGACTCTGCGCCGCTCGCGCACCAGCTACTCGACTCTCCAGGTCGCTCTGTATTATCTTGTTCTCATCAAACCCCATGTTCCCAAGTACAATTTCACCATGGAGCAGCCTGAGGATCGCCATGCTGACCGCGCCCTCCAATGCGGTCGCCGCATGTTCCTCGCTGCCTTGATTCTCGCTTCCAAGTACCTCCAGGACCGCAACTACTCCGCTCGGGCCTGGAGCAAGATTTCTGGCCTCAACACCAATGAGATCAATCAGAACGAAATTTCTTTCCTCCTCGCTGTCAACTGGAAGCTGCATATTGCGGAAGATGTTTTCCAGCGCTGGACTGAGATTGTTCTCAAGTACACCCCTCCTCCCTCGCCCCCCTCGCCCGGCCCGACCCAAGCCGTGTCCCAGCAGAGTATCGAGTGGAGGAATCTGATTCTTAGACTCAACCCGGAACTGACCAACATTGATGGTCTACTCCCCCACGCGAGCCCTAAGCGCAGTGATCTCTGCGCTCTCTCTCCCCGCAGTATCCTCAACCCTCCTACGAGTGCTGCTCTCATCGCTGCCGTCGATGCTACCCCCAAGGCTTTCACCTCCGCTCCCGTAGCGGCTGCGGAGCCTATGGACGCCCCTGCCTACTTTGCCGGCCGCCCTGCCCCTGCTCTTGGTCTTCTTCCAACTCCTCGTCTGACCCCTCGGACTAATGGTCTCTGCACTCCTGCCGTGAGTGTGGGCTCCTACAAGAAACCTAGCGCCATGTGCCTGGCCATGGCCCAAGCCAGCTCGGTCACTAGCACGCACCACCTCGACCGCCTTCCCAGCTCGGTGACCTCGTCTCCTCAGAGCTACTGCGTGCCTCGCCGCTCTTCCCTAGCCAACTCTGTCTCCACAGCCTCATCTCCCGAGTCCATGATTTCGGATGTCTCTCGGTCTTCCCGCTCCTCTTCCATTTCGTCCGTCTCGTCCCTCGCTAGCGCGACCCTCAACTCCAAGTTGATGGCTTCGTCGCGATTCCGTGCGGCCAAGGCGATGAATGAGAGAACCTGCCAGAAGCCGACTGTTCCCTCCGTTCCCGAAGACTTTGATGAGCAAACCTTTTCGTCGTCGCCCGAATCGCACACCGGCCCGGTTGCGAAGCTTGGCGGCCTGTGCCTCGATACCCCTATGGCCAGTCGCGAAGAGAACCTCGAAGAGATGGCTAGAGACCCCGTCTGCGATGCCGCCCGCGCTCTGCAGGACCTCCACCACCAGGATCTGCACTCTGCTGACTCTACGCCTATTGCTCGCGTGAGCCGCAAGCGCACCCGTCCTGCGCTCATGGACGACTGCCTCCAGGAGAATGTCCGCCACCTCCTACATGGCGCCTACCCCACCCCCGAAGTTTCATGGAACATGGCTTCTACCCACAAAAGAGCGTGCTGCTCTACTGAAGCCGTCACAGGCTTCCAGACTACCAATGCTCGCTCAGTCCTTGATCGGGGTACGGGTATCTGGGAGGGCATTTTGAACTAGAGCTTGATAAGATGGTTTACTATAATACCTATAATGGTCCACACACATGCTGAAAGGCTATATGCGACGCAGGTGTTCCTATACCGTCGCAATATCTAGCATCCGTATTATCTGTTCCATTTGTTCCTGACACAACACTTTCTTGTTATACTTGTTATACTTGTTTTATTCTGGGATGGAGAACGGAGTCGTGGCAGCTGGTGCTTTTCTGCGATACCAAAACGCCTTGGTGAAGCTCCTTTTCGTCTTGATTCGCCAGCGCGTTGATGGAACCTGGGCTTGTCCTGCGCATCATGACGGTCGCACCAGGCCGCCCACGGTTTTGGTTGAAGCGTCAAAAGGTCAAGAAAATTAATAATTGCATGTATCGTCCAAGGATCCGGACATGATATAGGATGATGATTAGCGATGAATAGTCTCGTTGAGGAAAAGGGGATGATGTAGAGTCGTTGATACTTGTACGAATATAGACGATTGGCTTCACTGTTTGACTAGTTGAAACGGGTGATGGGTTGACCTCGGGATGCACAAACGTGCGGCTTGATGGCCATGAGTCGGTGTGCCGACGAGCCGTGCGGTTCATCGGCATCTCCATGGTGGAGAAGAGGCTGAAATCACGCAATTGATACAGGGCGTTCTGAAAAGGGTAACGCTGGGGAAAGGCAAAAAAAAAAATAGACTCGTCTGATGAATGAAATGGCGTTGCAATTCGTCAATTTTTTTCCTTTTCCATGTACCAAACACACCTTTTCTTTGTGTTGGCGGTCACCTGAAGCACACGGGTAGCACGAATCGACGTCGTTGCACTTTTCGTCATCGTACATCTATCTCTCTTAGTCTGCTGTCGCGTGCCTGCCCGCCCACCCGTGTCCAACCCATCCACAAGTCGCGTCTCGCGCAAAACACTCGTGATGCGTGCTCGTTCTGCCGGCGCCGTACTCTCGCGCGTCGCGGCGGCACGGGGTGCAGCGACGCTGTCGACAGCGACGGTCACTGGCACCGCACGCAGCCACAAGGTAGTCGTCGTCGGCGGCGGCACGGCCGGCGCGAGCGTGAGCCACCAGCTGCTGCGCGGCGGGCAGTACGCGCGCGGGGACGTGGCCGTCGTCGACCCGGCCGTGTGGCACCACTACCAGCCCGGCTGGACGCTCGTCGGGGGCGGCCTCAAGGACAAGGACGACCTCCGCCTGCGCATGACGGACGTGCTGCGAGACCCGCGGCTCACCCTGTACCCGCAGGCCGTGCGGGGATTCAGCCCCGCGGAGAACGCCGTCACCCTGGCCTCGGGCGACCGGCTGCAGTACGAGCAGCTCGTCGTGTGCCCGGGCATCCGCGTCGACTACGGCGCCATCAAGGGCCTGCCCGAGGCGCTGGCCGACCCCGACCTGCCCGTCTCGACCGTGTACGGGTACGACGGCGTCGACAAGGTCTTTGGCACCGTCGAGCGCCTGCGCCGCGGCCAGGCGCTCTTCACCCAGCCCGCCGGCATCATCAAGTGCGCCGGCGCGCCGCAAAAGGTCATGTGGCTGGCGCTGGACCACTGGCGGCGCGCGGGCCGGTACAGCGCCGGTGACACCGCCGCATCCGACATTCGCATCGCGTTCGCCACCGCCCTGCCGGCCATGTTTGGCGTGCCCAAGTACAGCGCGGCGCTCGAGGCGCTGCGGCGGGAGCGCGGCGTCGAGGGCCTCTTCCAGCACGACCTCGTCGAGGTCAACGGCGACCGGGCCGTGTTTGCGCGGACCGGCGAGACGGCGACGGTCACGCGCCGGTTTGACCTGCTGCACGCGGTGCCCAAGATGGGCCCGCACGCGTTCGTCGCCGACAGCCCGCTGGCCGACGGCGCCGGGCTGGTGGCCGTCGACCCGGCGACGCTGCGGCACGCGACGCACGCCAACGTCTGGGCGCTGGGCGACGCCGCGGGCCTGCCGACGGCCAAGACGGCGGCGGCGGTGACGGCGCAGGCGCCGGTGCTCGTGGCGAACCTGCTGGCCGCGGCGGAGGGCAAGGCCCCGACGGCGGCGTACGACGGCTACACGTCGTGCCCGCTCACGACTGAGTACGGCAAGGTGCTCCTCGCGGAGTTCCAGTACGGCGGCACCCCGAAGGAGACGTTTGCGGCGCTCGGTGTCGACCAGGCCGTGCCGAACCGCGCCTTTTACCACTTGAAAAAGGACTTTTTTCCTTGGGTATACAAGAACTACATGGTTAAGGGCACCTGGGGCGGCCCCAAGGGCTTCCTCCGCTAGATGCGAAAAGGGAAAGAGGACGGGAAATAAAAGGGGCGATTAGAATGATAGAGATCATGGCAATGGCGAGGGGCCGACGTTGTTCTCTGATTTCGGTTTGTACAATCAGCAAAGTTAGAAACGGGAATGGAATAATAGAAGGGATCCAGAGTTCAGGACGTTGCGTGACTGACTGTGCGCGACAAACAGCTACGAATTCGCATTGACTAGCCTGCATAAGACACTGTTGGCTCATTGTCTCCTACTTCAAGAGGCAGACATGACCTTTTCAACCAGATATCAGATCGTCTCGGATACGCTTGTGTCGTCGGCCAATTCTTCCGAGTGTCCTGGTGACGCTTCCGAAGCGCTTGCGTCGTCGCCCGCTTCTTCAGATTGTCCCGATACCGCGCCGCCGGCCGCAATAGTGACGCCAACGGCCTGAACAGCCGCGTTCACGACCGCCACCCCATAACCGCCTGCCCCTGCGCTCTGCAGCGTGGCGAAGAGACTGCCAGCAACTACATTGCCGATGCCGCCATGCACGGCGGCGGCTGCAGAACCTGCGTGCGGGGTTGTTATTCATTTGGACACAAAAGAGCATGCTCGGTGGACTCGTACCTGCGGCGATACCGTTGGCCGTAAAACCAGCCAAACCTAGGATCGGAGCGGCGACGAGGGCTGGTGCGGCTACTACGCCAACTCCTGCCGCAAGCACACCGGCAGCGATGGGATGGGCCGTGGTGTAGTTTGAAGCCTGTGATTATTTTGAGCGACTGCCGCGAGTTTTCGTGTCTCCTGCGTGCTCTTACCTTTTTTGCAGCGGCGCCCAACAGATCCTTTGCGAACTCCATCTTGATTGCGGATGAAGAAGAGTGATTCGAGGTATGCTTGTCAGGTTGCAGAGTCGCGCTCGGTAACGCCACAAGCTGAGACGAATCGCAGATGGTGTTGAAGCTTCAAGGAAAGGGTCTGTCGTTCGGTTTGAATTTTTGGCGTTGAATAGTTGCTCCGGTCGTTTGCTAGATGCTGGGCAAAGTTGAGTGAATGTACCGCAGGCTGAAGGGGTCGTGTTCAAAGCTTGTTTACCAGCCGGTCGAACAGCTATTCAAACAGGCCGACAAACAACAAGGTCAAACAGCCGTCAAACAGGCAGCTGGAAAGCTAGGTGGGGTTGGCAGAGCATTTGGTGAATGACTTGCTGAGGAGTACGTGACTGCTTATTGACTGGCTGAGTCACTCATGAACTGATGACGCACCGAAGCACGGCATACAGGAGAGCCCCTTCTTCTGGCGACTTGCTGAGGAGTACGTGACTGCTCACTGACTTGGCTGCGTCCTCATCTTTATCTTACTATACGGACATAATTCACTCCTCTCGGTGCTAGTCGCTCTGCCAAAAGTGCATAGGTGCAGGTACTATAGTGATTGGGGTTGAATGTTATGGATTGAATGCTGCAGCCTGTGGCGATCTGCCGGCTCAGCAGAGAGGGAAGGCGTCGATGGCCATCCTTGGACGAAAGATGGAGAAGGCGGGGAAGAGAAGGCGGGGAAGAGAAGGCGGGGAAGAGAAGGCGGGGAAGAGAAGGCGGGGAAGAGAAGGCGGGGAAGAGAAGGCGGGGAAGAGAAGCCCGGGAAGAGAAGGCGGGGGAAGATGATCAACAACAAACAGGCTACATACACCCAGAAGAGTGCAAACGACAGATAGAAGGGGTGGGTTACATGGCTTGGTTATTCTGATCAAGCCTCGGCGGGGAGCTGTGCCAAAAAAGCAAGACATGCGCCTACGCGACCTACCTATAAGTACAAAGTACAATGCTGTGCTAGCTGACGCTGCTAGCGGCGACGGTTTTGACTGCTGGCGGCCGGCCGGAAGCGTCGCATGTCGCACTCTCGATGGATCTTTTTCTTCTTTTTTTCCCTTTTTTTTTAAACCTCTCATCGCTTCCCGACTTGGCGCTTCTGTGCCTGGTTGGTAGCGACAAGCGCAAGGGCTATGCGCTAGCCCTGACACGTTCTCCTCGTGTTGAACAGTCTTTTTACTTACTACAAATTAGGCAAATTAAGGTTAAATTCATGGTAGTATGGTGTGGATCCCGCTTTTACTGCTAATTCCGCGACACCTCATGCTTGCCCTGTCCAATGGTCGCAGCATGTGTAGGCTCGTTAGGCTGCAGCATGTAACATGGCAGGTCTTCATCTTTCATACCTTGGGTCTTTTTTCTCTCTCTCTCAACCATCTTCACCTTCCAAAAATGGGAAAATGCGCCCATCTTCCATCTTTCGGCCCAACACAGCCCTGCATCACCCTGATGAGTGGCGAGCTGAAACAGCAATAATGAGTGACTGCTTGCATCCAACTGCACCTTCGTCTACGGAGCCACGCAATCTTCCGCAATGATCCTCGGCTTTCCCTACCGAGTGTGTCCATCCATCATCCAATGATGCCGCCCCCACCGTTCCCGCCACTGAGACATGTAATGTAGTCACGCGCATCTCAGCTTTCCCTGTTATATGTAATGCTTTAGAGACATTGCTTTGAGCACGTTTACAGCATACTCGTTGCAGCTTTGATTCAGCATGCGATATGCAACATGCTAGTAAAAGGCACACATCACCACTCAACTGCAGACCGAATCGACGCATGGCCTCCCACCTGAAATAGTACATCAACATCAAAGTTTTCTAAAACCGCCATATCATTCCAAGACAAATGTCAATAAAGTAGGACCGGCTGTCCCAGCTTGCCAGGGTTCTTTTGCGCCGTTGTGCAGTTCAGCTCTTGGCTTTTGTCTTCATCATTTTTATCCGACATAACAAGGTGCCATACCACCTGTCGTCTGACACGGTGTACGGTGTACGGATGAGTTATATGGAGCCATGGACTGCATCGTGAGAACAAATGGACTGCGTCGTGAGAACAAATGGTGAAAACAAGTGGTGAGAAAGAGTCGGCAACGGGCTGGACAAGGCACAAAGCAGCCATGACGGCCGGTCATTGCTAAAGTATCCCGCCTCGGCATCGTATAAATGCCCAATGCACAACTCTTTCGCCGCGGCCTGTCGTCGATACACGTCGTAGCTGCTACGGCCTTTGTCAAACGACAATGGGGGGGTGACCTACCAGGACTCAATCGTTGGGTATGGCTTCTCCTTCACACCGAGAAAGACAGAATGTGGCTGGCTGAGCAAGTTGATGTCGTAAATAGGCGCTGCACACGATGCAGCATGTATGCAACGCAGGGCGAGAGGAGTGAGCTGAGTCGTCACTGATCCTTGAATGGAACGGCGTCCTTGAGCTTGCACGCGTCTCACGTCCTATTTAAACTGTGTCTAATCCCCAGAGAACTCAACCTTTCATCCTTCCATCTCATCACTTCACTCCTGCACTCCATTCATCTCCCATCCAGCATCAGAGAAACACTCCGCCCCAACACATCACAACCCCGTGAGACCACTGCATACATCTTGTTGTACACCTGCTTCGCAGATTACGCAAGACATCACCATGGCTCATAACACCTACATCCCCCGCCGCAAGGACTGGAAAACAGTCATCAATGAGAGAATCGACCTCTACAAGGCAGTGTCCCGCAGTGGTGACACGACAAAGACGGATTTCATTCTGCTCCATGATCACCTCGCTCATGAAGACCATTACCGCACCATCACCGGGGGTCCCTGGGACCAGATTGAAGATGCCTTTGAAGCCACGGAGGAGTGGCACAAGTTGCATTCAATAGCCAATGGCGGCATTCACACGGTGGCGAGCATGTATCATGATGTGCACGAGAGCATGGCAAATCTGAAAGCGAGCGGCGAGATCAGAGCGGAAGCCTGGGAAAAGCATCTCAATGACCAAATCAACGCAAAGGAGAAACAAACCCACGAAATGTGGGAGAACATACGGAAGGCGGGCCATGATACGATCGCGGACATGCCCAAACCCAATCGAGACGGCGCCGGCAGCGTCTTCATTTCTGCCATGGGGGCTGTTGCGGATTTTGCCGCCAAAGCTGTCAATTGGCTCAAAGGTGCGGTGGCGTCAGTTGGCAGCTGGCTTAGAAATGCGTGGCAAAAGATTGTGGGCTTTGCAAAAACGGTCGCCAACGGGTTCGTCACTGCATGGCACGCCGTGCTGAACTTTTTCGGCGGCGGTGGGAACAACAACTTTGCCATCCTGGCCTCTGAACCCGCCGTCCATGTCCCGACGGACTCTGGCGAAGGTTGCCGCAACCGCACCAGCTCTGACGGCCGCCACGTTGGCGACCACTCTCATCCCCAAGCCGGTGGTGATGGTCGACATTCAGGACGTGCGACGTCTGAATAACGAACGTCGCTCCCAACTTTCTGACAAGAAAACCCGACGGGGCATAAGGGTCATGTGAATGCCAACTCTTCCTCTTGAACACCAAAACAGAGAAGAAAAAAATACGAAAAAAAAAATTCCTCCCCTTCTTTCAACATTTACATTGAAGAGGGTCTTCAACAACCTTCTACAGCATTGCTTTTTTCCCCGCCTCTCGTTGAGGCCCGCATTCTTTACCCATTGAACAACACAGATGATTGGTTTGATGTCGAGCACTTTTGTTCATTGTACAGTCTACAGGCGGCGCTCACGTGTAGCCTTCTGGTCTATCTAGGCTGAAGTTGTGAGGCCGCACTGGCATATGTCCTAAAATACTACTAACCTTGGTCAATCTGTGATATGGAAAATTAAAACGATTCAAGAGCAAACTTTCCCCCCCGGTGCAATTGACCCTGTGACTAGAGTAGCGCATGTTCATGATTAGTGACGGCATAAATGTCAGGCCCATACTTGCAATGCACGCGCTGACTACTTGGATAGTTACACCCACTGCACATTTAACAAAGCCATAAATGGACAAGACTCTTGGCAAGTGGAGTGTACAGTGGGATGCTATAGATTCCGTGAGATTTGGCACAGTCCTTTGCTGATGAACCAAACACTTGTTCAACTCAAAACGTGTCTTACCGAGACGCTCCCAATTGACTTGAGTCAGGCTTTGCGGGCCAGGCATCCCCTCCTCGAGCCTCCGGTATATCAAATAGCGAAGGCAAAATAGCCGAGATATATCATATCGCCTTTTCTGACTTGAAGAAGAGGAGAAATGACAGCCTTGTTTTGGATCCCCCCTGACCCCATGAACGTTGCAACTATCACAGAGCACTGCCTCAATACCCAATAAGAGGGCTTATCTTATCCACACCAACGATAAGCGTAGATAGGCAATAACCTCAGGGAACCTAAGACAAAGCGTCGCCTTATAACTCCAAATAACGTGGCCTAAGGCTAGGAATCGGGATATATAAAGTGATTATTTATCCCTCATAGCTTTATCTAATGTAAGGCTAATTTCCCTATTATCTTCGCGTTCTATTATTCCTCTATGCTATGTTAGCTATGCTGCTGTCTTATGTAACCATAACGACGCTCCATAGCAACGTGGTATCGCGTTGCAGCAAAAGCGGGATCCACACTTTACTGGCATGAATTTGACCTTAAGTACTGTTCAACAGTAACTATCGCAGCAGCCCGATTAGGAACGGGGCAGTGGATAATGGCAGAGCTGATTCGTTGGCTTGCCGACCAGTTCGAGACCCTAGTTACCCGTCGAATCGTTACTCCAGGAGCCATGGTAACACGGCCGATGTACTGACTCTGTACATAAAGCAAACTTATTCCCTATATCATAACGGGTAAAATTGAATGGTTGCGGTATGAGTCTAGACTTATTCGCCGCCAAGGCTGTCTAGTGTGTCCAGAGTCAGTTCTAATCACCACTATAATCTATACTTGTGTATAAAATGACAGACAACTTGGATAATATGATACGACGGTATAATACTACCGGGAAATTAGTCTGTACTAGGCGAGGGCATGTAAATAAATCGTTGTCAATTGAAATGTATATGTAGTGGTAATAAATTCGCTTATTAGTAAGTAGAGTAGCCCTACGGCAATATAGTAGTATACGCCATACATTGTTCAGACTTGAGAGCTTGAATACAAATCGTGGCAACTTTTTTCGCGGTTTATTGACTTGAAAAAGCTAATTCACTATATAAGCCCGATCATAATAGAGATGTATTGTCATCTTTCCGACTCACGCCCATCTATAAAGCAGCTCAGCAAAAAGTAGCTTCTATAGTCTGCGACTTTATATGCCAAGAGTAACACAACGCTGAAAGCAATGCTATATGGGTATTTCACTTGATGAATGACACATACTCGACTCGTTGATACAGACTCACATTGGCAAGGACAATACTGCAATGAGTCGCTCGCAGAACGAGTTACTTGTAGCACGAGGTGACTCGTACAACGAGTCGCTCATAGGCTCAAAAGTATAAAGATGACATTACTGCCGATGACCTTCGCTTCTTTACACAAACACACACCATAGCTCCAAGAACCATCCTCTACACATTACCTTTTACGCAGAGTACCAGTTTGTACACGACAAGATGCCAGCTTTGAAGAAACTCTTGACCATTCTCACGGCGGCTCTATACTCATCAGCCCTCGTGGGAGCTGCTGAAGAGCAGAAATATATTGTCGTTCTCAAGGAGGGCATTTCGGCGCGCAGTGTTGATTTCCACATCGCACAGGCTCGCAACATACACAGCAACTCTCTCGGCCGCAGAGAGCTTGACCTCGCCGGCATTGAGGATACTTATTCTATCGGAGACTTTCAGGGCTATTCTGGCACCTTTGATAATGACACCATCGCAAAGATCCAAAATCTTGCCGAGGTACATCGCCATGGCACACCAACCTCTACTCTACGCGTGATATCCTGTTGCTAACTTCGAAGCATTTAGGTTGACAGTATTGTGCCCGATCAAGCCGGGAAGGAGCTCGTCTTGGTCAGACAGGATAATTCAGACTACGGCCTAGCATCAATCTCTAATCGAGGCCCGGCAGCTACCTTGTATCGGTATGACGACACTGCTGGAAAGGGAACATTCGGGTACGTCGTCGATAGTGGCATCCAAAGCTCTCACCCAGAATTCGAAGGCCGAGTGACCCAGGGATACAGCTTTGACGGCAACTTTGATAATCCCACACCCCACGGAACCATGGTTGCTGGCGTTTTGGCCTCGAAAACCTATGGAGTTGCCAAGAAAGCCGAGATTATCAATGTTCGAATCTCTAGTGCCCAGCAGAGAGTTACCGAATCATCAATCCTTGGTGGTATCAACTGGGCGGTTAATGACATTGTCGACCGTGGGCGAGTTGGCAAAGCCGTCATCAACGTGTCACAGAGTACGTACACAAGAAACAGAAGCCGAGTTGTTGGAAAACAGAAAAGGCTGACTACTTCAAAGCGGGCGGAGCCAACCCCAATGGCCCTTCGCCAATCAATTCAGCCGTAGAGGCTGCGTTTCGACTTGGAATTCTCACCATCGCTGCGGCGGGCAATGCCTTCGGGACAGTTGAGTCGGAATCCATAACACCCGGCTCGGCGCCGAATGCACTCACAGTCGGCGCTATTGACAAGAGCTGGAAGTTTTCCGATTTTTCCAACCATGGAAAAATGGTGGATATTCTGGCCCCGGGAACAGACGTTCTGACCATTTCGAGCAAGGAGGCAGGAGCGGTGCGAACTTCTGGAACATCGCTGGCGGCGCCGTACGTGGCCGGCATCGCGCTCTACTTGTGCGCCGTGCAGAATTTCCGCACGGCCAAGGACCTGACGGACAGGATCAAAGCGCTCGGCACGCCCGGCAAGGCCAGCAACCTGCCGGCCAACACGGTCAACTTGGTTGCCTACAATGGCGCCCCGGCCTTGGATGCCGGCACCGTGGTGTTTGAGCCCGGCCGCGAGTTGCCCGAGGGCGCGCAGTGAGTGATGACAGACGGCCCGGAAGCCGGAAGAACGATCTCCCGTCACCCAGTATATCCGGCAACATGTCCGTACCATACAACCAGATAGAACTTACACAATACAACAACTTCACCTCTTATCCTATGTGTGCCTTGTTGGTTCCATTAGTGAGAGCCCGAGAGGGAGGCGGAGAAGCAAGGGAAAGAATTGGCACATGTACTAGAATTTACCCCCTATTCAACATAGAAAGGTAGTTAGTAACAGCGCGTTGTTGACAAATTTGAATCCTCAGTTGGAACAAGGTGACAGTTTTAAGTGTGACTATCGGGAGCCCTCGCCTAGTACAGACTAATTTCCCGGTAGGCGGGCCGGGAATCACCTCCGTTCTTTAAGGATACAACACCCGGCGATGCTCGACCATGGACTGTTATATATATGACCTCGCACTTCTTTCCAACGAGAATAGTTGAGGGCAAGGCGGGGAAGAGAGGGTGTGTAAGAGAAGGCGGGGGAAGATGATTAAACAGATGGAAGGGGTGGATTATCTTAGATATTCTGATTGAGCCCGCCGATAAGACATGCGGCTACGCAACCTATTCGAGTGCCGCAAGCTCATGCTGCTCGCTACAATCCTATACGAATTGGTCACGGAACTAGGCCCTTACTACGCCCATACCTTCCTGCAATTAGAAGCGCAACCCCCTATTGAATACGAGGGGTACATCAATAATTCCTCAAATATTTCGCGCAAATAAATACATCAGAGAGGCGCTTCTCGCAGAGCGGTTGCCAGCCCGTACCCCGCTTCACCAATCCTACCTACCATGGAGATGTTTTCTTGCGAGCTTTTTCTAGTTACACTGAGGTCAGGCATCCACGACCCGGAACATCACCCCAACTGGTTTTCGGCTGCGTCTCGTATTACATCATGGTAGCCATGTTCCAGTTCAGCCGTGTCTCGGCATGGGATATCGTCGGCTGTCACCAGTACTGCGATCTACCGCTGGCAGTATCTTGCCGCAAACTGAATACATTGCATGATGCAATGCATGAATACGTCAGTCTGTACTCGTTCACATGTCACGTCCAAACTCACCTGAAACTACTTGAGCTATATAATCCCCTACAACCGCCGCATTGACACAACCGAACAGCACCACATCCCTCACTGTCCTGTATTGTTTTCACGCACCTCTCACGCACCTCTCACATCATTTCGCAACCCAAGTCATGGCCAACGAATCCAAGCTTCAGCGTCGCGCAGAATGGGCTCCGCACAAGGAGGTACTTCTCGCCTGGCCTGGCTTAGAGGGGGTTCTCAAGGATCATCCTGAAAGGTTGGCAAGGGCCACGCAAGAAGTGTCAAACATTGCTGAAGCCATCGCCAACTTTGAGCCCGTTACTCTTCTTGTGGGCAATGAGCGCATTACCGAGGCTGAGAAATACTTTGCCAAAGTCGATACACCGTTCCCAATCAGGCTGCACCGTATTGAAGGCGCAGAATTGGGCATATGGCAGAGAGACATGGCCCCAACCTTCGTCATCAAGTCTGGAACAGACATTAGCCTTGTTGGCCTTGATTGGAACTTTAATGGCTGGGGAGGTCGATACCCGACTGCCACGACCACGAACCTGGCGAGAACGTTCCTGCAAGACGTCTCAATCGAGCGGATTGAGACCTCCATTGTGACCGAAGGTGGTGCCCTCGAGGCGGACGGTGAAGGAACTCTGTTGGCGACGGAAAGCTCAATCATCAATGACAACAGAAATCCAGGCAAGAGTCGTCAAGATGTTACAGAAGAGCTTCAACGTACTCTTGGAGCCGAAAAGGTCATCTGGATCCCTGGCAAACCGGGCGCCGACGCCAAGGACTGCCATATTGACGCCCTAGCCCGTTTCGCTAGGCCAGGTGTCGTCTTACTGAGCAAAGCCAATGAGGTCACGCCGGGTGTCAGGACCACCGTCTATGAAGAAGCTCTTGAGATGCTACAAAATGAGGTTGATACAAAGGGTCGTCCGATGGAGATTATCGAGATAGAGGAACCCGACCCGGAGCTCTTCTCGGCGGGCGGCTTCGGGGATGATCCTGCTGTTCGAAGCTACGTCAATTATGTGCTGGTCAATGGAGGCGTTATTCTGCCACAATTTGGCGATCCGGCTCATGATGCTGCCGCCATTCGAGTGGCGCAAACGGTCTTTGGCGACGAGAGAAGGATCTACCCCGTTCTGATGGAGGAACTGCCACTTTTGGGAGGCGGACCTCATGCGGCGACGCAAGAAATCCCCATGTTCCCATAGTTCCTCTATTCCTCTATTATCCACGCAGTCGGCACCTGTATCCGACCGTTTCAAGGCAACTAAAGCCTGCCGCCGAGGTTCTAGATAACGTTGAGATCCTTCAATGAGCGAACGCGTTCTTGAGAATTTGCCTGCAGATTGAATAGTGGCAGTTTAAATTGATAAAATCCCCAAATGTCGAAAAGTACTACTGCAGTTGTTTGTCCGCGAACCTCCATAGAAAAGCCTAAATCATAGAGCAAAACTCCTGACCAGGTCCTCTTTATCAATGCTATGATTGACCAGTCCCCAAAACTGCCCCTTCTGCCGATACAGCTCAGCTGGCTTGCCAAATTCCACCACTTTTCCGTCCTGCATGACAAGCACCTTGTCCAGCTGACAGACGGTGGCCAGCCTATGAGCAATTACCATGACTGTGCTATCATGCAGTGCTTCTTGGATCATTGTCTGTATCACAGCGTCTGTCTCCATGTCGACGGCACTTGTCGCCTCGTCCAGGATGATAATCTTCTTTCGCGAAAGTATTGCCTTGATGAGACACAATATTTGTCGTTGGCCTTGAGAGAGATTGGATCCGCCATCGTTAACCATGAAAGACAAATCAGGAATTTCTGCATCGCTCTCCTTTTTTGCACTTGCGGCTACGGAGAAGAATCGGTACTGCTGCAAAGAGGCAACTAATTCCTCATCAGAATAAACGTTATCCGGATCAATGGTGGCACGGAGGGAGCCACGAAAGAGATGCGGATCTTGAGGAATGGTAAGGATTCGATTGCGCAATACCTCGAGTTTGACACGAGAAATGTCAACTGAATCGATGAGAATGCTTCCGTGCCGTCTCTCAATAAGCCGCGCAAAGGCCAACGCCAAGGTCGATTTCCCCGCGCCTGTTCTGCCAACTACGCCAACCGTCTCACCGGGCCTGATGATGAAAGATACGTCGCGCAAGGCATCAGAAAGACCAGGGCCGTAGCCAGCCACATAGTGAGAAACGACAAGATCGCCTTTGTCAGGCCACGAAGTGTCCATGTTCAAACCATCCATTGGCTCCTGTTCAAGGCAACCATATTCGTGAACCCTCTCAGCGGTCCTGAGGCTGGAATCCATTGAGGATATGTGCTGAAGAAGGGCTGATACCGTACTGCCAAGCTGTACAGCAAAGGACAGTGCCGCACCTGCAGCGCCGCCTTTCGCGTTGGACGCAATAATTGTGTAGCAAGAGAGTGCAACGTATATGGCTCCCAGAAGTCCGAGCTGAAATTCTGTCACAACACTGTGTAAACTATTATACCACGTCGCCGACGCCATATCATCCAGTAGTTTATTTGCCCGTTGCGAGAAGTGATTTTTCACCCCATACGTGCGCACCGTCGAGAGTCCATCCAGAGCGTACAACGAACTGCGATGCTGCGCAAATGCAGATGTCGTTTTCGAGTAGACAGAAGTCAAATATTTTGTTGCCGGAATGAGTTTTTTTCCAATTTTGAGGAACAGCCAGAACAGAGCAATCATGGCAGGAGTACTGTACAAAGATAGCGAGGCACTATAGAACTGTAAGCATGCTTGAAAAACCACGTGAGGCTCGTCGGAAGGCAAAAACTTACCTACTCAATAGAACGGTTATGAGCTGGCTACAAAGCGCTAGAAAAGCACCGATCGAATAGGTCAAGTCCTCATCGACGATCCTTATATCCCGGTCACAGCGCTGAAGGATATCACCATGTGAAGTCGATTCAAGCCATCGGAGTGGTGCACCGAAAATATGCTCCATCATGCGATAAAATAGCTTTTTCGAAGCAGCTCTATAGAGTCTGAACATGAAGAGTCCTCGAATAGACATAGTCAGAGTTGTCAAAGCACTCATCACCATATATGCTTGACCAGGCGAAAGAGAATAAGGCGTCGAAGGTTCTCGAGGTTTCTCACCTTCTGACACCCATCTCTCAAGGGACAAGGACACAGAGATTGTGTTCCATTCGCAAATTGCCAGCAAAAAGATAGCTAGCAGCCAGTTTACTGCACCACCACTAGCGTTGAAGTACATGATGTAGGGAGCTAGCCGGAAGGTTTCTTCCGCTGCATCTGGTTTGCTAGCTTGGGCTGGTGTGTCGGTTGCTTTTTTATCGGGTGAGCGGCGAAGTGAGTCAAAGCTAAACCCATCATCCGCGAGAGAAGAGGCTTGGGTGCTCTGCGTGATTGAAGGAGGAGTTTTCTTCGGCACTATTTCACCGACGCCTGTTTGGTCTTGAATGAGCAGTCGATATGAGATCTCGGAATGCACTTGATCTTCGTGGTGCGTTACAAGGATACGAGTCCTACCACGCGAAAGACTCCCACAAAGTGCCTTTTCCACAATCCATTTACGAACCTCGGCATCGACAGCGCTGAGCACGTCATCCATTAACAAGAAGCTGGCGCGGGAGTAGAGAGCCCGCGCCAGTGCGATACGAGATCGCTGTCCGCCGCTGAGAGAGACACCTTTGATCGTGATGACCGTCATATCTCCGTCTTTGAAGTTGAGAAGATCCTTGTCCAGCGCACAGCAGTAGAGCACATGAGAGTAGCGTTGGGCGTCCATAGGTAGACCAAACAGAATATTGTCCTGTATTGTGGCATTGTCCATCCATGGATTCTGGGATACCAATGCGAAACTACCTGGCTTGGTCCAGTTCTCCGCGTGGTATTCCTCAGTATGTTCGCTCTTGGACGAACAAGGACGGCAAATATCGCCAGACAAAATCTTTGCTTCACCGGCAAGAGCAGACAAAAGCAAAGACTTTCCGCTCCCCGTTTTGCCAGTTACTATGCTTAACTCTCCTGCAGGAAACTCGGCCTGTACGTTTCTCAGTTGAAAAGCCGCGGTATCATTCCCTTTAGTATGCCAGGTAATGGTGGCATTACGCAAGGACAATACAGAGGACGAGACAAACTGAGAATCTTTCATTTCTTCCTTTCTTAAAAAAGCATCCAATTCACCGGCACTATTCCAGCCGGCTCTAATTCGAGGAAGTTCCTGAGGAATGGCCCACAACTGCGACTGTAGGTCCTTGAAGAGGCTGATGAATGTAAAAGCCACGGATGCAGTCAACTCATGACTCTGCTGTGCGTATAGGTATACGGGCAGACCGCTCAAAACAGCAGGGCTGATGTCTCCGATTATTTCCATCCAGAATCGCAAGAACGCAATGTCGCTATATCCTCGCACCTCTTTATCTCTAATCTGGTAGATCTTTTGCTTCCAGCACGCCTCGGCGGCAGACAGCTTGATCTGGCGAATAGCAAGAAGTGCATCCCGCAGAGTCGCATTTCGGCTGCTCATAAGCTTCCATATTTGAAAGAGAGAGGCAGTCCACCGATTCATAAATTCCATGGTGAGAGGCGTAATGGAGAGTGCCGCTGCGATGGCAATGGCAACTGACTGCCACCGAACAAGAGCGATGAGAACCACGGTTGTGAAAATTAGCTGTGTAAAGAGCCCGACTACCCGGTGGAGGATTGGAAACGCAGAACACGCGCGAGCACTACAAATGAATGTTAGCAATTGACAAACAGCGGTCGGTCACATCGGGTTCGAACCTGAGTGCATTCATGTGTAGTAACGTAGCCATACTTTGCGCCTCTTTCTCCTCAGCGCTAAGGGTGATGGTCGGCAGTGATAGGACCTTTTGATACGTCAATGACGCCAACGTGTAGCGCATGGGTACATCAATCATGCTGGTGCCGATCCATTTCATCCAAGAGGAAATAATTACGGGTAGAAGGTGGGACAGACCGAGCAGCGATGCCAAAAACATCTTCTCGCGGGTGCCACTCTCGCGCTCGCCGCCCAGATGCTGGAGCAATCGATATAAAATTAGATTTGGCCCCAGTGCAGCCAAAGAGTTCAAGATGGAAAAGCTGGACTGGAGAATCAGTGCACCAGAGTATTCTTTGAGCAGAACGAAGCCAAGCCGATGGGTACTAAACCGGGATGCGAAACGGCGATGGTTTTCTGTCAATGTTGATGTCCGAAGGCGTACAGGAAGCAAGGGTAGAAGGTTGATGTCGCGTTGTCTCAAGTCTTGCAGTCGAAAAACTTTCCTGGGCCAAAGAAAAAATAGTACTTCGATTAGACAGGCTGTATTTTGGCGGTCCACGGAACGGCCTTGAGGTAGCTTGCTTCTCTCTCTTGGAACCGAGAGGAAGATGGCCAGAAGCAAAATAGATAGCAGAATAGTAACAAGCGACTGCGGCGTGGCGTCTGAGGATTCTAAATTCTGGCTACCGTTAATGCCTTCCACAATAACGAGGAGAGCAGACGAAGCAGCCCCGTCGATGACGGATCGACAGGGTTTCGCAGTCATTATTTCTCGACATAAAGTAAAGGCGTGGCCGGCCGCAAGAATCTAGGGAGTATTAGAAAGAGGCTCTGACCAAGAGAATTAAAAGAAGTTCTCTCACCCAAGGTAGAATCCGACCAAAGGAAGTAGCGAAGCGCACGGAGGCGGAAAGGGCAGCGCACAGCCCAATGGCAGCGCTTGCGGTCATGAATAGTCTATCCCGTGACATTTTTGGTAGACCATGCTGACGTATCGGTCGAAATAGAAAGCTGAAGATGCTGTGTGCGGTCATTATACCAATCAACATGGATGCGGTGCTGATACATGGTGGAAGAAGACTGGGGTTTGCGTTTGCCCATGAGAGCAAATGCCAGTCGGGACGATTCGCACCAGCAGACATGTTTACAGCGTCAGCTACCCGAGGATTGCATTCACTGCGATGAACGAGTTCCCGAGCAAAAGGGGAAAAGAAAGGATGAAAGAATGAGCCACGCTGTCTCGACGATGCTCTCTGATGGAACCCCGCACAAGCGCTGCGCCCCCGAGCCTGGTTGTTGTGAAGGCCACAATGTACCTACCACAGCATTGTCCATGCATGTACCCATAGAAATGGCTCGTGGGCTGTGTGTCAGACTTCCTATCTATTTTGCTTGCACATCCATATCAAGAAAGTGGCGTTTGCAATTGGCTTTGAAGCTCGGTAGCACCTCGTGGGCACCCTCAGAGTTCATCTCGTGCACTCTGGTATAAAAAACAACAGGACTGCCACATGTCACGCAGGGACGACCCCCTTTCGCTCTCAGCCTGCCTGAATTGCTCGACAACTGCAAGCAAAACCGCCCCGGCTAAAGCAAGGCCGCCTGCACCAAAACGGATGACTGTCCGACAACCCGCCTCCACCAAGCCAAGGTGCTGCCATGATGTCAGGATTTGGGCTGCACACCCCCCTTCACTTAACGCTATAAATAGTATGCTTGACCGTGACGCTATTGGACAGAGTATGCCATCATTGCATACTGTGACAATGTGTTAGATTCAGTGACGAATACAGTCCGAATACGCCATCCCTATAGAGCAGCTTAAACAGACGCATGTGCCAGATAGGGTCACTGCTGAGCAGAGAGTACGACAACCAATTACTCCATTCATAATAGTTTTCTAGGTCGCTGTAGTACTTGTTTTCGCACCCTTCGGCTTTTTCATAGTCTTGATGTAATTCTCCTGGTCGAGTCCGACCTCTTTGTGCCAAGTAAGCAATTTCTCAAAATTGATACAGTACTTATTTATGGAACTATTTCGTCGGAAGTACTGTTAGCCTCGGCATCGAGGAAAGGCATTTTCCAAGTGTATCCAAGTACTTACAAGTCTGGGAAGGGATACTCCTGCTCTTCCCGCCAGTGGCGAGTTACAAGGTTCACGTTGTTACTTGAAGCACATTAGCACCATAAGATTTGCAGAATGCTGGTTCTTCAATCATAACAGTACCTGCAAGATATATGCTGAAAAAGAATGTCGGCACAGTGGTTGAGATGGCCTTCCAAATGGCCGTTGCGGTTGTTTGCGTCTGCTATTCGCCAATGTTAATACTAGTCATGTAACCAAGTGATCTAGGAGCATACCCGAGATACTGTAATACGTCCCATAGGCTGCCCTTCTTAACCTATCACCCACGGGCTCAGTAATTGCTCTCAAAACGTAACAAAATATCCACGTACGTATTCAAGCAGTGCAGGTTGTGAAAAACGTCCAGAGCAGCGACGTAGGCGTTGTCGCCTAGTCCCCAATCTTGATCTTCAAGCTTTGCAACGGTCTCCGGATTCTTTCCCATCTTGATAATTTGCTCACGCGTAATGGCAATAGGCCTGATCAAGTCGATATCTTGCTCCCATTGCGCATCGGCTTCTGAGTTCGGAAACTGGCGGGCGATACTAGGATGTTCTGGAGCAACCACGGTGCCGTTGATCAGCCGAATGGATGGTTCAAGGTCCACCAGGTCGAATATCGGACCTTCCATATTGTCAACATCAATCATCATGACTGACCAGCACGAACGGCAGGTCACGTATGCGTCGTACTGGGGTGCGCACTCACTGTAACTCGATGTGGCTCGTAGTTCTGCATTTAAAACGTCATGGCGTGTTTTGGACTTTTGAATGTACATATGCAAGTACATTTCCACATTCAGCAGTAGTATTGCAATGTTGCAAACTGTAAAGAGAATAAAAAGTGAAGTGCGCCATTGGTTGATTCGCGAGGGATTCCCCGTCATTGAAGCTCCGCCGCTGCCGTTGAAACGCCGAGGGTCAGTTGGAAGGGGAAAATAGCGATGACTATTTTCACCTCTGAGGGAAGCCATATGCAGTGCTAGTGAACACGAGTATTAGCTGTCAGCTCTCTCGCATATAATCACCTGCGGCAAGCCTGTCTCAACTAACATACTTGGTTATGCCGTAAAATTTAGGGCACGAGTTCAAGGGCTAGGATAGACGGCTCAATTTGCAACGGAATAAAAAATGGTTTGGCATGGTTTGGCCTGTTTCAGCAGAGGGGAGGGAACAGAAATGTGACTACACGAGGCTCCGCTATGCGAGTGAGCAACAGGTCACTTCGAGTACGCTGGTTAGTTCTAGAAACCAATTGCGTCTAGAATACCACAAACTGTAGGCTAGGACGTATCATAGTTAGTAGGGAGCTGCGTCGAGTCGACGGGATGACGAGTGGGGCTTTGCTGCAGGAGGCCTCGCAGGATGAGGAGGCTTTACAGGAGGAGGAAGCCTTGCAGGAGGAGGAGGTCTTGCAGCAGGAGGAAGAGGCTTTGCAGCAGGAGGAGGAGGCTTTACAGGAGGAGGAGGCCTTGCAGGAGAAGGAGGCCTTGCAGGAGCGTAGAAGATGCATTTTCTCTGCTGAGAGCAGCGCATATCACTACTGATTTGACCCTTCCACTATTGAAGCCTACTCCACCAGTCTTGTTAGTTTGGCGACAACTCGATGCGAGAGTAGGAGCATCTCGGGGTAGTCCAGAAAGATTGTGTGTATAATTTTATCATTAACATATGTCTGTACTGCTAAGAATGACCATGAAATCCAAAATCGACGTGCGTCAAACGTTTCCTACAATACCCGGCAATGATTTAGGCTGCAGCTCAACTGGTCTAAGCTATCGTGCCGCCCGGCATGACCTGCATATTGTCACCTTCAAAAGTTCCATGTGAATCAACAAACTGATAGTACTGGTCTAGTTGTCATCGACTAGTATAAAGACCTCCATCTCCTCAAATACTTTTCGGTATTGTGAAGCACCATCAACATTGAAAACATACCAAAATGAAAGTTCCCGTCACTCTTCTTCTCATCGCCCAGGCGTTCTTCGCTGCAGCAGGTGCTGCTGTTGTTGCTCGTGTACCTGAAGAGCACCAGGGATTCGACGTACTTCGCGCTCGGGTGGGAGCCCCTCCGCCTTACCATCCGACTCATGATGGGGAACAGTATGTATTCCGAGACGCTGTGTTGCTTCATTAAACTAATGTGTCTCAAGATAACTCTCATCGGCCAGGAGGGGGGGGGGTTAAAAGTACATCACACTCTTACTTCCTCTCCTATTCTGTCTTGAGGCCTATAGTTCCGCTTTTCGTATATTATGGTAGAACACTCTCGTTGATATTATCTTACCAAATAAATAATATACACAGTGCTCTAATAACGACGGTGTGATCGTACCTCTGTGAGAGCTGCTCGTCACCATAATGATATTCCTCTGTAGCCTACTTTATGCCTCCTGTGTAGTTGGTTGTTTTGTAACATCCCGTGGCAAGCTATAAGAAATAAGTTCCACCATGCCACGCAAGCGTGCTGCTCCCACCGACAATGGTACACATGCCAAAAAAGCCAAGACAACCACCCAAACCAGCCCCGACAAGGAGACGACACCAACCGCGCCTAGTGCGGCAGCGGCAGCGGCAAAAGTCCCCCAGAGGTGGTCGCCCGTTTCCGTCTCGGCCAACATTGCTAAAGGGCACGAGGAGCGGTTCGCACAGCCCAACGAGGAGTTCGTGTTCGAATGCTATTGTCCGCCTCGGTTTGAACGCGCATTGGATGAATGGGAGGACGAAGAAGACGATGAGGATGAGGATGAGAATGAGGATGAGAATGACGAGAACAAGAACGCAGATCAGCCCAAGTGCGATGCCGCAAAGACCTGCCTCTGCCACAAGAAGGCTACGGACCATCCGGATCACCCGTGGGTGCTCAGCGTGGCTGGCGAGCAGATGTACTTGTCCCAGTTTATCATGGCCCATTTGCGACCCAGACAACTTCAGCATGTACACAGTGTGCACCTGCACTCGATGGTATAAACTTCACTTCGTAAACCGCCATTATCAGCCAGCCTCGCATACGGGCCTACGATCATCAAGAGCTCATCAGGTTGCGCCACTTGCAAGGGATTCGTAAGCGACGAGAGAATAGGATCTTCTGGTCGTGGAGAAGTCGCATTTTTTTGCATTTTCGCATTTTTCTTCTTTCCCGTGTGATGGTGGTTGGTGGTGGTAAATGTCGCAGTGAAAAACGGTCCGTTTGTAAAGGAAATGCTGGAGACCGCCTTCCGCCTGGCATACCACAAAGCCGTAGGTACCTGGGTACCGAGTACTCCGTAGACCTTCCATCATCATCACCATGACAGATATCGAGCCGGCCACTGGGCCATCAAATTGACTATTGACACCATCGATTCGCGCTGAATCCGTTACTCGCTCTGATGTACGAATTATTGCGCGTTTGCCTCTGCCGCTCCTTGAGCTTGCCACCATCCACCCCGGTGACCAGTAGCTACTAAATATGATGTAGGGCAAAATAACTTGACCCCACCACAGCTAGCCGCCCGCAGTAGTTATGTACCTACATACGCGAGTAAGGCCTGTTTTTGGACAGGGTACTAGACAGGTCGTTTTTTTAATAGATAATTTTCCCCTGTCACAACGCTGTTGACGTCTCTGACACGGCTTATAAAAAATATACATGTTTTTTAACACGTACTGACAGCCTGACAGCGTTGTGACAGGGGAAAATTACATGTTGAGCGGAAAACGTGTCCAGTGCCCTGTCAGAAAACAGGCCTCACGCGCGTAGGTAGTTATCCCTACCAGGCTGTTTGTTGTCTGCTGATAACAGGTGGGTAGGTACGGAGTACAGTACGTACAGTACCTACGAATTACGTAGGTAGGTATTTCCTGTAGGGGTAGCATGTACAAATGCGTACATATGATCCCACCGCATTCTGGTGTCATCACAAGTAGCCTTATTACCGAGCCTTTTAACCCATCACCGCTCCTCAACAAGCCTCCCTATGCTGTCCGTTTTCCCTCGGCCTCTGCACAGATTCATTTCGTTGCTCACCTTCCATAGGTACATACCTAGCTAAGTACCTAGGTGGCAGGCAAACAAGCTAGCCTGGACCTGCTCGCTGCCCCTCACCTCAATCTCAAGAGCGCCCCAGGTCTGCCCGCCACATCAGGGGCGGAAAATAAAACAAGGCTTGGTCAAATGAACAATCGCTCTTCCAACCAACTTACCCGGCCAATTAGCCACATCTTCGCCATGTCGGACGCCGGTGATAGGTATGTGACTTTCTCGGAGCGGCGACTACGCAATCAATCTGCCCTTGGCCCCTCCTCGGTTACCTGAACTCTCTTCCCCTCAGTCCACATGCTTCTCTCCTAGGCGCGTAGTGGACCAACCGACCGCACCACCAAGTGCTGGTCCATCCATCGCTCTCCCGCCTCTGCAACCTCTTCCCCGCCCCGTTCGCCCTCTTGTGCCTGATCGCAAACTGACTCTCGCCCGTCTCCTTGCCTCTCTCTCATAGTACGCACAAGCGCTCCAGATCTTCGGCAGCCCTCGCCTTGCTCAGGCGACGAGAAACTCGCGACGAAGAGTCGGGCTCCGACGACGCTCGCTCCACTGTCGGAGGCGCAGCATCTCCCAAGCAGTCCAAGTCGTCCATCCTGCCTATTTCCCGCACCATTTCGCACACAAGCAAGCTCTCCTTGAGCAGAACACCCTCTCAACAGCATCGATCCCAGCAGCAGCAGCAACCGCCGGCCACAATGAAGCCTGTGGCCCCCGCTCAGGACAAGGTCCCCAGCCTCGAACAGTCCGTTCGGAAGTTCCGTGTCGTCGAGGCCCTACGCAACGGCGACACGGCTGCCATTTCGAAAATCATTCGCGAGTCTGCCGACAGCGCCCGCCGCACCAGTATCTCCTCGAATGCCACCTCCGCCACCACTGCCCTCACAGCTCTTGACGATACCACCGTCCTCCACCTCGCCATTCAATGCGCCGAGTTTCCCGTCATCGAATACGTCCTCTCTGATGGAGCCGGCATTGTTGATGTCAACGAGCGTGACCGCGACGGCAATACTCCCCTTCACGTTGCTGCCACCCACGGTCGCACCGCTGCTGTCAAGCTTCTCCTCGAGCAAAAGGACATTAACGAAGCCCTCATCAACCTCCAGGGCAAGTTCCCCATCGATCTCGCCAAGAACCCCGACATCTTCCAACTTCTTCAGCTGTCGCGCTCGCTTTTTACCGACTCCAAAGTACGACAGGTCCAGGAGCTTATCGCCAGGGGCGACTACGACACCCTTGCAGAGGTCCTCGAGGAGCCTCGCCTCAAGGCTGTCCTCGACATCAACAGCCCCGAATTCGTGTCCGAGCCCGTCACTCTGCAAACGGGCGGTACTTTACTCCACGAAGCTGCACGCAAGAAGAACATTGCCCTTATACAAGTCCTGTTGCTTCATGGCGCCGATCCCTTTCGCCGTGACCGCAAAGGCAAGCTTCCACAGTCCGTCTCCCACGACGATAGTATCAAGGCCATTCTCAAAAAGTCCCCCGCCGCCGTGGCCGCTCAAAGAGGTATCCAAGAAAAGGCTGTCCTTGGCCAGGCTGCTACTCAAGGCGCTGCCGCGGGCTCTGGTGGCGAGCTCGTAGCTGGCAAGGAAGCCCGCGAGATGAAAGGCTACCTCAAAAAGTGGACCAATTACCGCAAAGGCTACCAACTGCGATGGTTTGTCCTCGAGGACGGCGTGTTGAGCTACTATAAACACCAGGATGACGCTGGCTCCGCTTGCCGTGGCGCCATCAACATGCGCATCGCCAGGCTTTACATGAGCCCCGACGAGAAGACCAAATTTGAAATCATTGGAAAGTCTTCGGTAAAGTACACGCTCAAAGCCAACCACGAAGTCGAAGCCAAGCGTTGGTTCTGGGCCCTCAACAACTCGATTCAGTGGACCAAGGACCAAGCCAAGGAGGAGGAGAAGCAGACGGCCAGAAATGCCGAGCTTCTCCGCCAGGCCAAGGCCGACCCCAATGCGCTATCTGTCCAGGAAACACATAGCGAGAGCGCAAGCATCTCGGATCGCCGGCAAAGCAGCTCGCATCTCCCGTCGCGTTCCATCTCAAGCACTAAGCTCTCCCCGCACAAGAACGACCTCACAAGAGCCAGCACCACTGGCAGTGTCGATGAGGAAGATGTTTGTGATGCCACTACTGATGGTGGAGCGTCGCGAGCTAACGACGGTCTTACTGTCATTCATGGAGAGGAAGACGATGATGACTATGACGAACAGAGCGTGCGCCAAGATCCCCGCGCGACCAAAGATGCTCTCAACATCACTGCACAGTCAGCCAAGCTGCAGCTAGAGACCATGACGGGTGTTCACAATGCTCTTATGGCTGAACTATCGCAGCGACCCGCCACACCGCTCTCCGATGGCAAGGTCACACAGGCTCTGTCAACATATGATGCAGCTATTCGCAGCCTTACTGGCCTTATTGGTGACCTTTTGAGAATATCCAAAGATCGCGATGCTTTTTGGAAATACAAACTTGAGCGAGAAACGAATATGCGACAGATGTGGGAAGAGAGCATGGCTCAAGTTGCGCGGGAGCAGGAGATTCTGGAAGCCCGTGTAGATGAATCGGAGAAGAAGCGCAAGCTCACCAAGAAGGCTCTCCGCGAAGTCATGGAGGGAGGCACTCCTTTGGATGGAACTCCGGTGCTAGAAAAGGCGCAAGAAGATGTTCAGGTCGCCCCCACATCACCGGGTATTCGCAGTCTTACGCGGCAGAAGACTGCACTCGATCAAGTCGCAGACTTTTCGGATTCGGATTCCGATGATGGAGAGGAATTCTTCGATGCGGTTGACTCTGGTGAAGTGGAAGTGGCTGAGCTTGCTGAGTCGCAGCCTACCGAGCCGCAAGCCGTCGTTTCGTCGAGCATGGATCTCAGCCCATCCTTCAAGGGTTATGAAAATGGTATCCGTCATCGCCTCAAAATGGACGCCGATGACCGTCCCAAAATCTCTCTCTGGGTAGGTTTCTTGCATGCTTGCAATAATTGCAACGTTCTAATTATATACAGGGTATTCTCAAATCCATGATTGGCAAGGACATGACCAAAATGACTCTTCCTGTATCTTTCAACGAACCCACGTCCTTGCTGTACCGTTGCGGCGAAGATATGGAATATTCTGATCTCCTTGACATGGCGGCTTCTCGGCCCGACTCACTGGAGCGGCTGATTTACGTCGCGGCCTTTGCCGCCAGTGAATATGCCTCGAGTATTGGTCGTGTAGCCAAGCCCTTCAACCCCCTTCTTGGTGAAACCTTTGAATATGTTCGTCCCGACAAGAACTACCGCTTCTTTACTGAGCAGGTCAGCCACCACCCGCCTATTGGTGCGGCTTGGGCCGAGTCGCCCAACTGGACGTACTGGGGAGAGTCGAATGTCAAGTCGAAATTCTATGGAAAGTCTTTTGACGTTGCGCACCTGGGTACTTGGTTCCTCAGGGTCCGACCTACCAACGGCGGCAAGGAGGACTTTTACTCATGGAAGAAGGTGACCTCATCGGTCATTGGTATTATTACTGGCAACCCTACTATTGACCACTACGGTACCATGGAGGTGAAGAACTGGACGACTGGCGAAGTTGCGAAACTCGAAATGAAGCCTCGCGGCTGGAAGGTGTCGAGCGCCTACCAGGTTGCGGGCAAGGTTATGGATGCGGATGGTGGAGTGCGCTTCAGCATGGGCGGTCGCTGGAACTCGAAACTGTACGCGCGCCTAACACCGGGATACGAAGCCAACCTTGACGCCTCCGGAAAGGGGAGCAGCGATGAGAAGGTGCACAGTGGTGGCATGACGGACCCGACGCGGCCCTACCTGGTGTGGCAGGCGAATGAGCGACCTACAGGGATTCCCTTTAATCTGACTCCATTCGTCCTGACATTTAACCATCTCGATGACAAGCTTCAGCAGTGGATTGCGCCTACGGATTCGCGACTGAGACCTGACCAGCGTGCGATGGAGGATGGTGAGTACGATTTTGCGGCGACGGAGAAGAACCGACTGGAGGAGAACCAGCGTGCGCGGCGGCGCAAGCGTGAGGAGGCGGGAGAGCACTTTACTCCAGCATGGTTCAGCAGAGCGCGTTGCGAGGTAACGGGCGAGCAGTATTGGCAGTTTAACCATGAATACTGGAAACGGCGTGAAAAGGCCGGACCGGACGGTGATACAGCTACGTGGGCTGGCCTGGAACCCATCTTCCAGGACGAAGAGCCAGACTCGGTGAAAGAGTAGAAAATGGTGCTAGATGACTCAAGGTGTCGAGCACGTGCAGGCGACAGTATATAGCAAATTTATTTGTGGTTGTAAAGAAGATTCGGAGCGTTACTGGGCGCCGGCTGATGTCAAGCAGACAGTCATTTGCATGTGCTATTTGGGGTGCAGTTGAGTGTCTCATGATGACAACGGGGCTTGCGCGGAATCGCGGTGCAAAACATAGTCGGAAGCCGCGGAACTCAAAGGCTGTATTGCTAGATACGTTGAATATATGGGATACACTTGGGAGAGGATCCAGATAGCCATGCAGCGGCTATAGAAGTGTAAGAACGGAGTTTACATGGATTATGGCAGGGGTTGCAGGCAGTGACGCAACAGTGCGGCACAGCCGCCTGGTGCAAGTCAAAAGTCCGGGGAAAGGCACCGGACCGAGGCTGGCTCCTCTGTTGGCATTAACTATAAGGACAGGCCATCCTTTCTCAACTAGTTAATAATGCACTAGGTAGTCTCAACTAGTTAGGTAGGTAATTGGCGCCACGGGGTGCGACTAATCTGTACATACTCCATAGTCAGCCAACTGGCCATTGACGAAACGCCTCCATCTCCGTCCAACTAGTGTGCCTCGGTTAAGCAAATTGACGTTGAACTGCGACCCAGAAGCTCGGCCCGCCCAAACTTCGATTAGTTATCCCTTTCTGACGTTCATTCGCTTCATCTTGAACGTTTTTTTTCCTGTTGCACAATACGTCATCACTGCAGAGGTTCTCTTTGTTCTAGTCTTTGGGGGGTCCTTCTTTTTTTTAAACATCAGCACAGCCAATCGACACTCGGGCATTACACACGTTCACGATTAGCATTGCACGACTGCGACTCGATAGCAAGACGGAGACACAGACGGTATACCGGCAAAGAAAATGCCCGACACAAAGCCTCCTTGGGACGAGCGGACGACGCTGTTGCGACCGCCTCCGCCGGATCCGAACAAGGCGCCGATTGAAAACGTCCTCGAGGTGACGGAGCTGGCCGTCCTTGGACCTGTACGTGTTTGCCCCCCCCCCCTGTCCAACGACAGCAGCCTTGCTTCGACCATCATCCACTGCACCCATCCAAAAAAGAAAAAACCTCACATCTTTTGCCCAAGTGTCTAACCGCCGCCACCCAACCTGTAGGACATCTTTACCAACGCGCGCGAGCCCTGGCACCCGCCGGGCGCGCGGGGCATCTACGGCGGCTCCGTCATCGCGCAGTGTCTCGCGTCGGCGCAAAAGACGGTGCCGGCCGACTTTCTGGTGCACTCGTGCCACTGCTACTTCTTGCTGGCGGGCTCGGGGACGACGCCGATCCTGTTCCACGTGGAGCGCGTGCGCGACGGGCGGTCCTTTGCGACGCGCACGGTGCAGGCGCGGCAGCGCGGACGGTGCATCTTCACGACGACGATTTCGTTTACGCGCGAGGGCAGCGCGGGCGCGGGGCAGGTGCACCACGCGGCGCTGCTGCCGGCGGGCGCGTCGGCGCCGCCCGAGGACTGGGACGGCGAGGCCGAGTGGGAGAAGCACGGGCCGGTGCAGTCGCTGACGGTGCCGCGGGGGCCCGAAGACGACGCTGGGGGGCTGCCGATGGACCAGCGGCAGCACCTGCGGTGGTCGCGGATGCGCGGGCGCATCTCGCCCGACGGCGGGCACCAGGCGCACCTCAACGCGCTGGCGTACATGTCGGACAGCTGGTTCATCGGCACCGTGTCGCGGCTGCACCGGCTGTGGCGCATGCCGTTTGCGCCGGCCGACGTGCCGGACCTGCCGGACACGGTGCGCGCGCAGGTCGCCAACATCCTCGCCAGCGACGGCTTCACCGGCGACGACGTGGCCGCGTGGGAGCGCCACCCGAAGCTGGGCATGATGGTCAGCCTCGACCACAGCATCTACTTCCACGAGCCCAAGCGCGTGCGCGCCGACGAGTGGATGCTCAGCGAGATGCAGAGCCCGTGGAGCGGCGACGGCCGCGGCTTCGTCGTGCAAAAGATCTTTGCCGCCGATGGCACGCTCCTCGCGAGTTGCATGCAGGAGGGCGTCGTCAGGCTGGATAATAAGGGACGGGAAAAGGCGGCCAAGATGTGAGTTGGTGCATGCGGAGGCATTCTGTAGAGAAGGGGACGGGGACGGACGGACGCTGGGAGGGGTATCATTGGCCGAGACTGTTTACTTTGCTAGGGATCAAGACGCCGTTTATAATTTACTGTGTAGATGATAAGATGCATATTATAACTCTGTTGCCATACGGGATAGTTGTTGGGGGATGTGTTATGTGTTGGAGTTGGTTGATACCAATGGCTGCGCCGTTGAGGAATGTGCTTGTTGTAAGCAAGGTTTCAACTATTGTATATGCGAACTATCTAGCGAAGGCTATCCAACGTTGGACTAATAGTCTACCAACGGTAGTCTACAGGATTTTACGCTACCACGGCGGATGTAGAATTAGCTTCATGAAACGCTGTTGGATGGGCATCGGCGGCGAACAGACGAATTGGGCCGTGCCTTATTAAGCACAGCCAACTACAGCGTCGTGCTCATGTCTGGACGATCTTACAACTCGTCCTATAATAAGTCTTGACGCTATACGTACGCCACTTGCCTGCAAGGTGACGGCGCGGCTTGTACAAATAATCCTGCCTAATAATATAGAATAGAGCGCGTTTTTTTTTCAAGCATCGAACCAGCGTATTAGACGGAGAAAAGAACAAGGGAGATCAGCGTCGGAGGAACTAGTGGGCCAGACGGAGAAATAAACCCTGGATTCTACTAATTGTCAAAGCAGACAATCCATCGTTCAATGCACGGCGCGGGTTGCGGTTCCATTTGGCACTCGGTCAAGTGCTGGACGAGGGGGCTGGAATGGTGGACATGGTGGACATGGTGGTGTCAGCCTTGTCGCAGCGGGGCGGGGCACAAAAAGACTGGGTGGGTGCCTTGTGGAATCACTGTAATCACTGTAATCACTGTAATCACTGCACTGTAATCACTGTAATCACTGTAATCACTGTAATCACTGTAATCACTGGTCACAAGGTCTTTTCGGTATGTCGGGTGTAACATAATTTGTACAATGAGCGCGCTGAAGCAGCTAGTCCCTGCGCCCGCTTCATAGTTAAAATCCCAGACGGGCAGTCGCGTCATGCGCTCCTTATTAGCCGCCCACCCCTTTCCCTTTTTATCAGATATGGGCCGCTGATGATTTTGTCTTGTATAGTATGAGTCAACTGTTTGTACTCCCTTCCGACTCGGGCGAGCCAATGGCCGCTTGCGCCCCCACTGGTGTCAGGCTTGGCGCTCTCAGCCGCTCTCTCCGCATGGTTGCGGGCGCCGCCGCTGGGCACTCGATGGGCTTTGCAGTGCTGTAAGTTACGGCTCAAGTCGCTGATGAAAGAACGATTTGGTTCTCAGTACCTACAACTAAAGGGATGACTCGCCACTGCCAAGCAACAGCAACAGCACTGCCACCAGCAACTTCTTGTGGTGGCTGCCAGATGAGGCTGCAGGGCAGCAGCCAACTTTTTTAGCGTCTCGGCAGCGGCGTTGATGATCCACTGAAAAGGCAGACCTGGGACAAAAACAAAGGGTGGGCAGCCTGCCTTTTTTTTAAAGCTTGCCGGGGCGCGTTGAAGCCTGAACGAGACTACATTAATAATTACACCCACCAGTCACACTTCGTTACGCCTGCTAGTTGCAACCAACCCCGTTGGCTCTCTTGGCCCTCCCTGTATTACTCCGGCCAGCAACACCCGCCAATTGCTTGCTGACCCCAAAAATAGGTACCTTGGTAGCCTTGGTAGTAGTAGGGAACCCTGGTACCCAACGTTACCCCAAATCTCAATTTGACCTAAATACCTTGCGCGCCGCCCATCCGCGAGACCTCTCTTCTCCATCCTCTCTCTCTACTCGCTAGCATTGAACCAATCTATATCCCATCGCGCTGCCCAGCTAGACGTTGCTCCTTCTTCCACCTCGTCGTCTGCTGCGTGACTTGTCCAGCAATGCGCAACCTCGTCATCCTCGCGGCCCTCGCGGCCCTCGCCTCGGCCGGCACCGTCAGCGTCGACGTCCACAAGCAGCTTCCCCAGCTCGACGACATGCTCAAGATTCACAAACGCTCCGGCGATCCCGTCATTGACCTCCAGGCCATCAACAACGTTACCGGGGGCGGCTATTATGCCGACCTGGGCATCGGCACCCCTCAGCAGGTTCTGATGTTTCACCTCGATACCGGTTCCAGCGACACCTGGGTCAACCTCGAGGGCATTTACTTTTGCAGGGTTGGCCGTCCCGAAGTCGGTCTTCCCCCTTCTTGCATGAAGCAGTGTATGTCGCGCAAGCCCACTGAACAGTTTGCCCGCCTTCTTTGATGGCCTTGACCAAGCGCCCGCAACTATGGAGTCCCTCCGAGAGCTAACAATGGGCACACACAGTCGACCCTGATGCCAGTTCCACATACAACGTGACGATTCCAAATGGCTTCAAGATTGCCTACCTCGATGGCAGCACTGCCTCGGGCGATTACTTCCGCGATTCCGTCACCATTGGCGGCAACATGACCATCAAGCAGCAGCAGCTCGGTCTCGCCAAGCTCAGTGGCAGCCCGACCGGCCTCATGGGGTTGGGCATGAACGTCGGCGTCGCCGCCAAAAGGAAATACCCTACCATCATTGACAACCTCGTCTCCCAGGGCCTCATTGAAACCGCCGCCTTTAGTCTCTACCTCGACGCCATCACCGAGAGCCACGGCACCTTTCTCTTTGGCGGCATCGACACCAAAAAGTACATTGGAGACCTCGCCACCCTCCCTCTTGTCGCCGACGACATTCACGGCTCCGAAAACGTCACCTCGTACGCCGTCAACCTCGTCGGCTTCACCGCCGACGACATTTCCCTGCCCACCCTCAAAACAAAGGCCATTCTCGACACGGGCGCCACCCTGGTCCTGCTTCCCGGTCGCGTTGTCACCCCCATCAACCAAAAGCTCGGCGTCGTCGCCATCAAGGGCGTCGCCACGCCCTTCATCGACTGCGGTGCGGCCAGCAAAAACGCAAAAATCAAGTTCAACTTTCAGTTCAACGGCAAGACCATTGTCGTTCCTCTCAAGGAAATGATTATCGATTCGTTTACCAATCACCAGGACCTTTTTCAGAGCCCCAACCTGAGGAGCTACTTCAAGAATTTCGATAGGGTCTGCATGTTTGGCATCGCCAGCGCCGACGACTACAAGACCCAGGAGCCCGATCCCTTGGGCTCCGGCGGCAGCGCCTCCAACGAGCCCGAGTATGCTCTTCTCGGCGACACCTTTTTGCGCTCGGCCTATGTTGTGTACGATTTGGCCCGCCAAGAGTTGGCTCTTGGCCAAGCGTACCCCAAGTCGAACGAGACAAACATTGTCACGCTCAAAGCCAACAGCCCCATTCCTTCCATCAAGGGCATGGACGGTATGTTTAATGCCCATGCTTCGCCACCATCATTACTGACTCTGGATTGTAGCTCCTGCCGCGGGAGAGACCGCCAAGGACAGCGCTGCTGCCGTGGCCTGCGTCCCCTCTGCTGCCACTGCTGTGGTCCTGGCGCTTGCCGCCGCTGTGGCCGCTCTGTAATTGAATTACGTTTGCGACATTTTTCAAATACTACTGTATATATATTCAATGGATACATGGATACACGGGGGCTGCTTTGCATGTGGTGATGAGGTACGTCTTGATTGCATAAAGCTATTGCGGGCATTATAGAGTTGAGATACCAAGTTGGTTACGTTATGAGAGCATGAGGGGGATTCAATGATATAGACAATTGGCCCTTGGCCGATCTATTTAATACTATTCTTGTTTCTGTCATGATTCCATTGCTGTGCATATCGACGGAACTGGACCAGCTGTACGCCTGGGTCATGAATGAGCCGCAACGACGGATAGCCGTGTATGTACAGATATGAACGCAAACAACCAATGCGAGCTTAGTTTGCGTAATCCCACATTACACACCTCATTGCCCCAGACATAGCTGCACCATGGCGGATGACGTGCCCTGTCCGGGGGAACCCTGATGGCCCGAACCAGCGAGTGCGGGACGAGCGCTGGAGTTTAGCACATATATTCGGGTGCTCGAGGGAACCCTTTTGGCCCATCTGCACGTTTTCCTTTAAACAAGACCCCCCAGGGGGACCCAAAAGGGTATTTTCCTCCTACATGTTCTGGTTTTTTTTTCCCTTCCAAAGCTCTCTCGGTCCTTGCCGACTCTTCCAATTTCTGCCGCCGCCTGTTCCTCTCGCACTTACACACCTAGACGACCCGTCATGGACGAATGCTGCTGCGACCGCGATGACCTCGACAAGATTGCCAAGGGCTGGTCCATTGCCATGTTTTACTCCAAGGAGCGTCTGCGGCGCGTCTACGAGCTCAGCGACGCGCAGCTCGGCAAGGCCGTCGACGACGGGAAGCTCGTCCTCGAGACGTTGTGTCTGTTTGTGCACGCCTGCATCAAGCGAGGGCAGTACAGGTGCGTTTTGTCTTGATTCTTTTTTTGGGTTTTTTTTTTCTGCAAACAGCCGCTAGAAAAAGAAGAAAAAATGGTCGCCAATTATGAGGCTGACTGACCGTCGCGAGAGATAGGTTACCGGCCGAGTTTTGGCGCGTATTACAAGTCGAGTACGGCATTGTCGTGTACCCCTCGGCGCTGACAGAGGACGTCGAGGTCCAAGGGCTGGGCGTCGACATCACCTTTACCGACGCTTATTCAAAACACATTGGTATGTCGTCTCTCCCCAACTTCTTGTAGGCTTTTCCTTTTTCTTTTCGCATCCGTACTGATAGCCCGCAAGTCATGTTTGGCCGGTGCAGCAGCGCCTGCCACCCGCCGCCGTGCCCGTTTCAATACCTCCAGGAGCCTCCGCCCGTATACCAAAAATGAGGCCAAAAAAAAGAAAGAGTGGAAAGATGGGATATGAAGAAATTATAGTGGGAAATGAGAAAAAGAACAACGATACAAGGTCGTCATAGTACCGGGACGTGTGAAGGGAAAGAAAGCATGGTTTTGGTGTGCGGTTGTTTCATGAAAGCATGAAGGCGTAGTAGGAAGTGATGTATACTGCACAATTTATTCCTTGAATACTTTTTTTTTCTGAAGCAGACAGTTTATTTGAGTCAAACAACGCTGTTCAACGGAAGTGCTAATTCTTCACCACTGAGTGTACCTGTTGGCCATGCCATTATCATTTAACAGGGAGACGCAATTTTGCAAAGACGTACAAGTCGCATAGATCTATGCTACTATTCAAAAAGTTTCGTATATATAACACATCTCACTATAAAAAATAACTACACAACCTCTCCCTAGCCCACCGCGCCGCTGCCATTGGCAACACCATCCATTGTATACGACTTTTAATCAATCATGCCGTCTCCATGTATACAAAACTGACAAGACTCATCCCCTGTAAAAAAAAAACTAAAAAGAAACTGCCAATTTATCACTCCGTCACCTTCTCACCCACCGCGCCATCCCGGTTGGCGCGCCACACACCGTTCTCGCCCACAAACTCCTCGCGCTTCCACACCTCGACGCGGTCCTTGCAGCGCTCGAGCGCGTCCTCGCCCGCGCGCCACGCGGCCTGCCGGTGCGCCGACGACACGGCGACCAGGATGCTCTCCTCGCCAATCGGCACCGTGCCGAGGCGATGCACCAGCGCCACCCCGTGCAGGCCGTGCGTCTGCCGCACCCCCCGCGCAATCTCGAGCATCGTCCGCAGCGCCCGTGGCCGGTACGCCGTGTACTGCAGCTCCTTGACCGGCTTGCCGGCAAAGTTGTCCCGCGTGGTGCCTAGAATGTTGGCTGTTGTGTGAGTAGGGGTGGTGGGATAAGGAAGGGGGGGTAAGAAAGAGGTTTTACCGGCAAAGAGGACGAGGGCCCCCGCCGACGGGCTGCGGACGAGGTCGAGGACGGAAGAGGCGGACAGGGGTGAGTGGGTGAGGGCAACGTGGCACCCGTCTTCGGTCATGTGCCACGGGTCGTCGTCGGTTTGCTGGGCAGCCATGGATTTTGTCTGAAATAGCAAGGGAAGGCTCGGGGTATCATGGGTCCAAGTAAAAGAGTTCAGGTTGAGTGAGGTTGAACTTGCCCCGCCATCGGCCCCGCTAGTGGTAGCACATTGCCCCTCCATAGGCTGGACACCAGCATCTCAATCTCTTGTATACGACAGCGCCATTTTCCCATTACAGCAAGTGTAAAAAAACTCAATTCAGTCTAGTTGATTTCTAGAAATATAGATGCATCATGTATGCACCTTTTTACCTTCGTGTTTTACTTTGTCCTCGCTCCGCGCTGCGTCTCGACGCCGTGCCGTGCCCGCTCGGCATGCGCCCCAGCTCCGCCATGTCCTCCTGGCTCTTGCGCGGGTTGCCGGGGTTCGCCAAGACGCTGTCGCGGGTCGAGCTGCCTCTGCGGCGACGAAATGCGCCGCCCTCCATGACGCCGCGGCTTTCGCGATGCGGCAGCGCAGCGTCATCGCTGTCGTCGCGCGGCGTGGCATCTCCGCTGGCCGGAACGGCGGCGCCGCTCCAGGCGCCGCCGATGCCCTCCATAGTGAAGTCGGACGCCGTGGGCGCGTCGAGCTGCGCGAGCTCCTCCTGGCTGAAGATGCGGGGCAGCAACACGGCGCGGATCGGAATGAGCGCGAGGATGAAGACGGGGAAACCGACGGCGGCGACCGTCTGCGTAATGGCAAATGTGGCAGCGAAGCCGACGAGCTCAATCGCTACGAACCACCAGACGGCGGCGCGGCGCCGCACGGCGCGCAGTGGGGTCGCGGCTGGCGTGAGGTGGCGGTCGCGGACGAGGAAGACGAGCTTGGATGTGATGCCGTTGGCCTCAAGGGCCTGGACGCCCATGATGAAGAAGAGCCCGGCGAGAACGCCGTGTGGGATGAGGTGCAGGACCACGAGCAGCGGGCCCGTCATGGTGCCGAGGGTGAGAAGTCCCTGGGCGAGGTTGGATACGCGCTGCTCAACGACGTGCGTCGCCTCGAGGGCAAACTCGCCCTTGTCCTCACCCTTGGCATCAAGCTGCTTAACGGGCCGCGTGACACAGAGGGATGCGGTGTGGAACGGCGCCTGCGGGATGAGGCCGTTGGGGAAGGGCAGTCCGAGGAGGCCGGCGATGCCGGTGGTCAGCCCGAGCAGGAACAGGTCCCAGTGGAAACCGGCGGGCTTGCGGAGCGGAAACTCGCTGCCCTGGGCGATGAGCGACGAGACTGGACAGAGGTGGTCTTGTTAGCGCAAGAGGAACTGGCTGAGGATTGAGGTGGCGGATTCTTTACTCGTACCGTTGTGGTCAAACCAAAAGAGAATGGTGAGTAGGATGGCAAAGGGTAGCGCCGTGAAGACATCGGCGACGCTGAGTTCCCAGAAGCGGACGAGCCAGCTCCGGTCCAAGGTCGGCGCAAAGGCAATGCCGGTGGGTAGCCGCTGCAGCGCGACTTGTTGCATGCGGCCAAAGTGCACGAAGCCGGTGAAGAAGACGAGCGTGAGGGGCGTGCCGTAGTCCTGCAGGAAGACGCGGACCGCATGGTGGAAGAGGCTGCCCCTGCCGAGGGCGGCGCAGACGTAAGCGACGAGGAAGACGAGAAGGGCGACAGCGAGGGATAGGTAAAAGTCGGACCCATGGCCGAGGCGCGCGAGCACCTGCACGCCCTTTTGGAGGTAGATGCAGGCGACGTAGAAGCCGAAAATGTCGCAGGGGAAGCGCGTCACCCAGCGAAGCCAGTTGCACGAGTTGCCGATGGCGAGGATCCAGTGCAGGATGAGGGACCATCTGGATGACGAGTTAGTGTTGGAGAGAGAGATGCCGTCCATGGCTCAGGAGGAGGGGACTTGCATGCCGATCCAGCCCATGAAGCCAAGGTAGTCAACACCGGTCGGTTGGATAATGTCGTATACGGTGCTGGGGATTTGTCAGATCGCTCGCTTCTGATACCGGATGAGAAAACCCCCGGGCAACGTACTAATTGAAGACGGTAATCGGTCCCGTCACACCGACAATGACGAGCGGCTGCGCGGCGGCGAGGGCAAAGACGACGGATCCGAGGACAGAGGAGAGCAGCACCTCGTTGACGCCATAGTGCGAGGCCGTGTTTTGGAACATGTCGAGGGAAAAGGCCAATGCTGGCAGGATGCTTCAAGCAAATGAGACTTGTCAGCATGTCTATACTGCGCATGCGGAAAAAGGGAGAGCGCGCCGTTCCTTACTTGGCAAAGTACATGTACACCGTGGCTGGGATGACGCGATAGTCCCAGGCGTCTGTCCAGTCGCTCAGATAGTACGGCGCGCGCCGGCGCATGTCGTTGATCATGCCGCGAAAAGGGTGCATGTGCCACCATGCGGCTCGTGTCGTCGTCTTCATCCTTGTCGCTGCCGGTGAGGATGGCGTTTCTGGCGTCTGGTTCTGGTGCTGCGTCACGGGGAGGACATTGGCCTCATCGGGATCGCGAGTGGCGGTTGTGTCCATTGACGTCGATGTGGAAGAAACTGTCGCACTGTATTTATTAGATGCCTGTTCTTCACAGGTAAAAGAAGAAAAAATTGAAGAAAAAAATGCGATTGATTAAATGAGTAGAATCGCGTCAACGGATTGGCAGATGCTTGTTTGTCTCTTGGGAAGGGCCCACGGTCTGCAAATGAGCTGCATCATCGCCTTTCCTTTGGCAATGTCCAATCGGCACAAGCCTCTCTCGACCTTGCGCGTAGCAACCCGGCGTAGCTCAATCAGCTCAAACGTTGAGAGCTGAGGCGTGGGGTCGATGAGGCGGCAAGTTCTGAATTGGCCTGTTGTGAGGCAGAAACAGAAAATGGGACGAGAGTGGAGAGTGAGGCTCTAGAAATGGAAGCGTCTTGGTCGGGAAAACGATGGCTGGCGCCACCCGGCGGCGCCTCTCTCCGCCTATAGTTAGGCGGAGATTGCACATCGCCATTGGTGATTACCAGGATACTCATGAGTACGGGATTAAGTCGGACATCGTTTATTATGAAATTGACGAATACATCTAAAAATACTCGCTTGCAGCTTATTCGTAAAAGTCTTAACGCTTGATAACGCTCCCATGTACTCCGTACAACGTGGCTTACACAATAGATGGTCAAACCAGATACAATAATATCGAATTTCTATCTTATTCTTCCTTCTCGCGTCGCCATCATATCATCGATCAGTCTCGTCATCCGACTCCATGAGCTTGGATGGCAACAGTGCCGTGCTGAGTACACACCCCAGGGTAATGCCACCAGCCAGGTACAAGACGGCATTCACGTCGCCGCCGTTGCCGTCCGTCGCCCGGCCATACAGGCTCTGCGCAATGATGGGGCTGACGATGCCAAACAGTCGGCCCCAGAACCCCGCGATGCCGCACGCGGCGCCGCGAATCGGCGCCGGAAACGCTTCCGGCGTCCAGCCGTACAAGACGGCGTTGAACATGGACTGGAAGAAGTACTCCAGCGCAAACAGGCCCTCGCGCTTGGCCACCGAGTCCACCGTGGCCAGGAGGAAGATGGACGTGCCCATGAGGGCCGAGGAGAAGACCATGGTCCACTTGCGGCCCAGGGTGGGCACGTTGTACATGAACGCGCCGCCCAAGACGCCGAGGATGCCCGGCGCGTACGTGAAAATGTAGGCGGCATACGTGAATCGGAGACTCACATTCGCGGCGCCGTTCTTGAGCGCGAGGATCCGCGGCAGGTAGAAACCTGCCACGGTGAATCCCGAAAAGTCCATGGCGTACGTCAGCCAGACCAGCAGCGTCAGGCGCGCCATGTCCCAGCTGCTGAAAAAGGCCTTGTACGGGTACAGTCTGTCGGCCAGCTTTGCATACGCGCTGCTGGGCTCATCATCGCCCCCCGGAAGCAGGACGCTCGACTGCGAGCTCCGACTGCTGCTCATTTCCGTCTCGAAGTCGCGCTCGACCGCCGCAAACGCCTCGGCCGTAACGCCGCAGCCGTCGCTGCCCTTGCCGCCGGTAATGTACCGCATCGTGGCAATGGCCTCGTCGTCGCGCCCGGCGTACACGGAGAACTTGGGCGTCTCCTTGAACGAGAAGACGGCGAAGCGGAGCACAAAGACGGCCAGCGAGAGCGCGCCCGTGGTGAAGAGCAGGTAGCGCCAGCCCATGTTGCTGTCCCGCTCGCAGCAGCGCGTCGACGTACCCGCCACCGCTACGACCCCGCGGCACGACGGCAGCGGGTTCGGCTCGGAAAAGTTGGGCGAGCACGAGTAGTGGGGGATGAAGCCAAAGGCCATGGCGCTCGAGACGATGACGCCGAGTGGCTGGAAAAGCGACAGGCACGCCAGCAGGAAGCGGCGGTTGCGCGGTACAAACTCGAGAAAAATGGCCGAGTCGACGGGGATGTTGCCGCCGACGCCGAAGCCGACAAAGGCCGTGAGCACGAGAAACGTCGGGTAGCTGTTCGAGGCGCCGAGACAGAGGCCAAACACCGAGGAGATGAGACATGTCAGGTTAAATGCCCACCGTCGCCCTTGGTTTTCTGTTAGAACACACACACACACACAGGGGGAAGAAGGACGTACCGACAATGTCCGCCATGAAGCCCCAGAAAATGGCACCGACCGTGAGCCCGGCGTTGAAGCTGGTGGCAATGTTACCCGACTGGCCATTGCCAAAGCCCAGCTCCTGCTGCAGCGGGCTCAAGACGAGGCCAAAGGCCTGCGCCCAGAGCAGGTCGATAAAGTAGCCGCAGCCGCACAACAGCCACACGCACCACTGGTACCGGCCCATGCCGTACGCATCAATCGCGCGGTTGATGAGGGTACATTTCCGCTGGTACAGTGACAGCCCGCGCATGTCTGGCAGGTCTGTGGTGGCGGAGGTGGTGGTCGTGGTCATGGCAAGTGGTTGCTCGACCGAGACGGTCGATGACGACGCCGGAGCCCTCGTCTTATACATGGTGATATCGATGGCTTCTCCCTTCTCTTGGGATCAAGAAAGGGGTGCGTTTCTTTCCTCGACGTGTCCCGCACTTGGAAAAAAAATCGTCATGATAGCACGTGTATGCAATGACGCGGGTGTTGTTGGTAGGGCAAACGATGGCAAGGCATCATGCACGTGTCCACAATTGGTGCGACGGTTTCGAAGTCGGGCAAATAGGGCAGGGCAGGAAACACGCGCCGTCTTGCGCATTTGCCCATTTTCCATGACGGAGGAGAAAACGCATCCGGCGATGGGCAAATGGCCTCGGAGGGAAGGGCACTAGCTGGCAAGCAAACGCGCCGTCGACAGTAAGCGTCACTCCGGTGCCTAGCCTAGCTGCTTGTTCCTTGTTTTTGTCCTTTTTATTGGCGGCCGCTGTTCGATTTCTCGGGATGGTCTGTAATCATCAGTACTATATCATTCCCCTTATGGGTTGCCAAGTTAGGGCTTGGCCTGCAGGCGGGATTCGTCCTGGTCGTGAGTGGGAGTGTCCGAAAATCGGCACTGCCGGTGGCAAATTTACTGTAAGAAATCACAACATGCATCGCTAAATGTAATCTAGTTAACCACTCGTACCAGACTAGTTACCACAACGAGCCTGAACCCTATTCATAGTACTGGGAATGAGCCGTCACAATAAAGACCCGGCGTTGAGGATCGGAAGAGGTATTCGGCAAGATCCAGGTCGGTACCGGCCACTCCGGTGGCATAGAGGGGAGCTGTAGTAATAAAAGACATAGAGTTCCAGGACATTGCTAAGGCAGCTAAGACAAGCAATGAGGTAGTAGAGCCTGTCTCCGAATTATACTTCGAGCTACTTGGAAGCGAGATCAAATTAAAGATTTGCTATGCCATTCAGGCTGAAGCTGGTGTGACCGCAACCTTTGACCGGGTCCCTAGGCCTTCCCACAGATGTACGAGGACGGCTACATCCGTGATACCGAAACCTCGCCACAGACAGAGTAAGTAGATGGGTACTTGCACGTTCCGGAGATGCTTGAAAGCTGGCCGTTGCCTTCCGTCAAGATGATTGTAAGCACCGCCAACCCGTGTACATTGCACTTGTGCCAAACAATAGCATATCACCCGCGCAAAACTTGGTTGAATGATGTAGTTGAGACGTATTTTCGACAATAAAGTCTTCTATCTAGCCTTAAGAGTACATGTTACAAAGAAATGAGGAGTTGACGCAACCACCAAGACGTAAACGCCCCGAAAAAAAAAATTACACAAGACATGGCGGTTTTCGTTTTTTGTTCTAGAAAGTCCCCTTACCTATCCTTTCTTTTTTTCAGTGGAGTGGAAATGGGATAGGGGTTGATGAAAGCAGGAAAGCTCCTGCATATCCGAGGTTGTTTCCCAACACCGGCTTGCAGCCGCGCATTATAGTCTGTTCTGCACGGATCTCGACAGCTCGTGGAAAGCTGGCGAGGGTTGTGGGGAGTCGCCAGGCGCGGGCGCCTGGCCGTCGTTAGGGAAGGGCGGGGGTGCGCTCTCCTCCTTGCTGCCGCCAAAGTACTTCTCAAAGTCCTCGTTGTCTTCAAACGGACGCTTGCCCAGGATTCGCACCATGTCATCACGTACCAGCGCCTCCTTCTTGAGGAGCTCCTCCGCAATGAGGCCGACTTCCTTCTTCCTCTCCGTCAACAGCGCCTTGCATCGCTTGTAAGCCTCGTCAACTATCCTGTGCACTTCCTGGTCGATCTGTTGCGCCGTGGATTCGGCAAAAGGCTTGTGCATCCGGTTGGGGTCGTTGTCAAAGTGAACCGGACCGACAAGATCGGACATGCCCCACTGGGTCACCATGCTACGCGCCATCTGGCTGACCTTCTTGAAGTCGTCGCTGGCTCCGGTCGTGACGGTGGTAAAGTGTAGCTCCTCCGAGACACGTCCACCCATGGTCATGGCCATGCGGTCCATGAGCTGATTCGTGCTCATCAGGTAGGCATCCTGAGGCAGGTACTGGGCGTAGCCCAAAGCGCCCTGACCACGAGGGATAATGGAAACTTTGAGCAGTGGGTCAGCATGTTCAAGGAACCAGCCGCAAATGGCGTGGCCGGCCTCGTGGTAAGCAACAGTCTTCTTCTCTTCAGGCTTGAGCACCAGAGACTTGCGCTCAAGACCGCCAATGACGCGCTCAATGGCGCGCTCAAAGTGCACCATCTTAACCTCGTCGGCGTTGGCGCGGGCCGCAATTAGGGCAGCTTCGTTGACAACGTTGGAGATATCGGCACCAGAGAAACCAGGAGTGAGTGTGGATAGACGTCCGACCAGGTGGTCAATGTCTTCGTTGGTAACAATCTTCTTCAGGTAAACTCTGAAAATTTCCTGACGCCCACTCATGGTAGGTCTGTCGATATAGATGTGTCTGTCGAATCGACCGGGACGCATCAGCGCCTTGTCCAAAACATCAGCACGGTTGGTACCCGCAAGAACAACAACCTGCTCTCGTGTGTTGAAGCCGTCCATCTCCGTCAAGATCTGGTTGAGAGTAGCTTCACGCTCGTCGTTGCCTCCAAAACCCTTGCCGCTGTCCTGTCGCGCGCGGCCGATGGCGTCAATTTCATCGATGAAGATGATGCAGGGCGCGTTTTTGCGACCCTCGGCGAACAGGTCGCGGACACGGGAAGGACCAACACCGACAAACATTTCGACGAATTCGGAACCGCTGACACTGAAGAATGGCACACCTGACTCTCCAGCAGTAGCCTTGGCGAGCAGTGTCTTACCAGTACCGGGGGGGCCAGCAAGAATAGCGCCACGAGGAATCTTGGCACCGAGCTTCTCAAACTTCTCGGGTTGCTTCAAGAAGCTGACAAACTCCATGATTTCCGTCTTGGCCTCCTCGAGACCGGCGACATCGGCAAACTTGACCTTGACAGCGCTCTCAGCGTTGAACTTTTTGGCCTTGCTCTTGCCAAAGTTGAACATGCCGCCAGCGCCACCACGCCCCCCTCCCATGGACCGTTGGGTGTAGAGAATCAGACCGATGAACAGCAAGGTAGGACCAAAGGCCAGGAGAATATTGCCTATCGTGCTGCCACCGGTTTCGTAGCTGACAGGGATGCGCTCACTTTGGGGAATGCCGAGCTGATCCTGAGCCTCTTCCAGCTTCTTCTCGAACGACTCTACAGATCCAATTGAGAAGACATACTGTCTCCTGTCGTCGCCTTGGTCAGCTGTTGGGTGTAGTTCAACGCGAACCTGAGAACCATTGACGACAACCAGCTTCTGAACAAGACCCTTGTCGAGGAATGCTTTGCGCATCTCTTGCCAAGTGATTTGCTTCTGGGACATGGAGCCACCGAAAGAATCCAGCGAGTACAGAATAATGCCAAGGAGAAGAACTGTTTGCATGAGGCTGATTCGGACGTTGATTGTTTTGCTGTTGTCATCGGCGGGTCGTCCTTGATTTTGGTTCTGGCCTTGGTTGTTGCCGTGCGGTGATGGGGTATCGCCAACCTTGTTTTGCGTAAAGGTGCCATTCTGTTTCTTTTCCTGTTCGACCTCCCAAGCGGCCAATCGCTCAGCCATAGAAAAAACGCAGCGCATCAGGCGGCCCTTGTCCATAATGGACAAGTTGCCCGGGCCTTGTCTCAGCTTGGCGAGAATATCTCTTATTTCGGCAGGGGCTCCGGTTTCTTGAATGCCCTTGAGAATATCGTCCAGCTGCGCCCTTTGCGTCTCAGGAATGACCTGGTAGAAGACTTGCATTTGCTTGATCTCGTCTTTGGTCAAGTAGATCCAGCCGGGGAGCAAGGGGAAAGACTTGGACCCCTCCGGTTTGGCGCCATCTGCCTGAGCGTCTGGCTTATTCTCCTTGTTTGAGTTCCCGTCTTCTGGTTCATCGGCGTCCTTTTTCGGCTGCTGGTCGTTGTCTTGTCGCGGAGGCTGTGAGCTGTAGCATCGCAGCTGGTGGGCGGAGCTGCTTCGTTGGATCGGGTAGGCGGCGGTTCGAGAAAGCGAGGATATGCGCACGCCTCGGTGCAGGCTGGCATGCTGTGAGACTCTCAAGAGCCGCGTCAGCTGGCCTGATTGTCGTAGAAAGCGTGACATTTTGGTGGTGAATGTTGCGCAGTTTGCGGAACCACCGGCCGGGTGACGGGTGAACTGGTTGCGCGGTTGAGGCTACCTCATGAGCTGCGCAAGTCAATTGTTCGACGGCTCAGAGATGACTGCTGTGGACGAGAAACATCAGCTGTTGCAAAGCCCAGCGATTAGTCGTTGAACGGAATTGGCGATAGTTAGCGGTTGCTTGAATCTGCTTTGGTCATGTAATGTATGGGGCGGGAAGTGGTCAAAATTACATGATGTTCACGTGACTCATCAGCGGCGGACTTTGCGTCGGCACCGGAGTTGCATCGGGGAGTTATGGCAAAAAACGCATATTGCGGAAATAATTTGGCATGTATCTCTGAATATGTGTATGATTTATTTTTTTTTGGTTTTTTGTAGTGTTGCATTTTTACCTTTCCTGCCCAGCTAGTGATGCATCGTGACTGTAGTTACTGCTCCTCGAGCGTATTCACAAGAGCTCAGGTGTCAGTCAGCGCTCCGAATTACAATCGAGCGCACATTACCACATCCTTTAAGCGGGATTCTGCAGTTCTGGTCTTGGTGATTGGTGACCTCGATCTTCTGGCCGTCTATATCGGCCTGCCCATCTGGCGTGTCGCGCCAAATCTCAATGGTAGAAATGGTGGCGAACTGGTGAGCCAGGTACTTGCTGACCACGCGCAGGGCCTGGGGTTCATCGCCGATTTCTAAGAGCAGCAGCTTCGGTCTGACCTGGTACGCAATGTCGAGCAGCCTAGCGTAGAAGACGTCTGAACTTTGCCACCCCGGTGGCGGTTCAAGATGGGCGCCAGGCACCAGGGCTAACGCAGGCTCAAACTTGCGAACGGAATGGCCCATCTGGCCCCGGCCGCTGTTCCAGACGTCGAATGAAATATATGGTGGGTTCGAGATCAAAACGTCCCACTTAGAAGAGAGTACGCTCTTCATCTCTGAATCGCTAAATATGTCGCCTTGTGTGATTTGCACTTGCTGCTGGCCAGGGATAATATCCAAGTGTCCCAAGCTTGTATTCATGACCAGATTCTCTCGGGCCAAATTGACTGCTTCTGTCGAGACATCAACACCTTGTACTTGCAAACGCTCGAACGAGTTTTGAAGCAAAGAAAACAAGAGTAAAGGTATGCAACCCGTCCCGGTGCAAAAATCAAGCACTTTGAGCTCTTGTAGGCCGTTGCGGCGTCCAAGCTGTTTCACCTCACTCGCAAGATGATACGTATAAGATTCAGTTTCCGGCCGCGGAATGAGCACACCTGGTTTGCACTTGACGTCCAAGGGGCCAAATGGCTGTGACTTCAAGATGTATTGGAGAGGAACGCCCTGGCCCCTTTGGCGGCAGAGCGCATGTAAGCGCTGCGCTCGGTGGGCAGGCTTGGTGTTGGACTCGACATGGTCTCGGATCCAGCGCAACTCGTTGAGCGCAAGAGGCAGGCTTCTGCAGGCAAGAAGAAGTGTAGCAGCATGAGGCGAGTGTTTTTTGGCCTGCCGAAAAAGCCACGGCGGAGTTCGCGGCATTAGCTGTCAAGATGCCATTGGCGTGATGCCTGGGTTATGTTGTTACAAGATTGTTTGCGGTTGGGGAAGCCCCTGGAGATTCCGACCTGCGCCCCACGCAAGTTTTCACCAAGCGGGCAGGATAAGTATGTTGTGAGAGCACAGGAACATTTCTGCGGCATTTCTGGACATATTCTGGAGCATATTTTTTCTTTGCGTTCTAATATCGTCTTTTTTTTAAACTGCCTCGCCGCGTATTTGGCTTTCAAAAACCTCAGCGGTTAGGTTAATGTACCTACCCTGTACTTAACATCGTGGTGGACTGCTACAACATGTCGCAACACTCCAGGCCTGGCGCAGTTTAGCCGATTATTATCCGACCTTTTGGTGCACTCAACAACGACTTAGTGAGCGGCTCAGCTTCCATCTCGAAAACCTACCAAGTCTGGCGCAAACATCGCCAACCCGCGAAAATCCATTATTTTTTGAGCGCAGCCGTCTTCAGGGGCTCTCGCACGACCAACGCTCGAGTCTCCGAGCCCAGAGAACTATTGCCCATCGCTCGGCGCTCAGCCGCCCCTTTGCACGACACTCTTTGCTCATCTAGCCCGCCACCATGAACGCGCCCGATCGGTACGTTTTCGCCATCCTAAGGCGTCAATCTCTCGGAGATGAATCTTGACCCGCGGCGGAAGAGTTTTTGTTTGCAAGGCGCAGTGCTAACGGACTCTATAGTTTCGAGCTCTTCCTGCTCGCCGAGGGCGAGAAGAAGATTGAGGAAAAGATCTACTCTGGTGAGTATTGGCGCGTCCTCACGGGCAACTAACTTCCCAGGGTCCAAAAAAACCTAACACTTTTGCAGGCATGTCCAACACGTCGGATTTCCTGCTCAAGAAGGAGGACCATACTCTGGGCCACCTGCTCTCCGAGCACCTCAAGATGCACCCCAATGTGCTCATGGCTGGCTACAAGCGTACGTCTCCCCGCCCGCGCCGTTGTTATACAGGCATTCCTAGCGGCACTGCTGACAAGCCGTAGTCGGGCACCCCAACGTTCCAGAGCTCTTCATCCGCGTACAAACAGACGGCACGGTAACGTCCCGCGACGTCTTCACCGCCGTGTGCGAGAAGCTCATCAACCAGCTCGAGATGCTGCATCAAAAATTTACCCGAGAATGGGAGCTGCGGCGTATCGCCAACACCGGCAACCAGGCCAACATGCAATCAAATGGGTTGTGAGGGCATCGAGGGGTTGGGAATGTTTCATCTATGGCGTTGGGGTGTCCTTGTTTTTCTTATAAATATAACATGTTGACGAACAAAAAGCAGTCACTTTGCAGATGGGTCACTTCGAAGTGAATACAAAACGCATTCATACTCTTTGGTATTCTTTGTGTCTCCCGACCTTGTCAGGTAGTCGCCACTGCCAGCACGCGCGACTGCGCCGCTCTATATTACGCGTGATGATCGCAGTAGCTGGACAGCAGGGCGTTCCGATTAACCCGCACGGCATTAACATCGGCAACTTCAAAAGAGCTGCGCGTCTTCGTCGTGCACTCATATCATATCAAGCCAAGTCCATCAAGCTTCCCCAGGACCTTCGCCACCGGGAATCAACTGTATACGTAATTAGCAATTGGCCCTACAATTTGGTGTCACGCATTGCGTACCATGCAGATATTGTTGCCGTTGAGCAGAATCTTGGGCAGCTTTGTGTGGTTGCCAGTGTAGTCGCTACTATGGTCAGTAGAGTTTTGCAACTTGTGAGGATGAGCTCCCTTACAACTCTGTGACATCTTCCAGAACCATGTCTACACTCGTTAGCGTTGCCTCTCTACAGTTTAAGAGAAAGTCGACTTACTGACGTAGTCGTCGAAACCAACAAGAGTGCCGCTGAATTCTGCGTCGCCAGTTAGCATGCCCCCCAAAGCTCACCGAGAGGTTCGTTCGGCGCAGTTCGTACCCTTCTCTCCCTTCATTATGACCCAAATTCTCGATCCAACACACTTGTCGATGAGTTCTGCCCTCGATTAGCTACTATAGAGGGTGAAATATGAGAGCTTGTTCACTCACCGAGGGGTAGTAATTGAGAGGCCATATTGAGCGTTTCGTGTCCGAGAACGGTCCAAGAGCAGTCCGGATAATATATATCTTAAGAAATAATGTCGCAAATGAGTTTCGCCTGCCTAGGGAAACAGAGCTTAATTCAATCGTTCGTGTCGTGCCTATCATCAGGGAACTCTAGCCCAAAGAGTTCTTGAGCTTGTTGCTGCACGTGCTCAGGCGCTGCTGACTAAGGAAGCCCCCCCATGGTACGCCACTGTCCATCCACTGTACAGAGTAGTCCGGCCGCTGAACCACACTTTCGTCAGCGCTTCGCTCCCCCAGCCACCGTGAATTATGGTCGCATAACTAATGGGCCGCCCCGGGTTGTATCACCTGCGTTGCTGCCTGGAAAACTGGCACATCGCTGCCCGCTGACAGGAAAAGGACGCGACAATGGACAGGTAGGGCTTTTCTCAATGGCGCATAATAAGAATGCGCGTGCTGCTGCGCAGCTCCTGGCCAGCGGTTCCTGTCGAGTCAACACCACAACCACCACCATGGGCGCGTCGACAATGAGGACAGCCAAGACCACCACCGGCGTGTACTCTGAAGCTTCAAGGCCAAGGCTGAGCCCTGGAAGCCCGAGGACAACTGTATGGAACCGAAATCTGGGGTTCAAAGTCCCGCCAGAAGCTGAGGCACTGCCCCTATATCCCGCGCTTGACTTTAAGCGCTTCTTTCAGTCGTCCCCCGAGGCCACCTTATTAGCCACCAGCGACAATAGCCCGCCAAAGATGGCACAACCTCCACAGCCTTCCGAGCCACGTACTATGGCACCACTAGAGCAATCACATACAAGTCAGCCAGTGCGAGCCGCAGTGGCTGGGACCAGAGTCATTGTCGAAAAAGCGGCTGCCGCCACTTACACGGCACCGGCGCAGCCTGCGGTAGACCAACCCGCCTTGTCGGCTCAAGAATCCCACCCAACCGCCGTTGAACCACCACGCACATCACTCGACTTCAACATATCCAATGACCTGTTCCAGGCGGCTCTCCGCGAGCCCAAGGACAGCCCCGGCTCGTTCTGGTCGCACACAATGTACAAGCGCGCCGCCGACGGCGCCACGCACAACGTCAAAGTGCACTACTGCACCAGCAGGCACACCATGCAGCACGTCTGCCAGCGGTACTTTGCCGACGAACCCGTTCTCGGCTTCGACCTCGAGTGGCTGGCGTACGCGCGGCGCGGCGACGGCCCGCGCGCCAACGTCTCCCTCATCCAGATTGCCAGCCCCAGCCGCATCGGCCTCTTCCACGTCGCCCTGTTCCCCCGCGACAACGACGACGGCGACCTCGTGGCGCCCGCCTTTCGCGCGCTCGTCGAGGACCCGGCAGTCCTCAAAGTCGGCGTCCACATCCAGGCCGATTGCACGCGGCTGCGCACGTTTCTTGGCGTCGCGGCGAGAGGCGTCCTGGAACTGAGCCACCTGTACAAGCTGGTCAAATACGCGCGGGACGCGCAGAGGCGGAAGCTCATCAACAAGGTGCCGGTGGCGCTGGCGACGCAGGTGCAGGAGGTGTTGAAGCTGCCCCTGTTCAAGGGCCAGTCGGTACGGAGTAGCAACTGGTCCATTCCGTTGACTTCCAAGCAGCTCACTTGTAAGTGGCCTTCGTCATGGTTTTTTTGTATTTCATCTGCTGACACGACGATATAGATTCTGCCGCTGATGCCTATGCTGGCCTTCAGCTGTATCATGTCTTGGAAGAGCGACGACTTGCCATGGATCCTCCACCAGAGCCGCCTCGTTACGCCGAGCTAGGGTTTCCCATTCCCATACCAAGTACGCCTGTTGTTTCTGATATCGAGTCTGATGTCGATTCGGACCCAGAATCTGTCGAGGATGCGGGTTCGGAGTGCAGCGATGGCTCCATCGAGGCTGCAATGCAGGAGCTGGCCAGCGCAGGGACGTTGCCCACGACGACGCAGTCTACTCCCGCGCTTACTGCGCAGGCCCCAACGTCGGTGCGCGATGCACGAGTAAAAGCGGCCGAGGCCGAGCTAGCCCAACTACGCGCTGCCCATCCCGGTCGCCGCTTGCGGGCGACGCCTTCGTCGCTGCGCGCGTTTTACGTGTGGCAGGCCAATGACGACCTGACGCCGGCCGATGTCGCCCGTCTGCTTCGCGATCCGCCGCTGCAGACGAGCACGGTCCTGGGCTATATTATGGATGCCATACTCGCGGAAAAGCTCGCCTTTCCCAAACAAAGGCTACAGACTCAAGTCTTGTCGCTCCTGCATCCCACCCTAGCAAACGGCAAATATCGTGCTGTTGTGAAGCAGTGCGAGCAGGCACAAACATAAGCTATACGAGTATATGACAGACACAATGTATATAAACAGTAATTTGTAACACGCTCATCCACCCATCAAATCTATTCATTTTTCTTTTCTTCCGAAATAATAACGTGACTGTAAAGTGTATTCCTCTTGTCCTGAAATCAACCATAGTCTATGTACATTGTAGTGTCATTGTGTTTCCCTACTCCGCCAGCAACCCGCGTCCTCTGTTAATCTGCACCTTTTTATCCTCACCGGCGCTCACAATCCCCCAGGTCTTGTCCCAAGCGACGCTCAGGACCTTGACGCCGTCACCTGCCGGCGGCAGCTTCTTGCCCCTCAGCCACTCGCGGCCAATCGTGTAGACGGGCTGGCTGACGCGGCCGCCGCCCTCGTCGGCCGTGCCCGCACGCGCGCTGCGCAGGTCCCAGACACGGCACGTACCGTCGTGCGCCCCCGACACGATCGCGTAGTCATTGTCGGGCGACGCCGCCAGCGATGACACCATGTTGACGTGGCCGCGCAGCGTCATGGCGGCCGTCGCGGCGGCGGCCTCGCGCGGGTCCAGCAGCGTGATGTGGCGCGCCGAGGAGCCGGCGGCGATGAGGCCGCGGGCAGGCAGCGCGACGGCGCACAAGAGCGGGTGCATGGTGGCGAGGCGCGCTACCGGCCGCTGCGTCGTCAGGTCGATGGTGCGCACCGTGTGGTCCTCGGATGCCGTGTAGGCGACGGTCGCGTCGTGCGGGTGGAAGAGCGCCGCCGTCACGGGCGCGTCGTGCACGGGAATGAGCGCGAGCGGACCTCGCTGTGCCGTCGTCGCGGCGCCCGCAAGCCGCGCCTTCTTAGTTGTGTGCGCTCCCGGCAGGCTCTCCGGATCGGCCTGCGGTGCAGTGCGCTTCGACGTCGACCACAGGCCAATTTGGCCGTCGGACGAGGCCGTCAGGAGGCGGCGTGTCGACAGGCTCGCGTCCATGGCGAGGATGGACTTGCCGTGACCCCATAGTTCCATTGAGGGCTTGAGCGCGGCGGAGAAGCCGTCGTTGGACTCGGCGTAGTCCCAGACGACAACTTTGCGGTCAAGGCCGGCCGAGGCGACCTGCTTGGCCGACAGCCACCGCAAGGCGTTGAGGCGCAGAGAGTGGCCGCCTCCCGCGCCGGCCGCAGAGGTGGCGACCACCTCGCCCTGGGGATTCCATATCCGCACGAGGCCGTCGTAGGAAGCGCTCGCGACGCGCTCCTTAACGGTGCCGCCGCCGTCGGCCAGCCGGCCAGCCGCCGAGGTGGCGGACAGGCAGTCGACGGCCGCGACCCAGTCGTCGTGCTCGAAGCTGGCCTCGTACGAGGGTGGCAGCAGGCTGCGGACGTACTGCAGCGTCAGTGTGCTTTCGGAGGACAGACCCTCGCTGGTGAGGTACTCCTCAATCGAGGTTGTGAGAAAGGTGCCGTTGGCGAGAAAGTCGAGCGGGATGGGAGAGGAGGTGTTGAGCATCGACTCGGAGTTGAGGACTCGAGAGAGGCCATAACGCTTGATGTCTGTGTTCTGGTTAGTCTGTCGTCAATGAAATTGCTGGAACGGCAGCATCTAGGGCTGTGCATACCGGCCGGCACGAGCAATTGTCTCCTGGCTTCGGGAAGCTCCAAGTCGGCCTCGTTTGTGGTGAAGATCACCTTGACCTGGGCGGTCGAGGTGTCCATTTTAGCGAGAATAGATTCAGTACTGCAGACCAACACGTTGCTGTTTAAGTGTGAGTTTCTCAGTTCCAATGCCAAAGTCAGAATTACCGGGCTTGATTTCGAGTGGAATCGCCAAAGAAGCTGTCGTCTCTAAAGATGGCTTGTTGGAAAAAATTAAATTTTTGGATCCTTGCGACCGTCAGCCTTGCGCATCTGCTCCACTGCGGGGAGCCGTGGTTGATCTCTAGACCAATGGCAGCGCAGCGTAGGACGAGGCTGAGGCTACCCGAGACGATCCATGACAACGAAGGTCGCAGTAACTTGGTGAGAATTGTGAGAGTAGTTGAAGTAGCATGTATTAGTGTATTAGATATGCCCTTTTAAATGGCAATATGCAATGGCCTGTCAACGCCCCCAAAAGTGCAGCCGTTAATCCCTTCACCGTCAGCCCAGTTTATTCGAGCTTGTTGTACCGTTCCCGAGCTTTGTCCTGCACAGAACTAACATACTCGGCATAACCTCCTCGCGTCTGGCGGCCTGCACGTTCAGCTGCGTCACCCAAATTACTACCTTCGGCGCCGAGGCCAACACCCTCTTGGTATGCGTTGGTCTCAATGACATCGGTCCGTCCCTCACCATTCGCACCGAGCCCTGCGCCGGCGGTCCATCCCATTTTCGCGAGCAGGTTCGCACCTTTGGATGCAGCAGGCGGAATAGGAGCACCAGAAGCAGCAGGAGCAGACGGGGTCTCGGGCTTGTCTTTCAAGGGATCGTGCTGCGGCGCTGGCTTCTTTGGCTGCCTGTATGCTTCACGTCGCTCTCTAGCCCGGTCACGATACTGTTTGTCGGCGGCAGCAGAGTTGTCGCCCATACTGCCCGAGTCAGATACCTCCGCCGACTTGCCCAGCTTTTGTAACCGCTTATCTCGAACAGCGAGACGAGGTAATGCGGCCTTGACTAAGCCTGGATCTCCTATGGCTGTCTTGTGATTTCGCGACCGTTCGTGGATGCTGACTTCATCAGTAGACTTGTATTTACGCATACAAATGAGACACATCAGCCGGTCTCGGTCCATATATGACTCCGGAGTTGCTTCTGTATCATCTCCTGGCAAAGGCACCAGGGTCTCTGCCGCGGCCTCTGCAGGCTGTGCATCGGGCTGACCAATCAGTTTGGATGCGGAGGAAAGCGATATTTTGATAGTCGCGTTGGCTGAGGAGAGCTTTGATGGTTGAGACTTGGGTCCATCTATACTCCTAGCTGAGCTCTCTTGAGGGTCAACCTGGGCGCGAATCTCGTCATGCTTACGCTGCCACATTGCCATTTTCCCAGCCATGACAGGGGGCTTTTTGGCAGAGTTTCCGAGATTGCCGTCAGCCTTGCGCTTCTTTGCTCGCTTCAACTCATCTTGCTCCTTGGTAGCTGCTCTTTCTTGGATACTTGCTGGGGCCTCGGGCGCAACGATCATCTGACTGGGGTAGACATGGTCATCCCTGTAGCGAACTCGTATTGATGGGTTGAAGAGTGGGTGGAAAGACATTTTTTCTGTCGCAGGAGTCGGCTCTTTATCATCTTGCAAGAAGACACCCATATGAATCGTGGAGATATTCACAGCGCAACCAGCTATACTAAAGTTTCGGGCCAGGGTGTATTTCTTCACGGCGGACGCGGCGTCATCCACGGTCCAGAATTCGGCAAACCCATATCTGAAGGATTCGTTCGTTTGCGAATCGCGCATGAGAAAAACTCTATGCAATGAGCCTTGTGAGGCGCCAAATCCTTGCCCCGTGCTGGTCGGAGCGGTTGATTTGAGCTTGGGTGCATCGCCGCCTGTTTTCACGGGCTCGGCCCTTTCCAGCTCGAGTCGCTTCATTTCTCGACCAAGCATCTCCTCGTCAACAAATGGCGGAAGAGGGAAAACAACAAGAATCTGGGACGGAGAGTCTGCGACATCGGCAGCCCCGGTCAGGCTGTGTTCCCAGTGGACACCAGAGGGATAGCATCCGCAGCCGCGACAAACGCTTCTAGTAGCGAAGTTTGAAGCCGCGCACTACTTCCGTTAGTAGGCGTTCTGTGTAGTGATTCCTCTCTTAACATACCTGAGGACAGATCCAATCTGCATTGGGAGCTCGTGCCTCGGCATCATCTCTGGATCGTGCATAATGCAAGTATGCAGTGAACTGGCCGTCTGGTGCCTCATCAGTTGAATGCCTCAAATGGATGATGAGTTTTGGATAGTGCTCTTGAACAAAATCAATAGCACGATCGACATGATCAAACTGAATAAAGGCACGACGATGACCTGTAGCGATTAGTTACAGAAGCATGCATCAATGGGCTTTCAAGTACATACCCTTGGACGACGGTATACGGATATCAAATGTCGGGCTCTCTGAGGCAATTGAATGGCTCAGAAGACTTTCACGAAGCTAGGTGTTTGCTCTGCATTAGTCCTGAGATCTCTCGCAAGCATCGCTGGACTGCATGGCGCGCATGCCATACGGCTGGCCATGGGCAATCGTGGAAATGTCCCGGGGGACGGTATTGGTGTCCTGTTTTCCGTGGATAACGAACCTCATTCTGTGAAATACTGCGTGGAAGCCCCTCGAGAATCACAGTGTCTGAAGGTCGGCCCGCGTCGCGGCCAGGACTCCGCGAGCGACTTCGGTATCCGCCCCCGGAGCGTGAGCGATGCGGTAGCTCGTCTCGATCGCCTGGTCTGTCGCTATTGACAGTATCCATTTCATCGCCGTAGCGTATAGGGCGGGTGTCGTTGCGAGGTTCCTCGTCGTACATGGCTTCATAGTCGTCCTGCGTATATTCTCGCTGCTGGCGCTCTCGGCCATGACCACCACTAATGTTGCCATGGCGGCCGTGATGTCGCGGATCTTCTTCATATAATGTACCGTGTTGCGCATCTCTCTGATGCCAGCCAGGTTTCCTATGTGAATCTTGCCTGGGAGGAGATCTGGATGAATCTCGCGGTCCCGTGGGGAAGTTAGCTCAGAATCCACAAAATAACCGCGCCTAGCACTGCGCGATGTAGGTTTTCGAAGGTGGTAAAAGCATTCAAAATAACAGTAAATCCTCGGGAAGAGGTTCAGGTTAAATGTTTACCCTGCCGCGGTCGCGAGTTGTCGTCTCGTCTGACTTGGTGGTGGTCGAATGCTCGATCTGCGTCGCGGTCACTGGAGCACGGTCGGCCATTATCAGGTTGCCGAGCGTCTTGGACGTCGCTCATCTTGGCGATTCGAATCGTGCGTGGATGCCAGTCGCAGTGGTGGTAATTTTCTCTTCCTGTGAAGTCCAGTGATGAAGTTTTGCAGTTGTTTGTTGCAGGTGTGAAGCTGCACGTAATGCAGCAGCCCACAGCGGAGACCGTCTTAAAGTACCGGTGCGAGCTAATAAGCCTGGTTCCACCACATTTGTTATTTGATATGCACGACTAACTGAGAAGTAAACGCCACATCTATATATTATAACTGCCATGATAATTGATACAAGTACATATTAGTATCCACTAACTGGGATTTTGGTCCCTGTTTCTCCTTACGCCTTATAAACATCTCGCTCTTTAATACAAAGCTTGCCTGTCCCATAACGCCTGATATAGCTCAACCCTTGCTAATTCATTTGTAGATGAAAGTTCCAGATACAGCGTCACTACTCATCATCGTCACTGTCAATCACAAAGCCGCCTCGGACGCGCGACTTGCGAGCCGTCGAAGTCGGTGCTGCAGTATCCTCTTCCTCCGCAGAACTGCCTCCGTCCAACGCCAGAACGGTCCCAGAGGTGATTCTTTCTTCGACGTCAGCGTCGCCCATGCCCATGTCCTCGTCATCGTCCGTTCTCGGACTCAGTCTTCGTCTTTTTTGCCTTTCCGCACCGCCGCCGCCCAACTCGGTTTCGTGAGTCTCGCTGGCATCGACAGTAGACTGGCTGCTCAGTATGCGGTGCGCCGAATTGACATTGTCGACTCCATCCTCATCATCGGTGCCGTCGTCAAAAAGGGCTTGTGATCTTGGCTTTGCGGCGGGCTGCCCAGGCGCGATACTGTCATCGTCGGCGAAGCCGCGCATGGCAGACCTGGCCGCTTGTTCTGCTCGAGTCTTGATCGCACGCTCGCGGGCAAAGAATTCTTCATCCTCGTCAGAATCAAAGTCATCGTCTCCGTCTTTGACGTATAGGGCGGACTTGATCTTGCGAGCCTTTTCTCGTTCTTTGTCGCGCCGTTTACGAGCACGGTCTTCGCGTTCGGGGTCGTCAATTTCCTCCGATGCACTCCGCCTCTTTCGAGATTTTTTAGATTTTTGAGATTTTTTGGTTTCATCAACCACTTTTCGTGCCGTGGGGCCACCTGCGGGGAACATCATCGGGTCGTCCAAGAAGTCATCCAGGCCGTCTTCGTCATCAGCATTATCGTCATCGAAAGCCGCCTTCTTGCGCGGTACTGTCTTGCGCTTCAGTTGCTGCTCCGCAGAAGTTCCATCTTCAAAGGTGGGCGGGTTGAATTCTGCTTGGTTGATGTAGTGAAGCGCGTCTTTGAGCTGATTGGCGGTTACCTCGGATGGTATAATCCAGACTGATTCCGGTGTTTCCTCAGTTGCTGGGCCCAGGAGCCGCACGCCAACGAGATTCATCAATAGTCGTAGGTAGGGATTCTTGAACATTGCTGATCGCCTATCAGGACTGTCGGGACGAACTGTAATAACCGGGGGCAGTCTTGGTTCTTGTGGCATTTCGGCCATTTCGGCATCATCAACGGGAGTCTCTGTTGCCAGGAGCTCGTCGTTTGCATTGCTCCAAGAACGACGTTCAATTTCGGCAGTGGTCAGGACATTTTTGAACCACTCAAGGTGATCCGAGTCATTCTTGTCAAGTAAAGCACCAACCGTAATGCCGACTTGTTGATCATGCTCAGTGGTGTGTTTGAAAACAAGCTCGGCGGCTGGCCGAGGTTGCGCCTTGACGACAGACGTTTGTTTTTCATAACCATATTCGAGGAAGAAAGCAGTCGCAGGAAGTTTGCTGAAGAGCATTTCAACAATAAGTTCAGGCCGTTCTTGCATCTTCTTGAAGCATTTACGGAACAGCTGCTTGATTAACTCTTCCCAGTCCTTAAACATTTTCGACGATCTATCCAGTGCATCTGGCCCGTTGACCATATTCAGCAGCATGTGAAGCATGTCGACTCGAAAGATCATAACACCCATATCTTGCTTGAACGCCAATCGGTAGAAATATCGATGCGCTCGCTTTAGTTGCATCTTGTTAAGCTCGCGATAGTATTTGGTGAAGGCAATGAATGTATTTACAACGCCTTGCGGTGTGAACCGTGATGTGAATCGGTGGAAGTCGAATTTTCGTTCTTTTGATGTTCGCTCTACCGCTGCTTCGTCTTGTCCGGATTCATCGTTTTCTTCATCGTCGACGCCGCTTTGTTGAGTCTCCGCCTTCTTCTTTCTGCGCGCGCGTTTCCTGGATCGAACCTGCATGTCGGCATTTTGCTTGGAATAGGCTTCCAGAACACGCAAGAAGTGGTGTACCAACTCGGTGGCGGCATCCAGGTACTCGAAGCCCTGGTCCTTATACGTTCTTGCAATGTTGGCTATTATGTCGTGTGTTGATTCTTCGTAGAAGAGGCGGCTCAAGACGTTTTCCGCAATTTCCTGGTCGTCGTCCGTTCCCTCTTCCGCCATTTCTTGGATCGTGAGCAAGATTTGAGTGAAGCAGCGCATGGCTGCAGAGAGTGAAGGCCAATCCTTGTAATCGTACGACTCATGAAGACCCTTGCTGAGCGTAATGAACATTTCCTGATTCAAAACACTCGCTATCAAGTTGAAGCTGCTAACTTCCTCGGCCCTTTTTTTGTTGTTGGCCTTGCTGCGTTGGCGGCGCACCCGTTCGGCGTCGAGGAACCAAGCAATAAGGTAGAAGAATTGGCGTCGATGAAATTCCATGATATGTGGTGCCTCACGATCGATAGATTTCCGGATATGCAGGAACAAAGGGTTGAAGCCTGAGTCGAGGAATTCCTCTACAAAGGAGCGAAGCTGCTTGACTGCGCCTGGAGTCAGAGGTGTCGGAAGACCGAGATCTTTTTCCTCCTTATTCGCCTTTCTACTGCGCCGAGTAGGGCGGAATATCTTGCTAGCATCCATCTTTTTGCTTCTCGTGACTGCGTCAGCCAGCGCATCTTGTCCGGACAAGGATGTCATTTTGCCATCTTCGCGCTTGACCCAGACCATAGTTCCAAAACGGTTATGTCTTGTAGGCCCCTTCCTGTTGCCTGCCTGTTGTTGAGCAGATTCCTTTTTCATGAGATCGGACAGCTCTCCGGCCATGGCCTTGCTGATTTGATCTTCATCCATGAAGAGCTTTTCGACATCGACTTGCTTGACAAGGTGATAGATAATTTCCATGACTGTTGCATCCTCGGTTCTGAAATCTTCGCCCATGTTAGAGGCGATGGTGAGTAATACGATGAAGACATCTTGGTAGGAAAATGCATCTATTGTGGTGGACCGAGAGATATGGCCCTCGTCGCCGTCAAATTTAACTCCTGGTGATGGTGCAATCATGGCCATATTTCGCAGGAGGAAGAGAATGAGTTTGATGACGCCCTGGTCTCTCGGCGTTCGATCGCCAATTGGAACAGCCATCGAGGGAAGAGCGGATCGGATGGCCGAGTGTAAGATTCTGGCGCCGTCAAAGTTGATGATGGCACTTTTATACTGCAGCTGCGCGAGCTCGAGGATGGGGACGTGTCTGTGGTGGTTGACGGTCATCTTCTCCTTATCCTGGTCAATTGGCCAAGTCAAAGGAACCATGACCTCAAAACAGGATAGCACGATTCTGCTCTTAAACTTGTTGTCCATCGACTCCTCGGGCCATTTTGCGATAATGGGGATCAGGTCGCCCAGCACAAGATTGCCTTCGTAGACACATCTGGCTACGTCCATTCGGTTTGTCTTTTCATCATAGAAGCGAATCCACCGCTTGATGTCGCGCAAGACCTCGAGGGCATCGTCACCAAGTTGATATTGGCCTTCTTCATCGGTGCTGATGCCGCCAAGCTGGGAGACGTTGAATTAGCACGAGGGAATCGGGGGGCAGCGAGCTGGCGCAAACTAACGGCGGAGATCAGACTGGTGATGTGTGCTCTGACTTCTGGATGGACAATGTCATGTCCCCCGTCGGGCAGATCCATGGTGGATGGTGTTTGGCGCGAAGCACCGAATTTCGTTCGTCGATTGACGTTTGTCGACTGAGGCTTGAGATGGCGTTTGCGAGAATGGAAGCAATTTACGCGTCTCAGAGGGAAGACGCGTCGAGCCCGCCTTACGCGTCCGCTGTGACAGCACATGTCAGGCAGTTTAGCGCTGTTACAGCCACTGGAAAAGTGAAAAGTCCATTAACACGGCTAAAGGTGGGCCAGCCTTTGGCTGAGGAGGAACCTCTTGACACACTCACACAACGACTGGCTATTTAAAAAGGCAAGATAAAATTCGATCTGCAACTGATTTCAACCGTATTCCAGTCAAATAGACGCTGCTCATAAACTCCTGGCCAGTTCACTGCTCGTAAACGTAGCGTATTCGCTCGGCCCTTTGGAGCAACAGAATCGGGCCAACCACCACCGGCCCTAGAGAGTAGTGCCGAACGGTGGGAAAGCCGAGATTACCCGCGCCGCCTACCTCAAACCTGTTCCGAGCAAACAGCGGCGGCTTAGCCATTTCGCATCCAACACATCTTCGCAGCCCGCCCACCCATTGCCACTCCAAATATCAGTATGGCCACCTCAATTCTGCGCATGCGCACGCTGCACGCCTCCCGCCAGGCCCGCTGCTTCAGCACCACCCGTCGCCAGTATGCGGCCGAGGTGAAGCAGCTCGGTGTCATCGGCGCCGGCCAAATGGTAGCCGTCCCACATGTTCCCAACGTCGAAGCATGCAGGTGTAGCTAACGAACCTCGCAGGGTCTCGGAATCGCTCTCGTCGCTGCGCAAAGAGCCAATGTTCCCGTCACAATCGTGGACGCGTCTGACAAGGCCCTGTCCAAGGGTCTTGCCTTTGCCGGTATGCGACGCCGCCGTCGGCCCCGAGCCTGACCATTGACTTACACAGCTTCCTAGACAAGCTTCTCGCAAAGGACGTTGCCAAGGAGAGAATCACAAAGGACCAGGCCACCGAGATTCGCGCCCGCCTAACCGGCTCTACCAAGATCGAGGACCTCGCCTCCGTCGACTTTGTCATCGAGGCCGTCCCCGAGATCCCCCAGCTCAAATTTGACATCTTCGCCAACCTCGCCAAGATTTGCCCTTCCCACGCGATTCTCGCCACCAACACCTCCTCCATCTCCATTACCAAGATTGCCGCGGCCACCACCACCGATCCCACCGACACCTCGGCCTCATCCCGCGTCGTCTCCACCCACTTCATGAACCCCGTCCCCATCCAGAAGGGCGTCGAGATTATCAGTGGTCTCCAGACCAGCAAGGAGACCCTTGACACCGCTGTCGAGTTCTGCAAGAAGATGGGCAAGGTCGCCTCCATCTCCGCAGACACGCCCGGCTTCCTGGCCAACCGTATCCTGATGCCGTACATCAACGAAGCGGTTATCTGCCTTGAGACCCAGGTGGGCGACCGCGACTCTATCGATGCCATCATGAAGAACGGCACCAACGTCCCCATGGGCCCTCTCCAGCTGGCCGACTTCATTGGCCTCGACACCTGCCTTTCCATAATGAAGGTTCTCTACAACGAGACTGGTGACTCCAAATACCGCCCCAGTGTGCTCCTTGGAAGGATGGTTGACGCCGGCTGGCTTGGAAAGAAGAGCGGAAAGGGCTTCTATGACTACTAATCGAGAAAACATGTATGCCATTTGTACTACATAGACTGCCGGAAAACAAAAGCGCTCCTTCCACAGAAAGTTGTCAAATGTGGTACTTTCGAGGTGAAATTCGTATTTGCTTGATGCGTGATTTCAGCGACTATTTGAACATATATTGAAGATAAATTACAGCGTTACAGGTTGGACTTGGTGCCCAGAAGTTGTGTTTGAAGCTGATAAATCTTCAACAGTTGACGGATGCCAAGGTCCAGCAGGACATCCTCACTGCCACCCGGGATGCGCATGCCAGGGACTTCTCTGTAGATCTTCTCAACGATCTCGCCCTGGCCACTGCGCGTGTAGCCGTTGCCACCAAAGAGCAGGACGGAGCAGCTGGCGACCTCGTCAAAGACGCGACCGCCGAGGGCCTTGGCCATGGCGATGGCGCCGCCGAGCCTGAGGTCGGACTCGGCCTTGCTCATGTTGCCCATCTGGTAGACGAGCTGGTCGACCCAGGCAGCGTAGGCCTCGAGCTGGGAGCCGGCGCCGGCCAGGCGGTGGCGGACGACGGCGTTGTCGATGAGCGTCTTGCCAAAGGCCTCGCGCTTCATAACGTACTCAAAGGCGGTGCTGAGGGCAACGCGGCACTGACGGACGACGCCCATGCAAATACTCATGCGCTCGTGGTTGAAGTTGGTCATGATGTACGTCATGCCCAGGCCCTCCTGGCCAATCAGGTTCTCCACGGGCACCTTGACCTCGTCCATGTCGATAAAGGTGGTGCCGGCGCTGATCTGACCGCCGACCTTGAGGCGGCGCATCTCGACGCCGGGGTGGCCCTTGAGGGGCACGAGAAGCAGCGACAGGCCGCCGGCGCCCTCGTCGCCGGTGCGGACAGCCATGGTGGCGTAGTCGGACCAGATGCCGTTGGTGATCCTAGGCGCGACAAGTCAGCGGGTAGCTCTCGGCCGGGAGTACGGGCAAGAGATGTGTCGGTGCATGGTACGTACCACTTCTTTTGGCCGTTGACAATGTAGTGCTTGCCATCGGGCGTCTTCTTGGCAGTCGTGGTGATGTTGGCGACATCGGAACCAGCGTCGGGCTCTGTAATGGCAATGCAGATGCGCTTCTTGCCCAGCACAATCTCGGGGACGACGCGCTCCTGCAGCTCCTTGCTGCCAAACTTGAAGATGGGAGGGAGGCCGTAAGCAACACCAACAGTCAGCGAGCCGGGCGGGCCGGCAAGACCTGCACCCATCATCTACACCTGTTAGCCCCGCACACATGTGAAACTTCGCAGGTTGACCTCCGGGCCATCATGACAGACTCACCTCGTCAGCAAAGATGGCAGAGTGGGTGTAGTTCCAGTCCTCGACCTTGACGCTACCAGGCATCTCATGGATGCCGAGGCGTTTCAGCCAGTCGACGGGCAGTGGCGCGGGCAAGGTCGCGGGGAGGAAGCCGGCGGCGACCCATCGCTGGTAGAGGTCCTCGGGGACACTCTCTTCGCGCTCCCACTCCAGGGCGTGCTTGGTAATGTTCTCGCTGATCCAGGCGCGGGCGACCTTTTGGAAGTGGCGATGCGAGTCGTTGTGGTACGGCGACGGGAGGCCGGCCAGGTATGGGGGTTCGGAGAAGGGCAGCACCGCCGGAGCGGAGGTGAGGACCTTTTGGTATTCGGCGTTCATGATGGGCGAATGTGCTTTTCTTCTTCCTTTTTTGATGGGATGCCAATAATTTCGTTCGAGATGCAATGTAAGGACGAAGAGCGTTCCCCAGTCAATTCAGCTCTTATAGCCGGTTGTCGGATGCTTTTTCGCCCTGCGTTGGTAACTTGTCCGGGGATTAGCGCATCTTCTAGCGCCGCAGCATCCGCCCGCGCGGAGCCGAGGCCCGTCCACATGCCGTCCACAGTGGCATATAGCCGAACTCTCAACGGGCTGGGGTTACACATCAACAAGAAGGCTGTGTTGAACTAAAAAGAGCAATGGTCAATCAAGCCGCGGATGTAAGAGCATACTGGATTGATGAATTGCAGGACATCCAGGCTGGCAGTATGGTTGCGGCATGTAATAATATGTACCCTCTGTTGATGTCACTATGTAGCTCCCACGACCTTGACCTCGAGCATGTCGGAAATATGCAATCAGCTTGAATTAACCATGTAAAACGCTTTGAGAGTAAGTGCGCCCATATGTAGAGGATGTGTTGGATCAGATTGACAAGCCACAACATTGGCATGGCTGAGGCAGCTGCACTCATGTCGTCGTCGTTTGAACAGTGCAGGAAAATAGTGCCTGCCGACCAAAAGAGAGAGATCAATCGTAGAGATGTAGGTGCATTGAGTCTGACTCCATGGCTTTCATTCGTGCATGGGAGCGAGAAATCTTCGAGCTCGCGTGGTCTATCATGTCTCGCATCGAAAAATCATCACATACGTTTCATAGAAAGGTCGTTTCTTACTAAAGGGAAGGGAACTTCAAATTCCCATGCCATTGGAGGTGGACGAGTTCATGCCAATGACTCAGTACTATGATGCCCATTCCAGGCCAACATAGTAGAAGGAGGCCCAGAGATGGCAATGGAGGAACATCTCGTACAACCATGAACTATACCCACCTTCAGAAGCGGAACTAGTTCGGGTTGTCGGGTGCTTTTGGGTACAACTTCCCACATGGCCGCCGCCGCCGCCGCGGCATACCTAACGAATAACCGATAGATCCGAGGCGTCCGTCACCGGTACTTACTTCCCTGTTCCCTGCAAAGCAGCCATCGAAAAGGGGCCACCGTAGCCTAGATCAGTCAACTTGCATCTAATGATAAAAAGTGACAGAATGGCTGAAAGTAAATGCCCCAAAGAAAATGCGCCACGCAGGCGTGGAGAAAGGATTGGGCTGCACGCTACTGTCTTTTCAGAGACGGGCGAGACGGTTTGTGGTGCGAGCTGCCCAAGTACAACGTATCCATAATATAAAAGTGAGACTCCGTTGACTGCCATTGAACTATTTATAATTATGGCGGCCACGCGGGGTAGTCTGTAAGATGATGCCAGTGTGCTTGGCGGGACGACATTCGTTAATAGCACATCTGCATATTAATCAATTTGGATCTCCTGTCTCGATTGTTATGCGAGTAAAATGACATGTCCCCTTAATAAGCTTGAAATAACAGTATTCTACCACGATTTGTTTCAACTTTATTTAAAAACAACACGCGATGCGCTGCCCTGTCGTTATTGCTGGTAATAACAAGTCGCATGAGCATGTATGTGCATGGAAGCAGCCCTGATTGTAATAAGAGCACACATGGCCGCAACACATGTCCACTCATCACGACGCATGAATTGGCCCTGACCTAGAAGAGAAGGCCAAGAGCTCTCGTGCCAGATGCGGAAGGTTCACTGGACGACCATTCAAACGCCATACGACCGGCATGCTCCAACGAATTGAATTATTGCGATGGCCGCATGTTGTTGACAGCGCCCGGAATCGACACAATGAAGCGCGTCCAGCCACCTAATCTATTTCCCAAAGCAGCCCATGTCTACATACTGGTACCAGTACCAGTAGGCCATCCTGGCGCTTTGTTCCAACGGCACACGTGCGTACTGGTATCGATCACTCAAGCGGTGTGGTGGACATGGACAGGGGGGAATGGGGAGGGGGGATACATACATACATAATTCGTAGATGATGGGCAGCACAAGAGGCTGCTCTCTGCTTCTGGCGGCTGCCGCACGCCCCCACGACAGGCGTGATGCCTTCTGCTTCTGGAATTGCTACATGCAAGGTTGAACCTAGTCAAGGTAACCATGGCATATTAGCTGGCCGGCCCTAATAGCAACAATGGTCGGCTCTCCCACAGACCCCTTTCCTGCAGAAACTGGGCTGATTAATGTGTGGACGGGATCGCGGGGGGCCACACTCATGCCGCACGCACACCGTTTCCAGCAGCGCAATATGTCTTGCCCACACTGGAGAGCGCGGCAGCACTTGCCCCAATCATGGCAAGAGAGGAGAATCGGGAAGATAAATTGGATTGCGTATGCGATCTCTGATGCCAATTTGCATCGGCGAGACAAGAGGTTTGAAATCTGGAACCGATTTGCACGTGTGACAAGGTATCCGAGACGACGAGCAGGAGAACAAGGCTCTGTCATGTTCGATTACTGTTCTACTGGGTCCAATGGTTACATGAGCAAAAGGAAGCAAGCCGGTCGCGGGTTGAATGTCGAGACAAGAGCCTGCTGCCATGTGGTTGCTGTGTGTGGCCAGTGTGACCCCTCCTGCCGTTGAGAGCCCCAGTCAGACGGGTTGTGGTCTGTGGAGGTTGCTAACTACCAGGCCACCAGCTCATGGGTATCTTTGTTCCGGTTGGACACAGGGGCCAAATTATGTGCATCTGCCACGGAAAGAATGCGACGCGTTGTGGACGCCTCTACGGAGTAGCTAGGCCCTACTGGTAGGTTGTCAGTGGTCACCACGAATTGCATGCGCCTTGTGCCTGCCGACAGGCACAAGTTACATACAACTGCCATCACTTGTGATGATAATTGCGGAAACGCCCCTGGGACGAGATCAATTACAACACACATGACACAGACATGGCTGGCTGTGCCGTCGGCTGGGGTTCCAAATGATGATACCGAGGCGCCAAACCGTCTACTGGTAGCGAGGGACCTGGTCATGCCGCTCGCCGACGTCAGCCAAAATGAATCCCGTCCGACAGTGCTGCTCCGTGCCCGTACGGGAGGGGAGATAGAGACCACCAAGTCGGTGTAGCTGGACACAACAGGGGGCGGTGGCAGGCACGGCAGACGGGCGGGCGGTTCTTCTGAGTCTGTGAGTGTGTCGAAACGCCCAGATGCAAAAGGGTGTCACTCCTTGGCGTTGATGAGAATGTTCCCATGAAAGATCAGCGGCGGGTAGAGGTGTGGGTGCGCCTTTCGGGCAACAGTCAATGACGACGCGCCGCAAGTGGCTGGAGCTGCTTCGGTATCGAAAACTACATGGGCGGGCGGGCAATGGCAAGCTAATAGTTACTTGTTCCTTGTCCCTGTTGATACGTTTGGTTCGTATAATGCCGAGATGCTCTGCGCAGTGTGCTTGCGTCTCCAAGCGAAGTGAGCAAAGTCGGACGAGTGCGCGGGAGATGGCCAGATTCTCGTGCTGCAGGACGAGGCGAAACAACGGGGATAAAAAAGAAACATTGTCGCACCCAAAAAGAAGGGGACTCGCCCGTGACAAGAGCCGAGAGCATGGCAGTGAGTCGGCCGGCCCAGGCCACAGGGCGATCCGCTGGGCTACAGTTGAAACATCATGGCGTGCTTCTCGATCTTATAATCTTATTACCAGTACCAACAGGAAGCTGTCGCGAGAGCTGACGAGGTGGAGTCTTGTAACAGAGTAGAGGAGCGACCACGCATCAGTCAATGAGAGCAGTTTGTCGACGGAGTCGTCTCTGGCAGGAGCCGTGGGTGCATATTTCGCTCCACTCCACCTTGAGCAAGGCTTGATGAGAAAGAGAGAGAGAGAGAGTGATGAGAGAAGCAAAGAAAGGAAGGAAGAAAGAGAGACAGACAGCCTAAAAAAAGACCCCGGCTCTCAACTCCATCAAAGGGGCCCCCAGTCGTCCACACCATCCATCCCGTCCCCCCCACCCCCTGTCACTCTTGACTCTTGACTTGCAACGGGCGCCGACGACGACGAGAAGAAAAAGAAATGAAGGACTACCACACGCCACACGCCCCCGTCAAGTGGGTTTCCCAAGTTAGCGTGAGGTTATCCGGTTCGAGCCCACAAGGCAATGCACGCGAGAAGAAGCCGTCGACGGGCGGACCTGTGGTGGGTCCAACACCTGCTCTAGCTTCAACCTGCTTGAAGCCCGGCAGACTCTGCGTTTACCACCAGTACATGGCTCTCTTCTCCATCAAGCCCAATCCCAGGGGTCTAGAGATTTAATAACGTTAACTTTGATTCTTCGTATGAACCTCTCTGCCTGCCGTTCTAGGCCCCGTCGCCTCGTGTCCTCGCTCCGCTCTGGAAACGCAACCCGGTGCCCGATTGGCGCACACCGGACCAAGCTTTGTTTGACTGGGCTAACTGGCGGTTTCATCGCGTTGCAACACCAGCTGGTAAGCCGGGGTGAGCGGGCGTCGTCGGCCAGGAACTGGCATGGCGTGCTCAAACCGGTCCGTGTGTGGTCTGGCATGAGTGGTGTGGTTGCTTGACCACTCCTCCGTACGTACGGTACAGAGAATGGAGTACTGGTAGGTACTAGTATCCCACTGGCTATTATTGTCAGACAGCTGAAGACAAAGACGGCAATCTGACACTTGATGTGCTACTGGCACATAGTTGCTTGCTTGCGGCGGCGGCGTCAAGCTGAAGAAGACGAAAAGCTACGACATTTTCACAAGTGCTGCGGAAACACGCACTCCGCCTTTCCATCGCAGCGCGCCCCCGACGGCGGTAAACCCTCAGCCTTTGCGGAACCTCGCCGGCAACATTCCCCCTTGCCCTGCTTCCGTCTCCAAGACGCCACGGCAGAAGCTCTCAAACGAGACACTCTCCGGTGCCACGAGCCCCACTGCCCTTCTGCCAGAAGCCAGAAGACAGAAGACATGGTTACACTACTGCTGCAGCCCCTCGCTTTTATTTCTCCTAGCTTCTTTGCAGGGATCTGCGGACTGGGGGACGGGGACTGGGGGACTGGGCTTGATATTTCCATCTGGTCATTGTGTCTTCTGCGGCTGCCAGCGGCCATCGCCAGTCATGGGACGGGACCAGCGTCCTGCGCGCAACGGGAACCGGATGAAAGCCAAGCACGGCCCAGAATTTCGGACATTGCGGCGGGTTGCTTCTGAATTAGGTTCATGCTCCAACTTTTGACCAAAACAGCGACTGTGGATGTCGATGCGGGTGTGACTGCCTCTGCGCCATTGGATCTCGCATTCGACTGCCAGTACGCCGCCGCGTTATCTCATCTGACTCTCCGTTATACATAGGTTACGCAGAGGCGAGCAACTCTTGCTGTCCCTTCTGGACACGAGCCTGAAAGCCATGCGGAAACAAGGTGCTTCCATCCGTCAAGACAATGTCTGCAAGTCGATCGCCTCTGGTCCATGACTCGAACGCACCAAGAGTTCGCCCGCGAGCAGTTCGCAGCACTGTGTACTTGAGTGAGACATGGCTCTTGCCCTCCCATGCAATCGCAACGCGCAAGACCTGCCTGTTCACAAGCCCGATTCACTTTGACGCCTCCATGACAAGCCACGCAGCGTTCTTACTGGAGCAACCCGCACCCATGCCGTGGTTGGCCCCCACCAACGGCCGCACTTGGCCGCACTTGATCAATATCCTTGCTTCCAAAAGCGAAGGACTGTCCCCAAATTAGCTCTAGTGCCATGCTGTAACGGAATTTTACTGATAATGAACTGACAGGGTCCGAATCAAACACCCCCCATGCTCTAGCCTGACGCCCCATGCGACCCGTTGCATGCTCCATACCCTGCGTGACAGAATGGAAGCTGCCCGACTTTCATTGGCCTGGCACCCTTCAACTTGGACAAATGGCTGTCCTTCTTGCTTTTGCATCTTGTCTGCATGGACTCTGGCCACACACCGTACTCGTACGTGCATACACTAGGCCATGTGTCCAGAATAACATGGCATGGGCCGCTAGAACGGCTGCCTCAGCCGAGGTGAGCCTAGAAACATTGATTCTGCTCCATCTTCTCATGCCTTGATTCCTTGGCTGAGCCATCCCAGGCCAAGCTAGGCTCTGATGCGGAGGGCACCATTGTCCATGGTGGCATAGTCTAATTATATCGCTGGTCCTGATATTGTTCCGTGGTTCCATCCTTGATCTTAGCATTACTTTTGTGTGAACTCTCAGTTCATACTGGTAGTCCTTGCTACCTGCTTCTTATCCTTTTTCTCTTTTCGTTTTTGTTTGCGAAATTACTGCTCACCCTTCTTTCCCGCCTGGTCAGGGTGTATGCACGGCATCAACCTTTCCAAATTGCGACTCGTCACACGTCTCCGGCACACTTTGGCGGCTGTGAGTAGCCTTTCATCGGACTCGTCTCGTGCTATTCACTCTGGATCAGCTCAAGTAGCGGACTACGGTTCCATCCGCTCAGCTATCAACCCGCCTCGCATGAGATCCCCAAACACACACACAAGCCAAGCAACCACAGTACGCAACAGAGCCGCCCCCAAGGAGTGGATTGGGCGTCAAGAAGCAAAAGTTCTGCATCTTGCCCTCCCGACATCACACACGCCTCCTCTCATAAAGGGAAAGGCGCCCTTTTTTTCTTGTTCGCCATTCCCTTTCCTGTGCCTCAGTGGAGTTGTGTCCCAGGGTGGGCTGGCTCACCTACCCGTTGGCTGGCTGCCATCTACCAAGAACTGAGCGCCTCTCATCGAGTCGAGCAGCCTTAAAAGGCCTATGCATAAGTCTCGTACCAGTGGCAACACTTTACTCAAGCATTCGAGGCCATTCCCCCACAAGTGTACTCTCCACCGCCATCTTCCATCCTTGCTCTCTGGGAAAAGGGTATAAATTAAAACAAGCAAGGCATCAGGACTGCCTAATTTGCGTTTGGAAGAGGCCGTCCCTGGTGCCCAAAAAGAGGCTGACCCGCCCTCTTGCTTTTCAGCAAAGCCCGCCCTTGAAGTGGCTGCGGACGTTGCGCCTCCTAACCCCAGCAAATATCACTGGTACAGTCATCTCCAACTGTGAAGGAGATGCTTGGCTTCTTCCAAGCGAGCCAAAACTTTTCAACTTGATCTGTTTCATCATCCAACAACTCATCTCAACTCGGGCACCCCGGCCTTGTTTTGCGCGTGTGGCCTGCTTCCTTGTTGCGATAGTACTCTGCTGGTGCAGAGGAGACAAAATCCGACGCTGACCCATGGCCTGACTGCCTCTCTTATTCCAGGGGTAGATATATCATCATCTACAACTTTTTTTAATCCGCTAAAGAGGGTGGCTCTCGTCTCGCTGCGCCTCCCGGTTTCTTACTCCCCTCAGCTGCGCAGAACTTGTCCATTGCGTGGCGCGTGTCGAACCGACGACTCTCCTCCCAAAGATCTGGTGTTTTCAAAGAGAACGGACGGCTGTTTGATCTAGATTCCCGCTACCAGCGCCTCCGCTGCCTCGGCAGCAGCACAAAGCACCTTGCTGTATCGCAAAGTCCCGTCGTCGTCTGGGGAAACGAAAGCAAGAACGATCGCGAGGGACGATGCTGCAGCTGGTTCTTTGAAGCGTTCCTACTATCGACTTGCATCTTTTATCCTCCAAACCAGCTTCTCCGAGACCAGCAACATTCCATCCTCCACAGTGTTTCATTTGTCGGTTGGTTCATCTGATTTTGTTTCCGTTCTTTTCGACTCCCGCAACCTCTATACCAATGTTTGCGACGCAACTTTGCGAACCTATTGCACACAAGTGGCCTCTGGAAAAATATCCGCCATCATTTCCAGAGCAGACAAGGCCTCGCATGGCAGATCCGCACGGGATAGGGTCCTCGGCAAAGCCACTCTGGCCGGAGGAAGGGATGTACATGCAACAACGAGGCGGGACAAATCACCCGCAACAGCTCTTCCCGACCACGCAAGATTCCACGCCTAACAAAGGGCAACCGGATACTCTAGCAGAAAGCCACGAAAATGCCCCCCAGGGCCATTCTTTCGGCGACTACCACGGCTACAGCCACGGTTACGGCCCAGGATCGTCTCGATTCCGCACGAGGACATCGCCCTCTGCGCCCAGCATCATAAGCGAACCACCGAGTTACAGGGGAATGCACAGCTCAGATCATCTTTGGAGGAGTCGAATGGATACGAGAGGCGACGGCGGCAGCATAGGACACTATGGTGCTAGCAGTACGGGCGGCCCGCCAGCACCAGCTTCCTTGGGAATGGGACATGGGGATGGAGACGACTACTCTGATGAAGGAGACGTTGGCGAGGGAGAATCTGAAGGTATGCAGCAGACGGCTGCGGAGAGACTGGCCTCGCGTAGGAAAATGAAGCGTTTCAGGTTCACAATATCCCCAGGCCTCGTCTTCTTTCCGTCACAGCTGACCGGGATGTTTAGACTTACACACCAGCAAACTCGATTCCTGATGAGTGAATTCGCAAAGCAACCGCATCCTGACGCTGCGCATCGAGATCGCCTGTCGAGAGAGATCCCGGGGCTAAGCCCACGGCAGGTTCAAGTCTGGTTTCAGAACAGGTTCGTTGGAGTTGCTTGACTACACAATTAGTGATACTCCGTCCCGGCTAACCGTACTTGCTAGACGCGCTAAGATTAAGAGACTCAACGCTGATGATCGCGAGAGAGTAGTTCAAATGAGGGCGGTACCAGAGAACTTTGACAACGTCCAGGCGTTGCACTCACCCTATGGCGCGGTGCCAGCATACGAAGGAGCGCTGTCGCACGCTCCGAGCCACCATCACCATCCGCACATCTACGGAGCCCAGCACCCTCGCGCCCTCATGGTCGATGTACGGCGCACCGAAGGCGAGAATCACCCAATGCAGTCCACCGGCCTAACGCCCGTCTTTGGTGGCATCGGCTTTGGCCAGAATCACGTTCCCGGCATGTTGGAGACGAACCCGATGCTTTCGTCGCCGTCGACCTTTGGTCCAAACGACAGATATACATATGGGACAAGACCGCATGGCGTCGGCGTTTCCGATGCCAAAGCCTCGTCTACAAGCAGCCCTGTCAACGAAGGCGACCACCGACCCGGGCCGAGACCGCTGCGACCGGCCGGCCTAGCCGATCCACTAACCAGGGGGCGGTCTGCGTCCTTGCAGTCTACCATGGGATCTTCTGTCTACTGGCGAGGGGGCGGTCTCGGCGACGTGGCCGAGGTCCACGATTCTACCCCGGAGCACGGCAGTGAGGGTCCGGCACCACCCCTGCACTCGTCTGCGTCCGGCATGGGCCTCAACACCCTATTTTACGGCGGTGGGTTCTAACTAGCCAGCGTGTGGTAGCGTGCAACAAGATGATTAACGCCTGCATTGTTATCCAGATGATACCTCGACACAGCCGTCGAGTGCTTCGGGTGACATGGGGCCTCGTCAAGATCAATTTCCTCGCAGCCGAGCGCCTCCGGCGTCATTTCCGCTCGAAAGCCGCGGGCAGTACACCGATATGGGGCAGCAGCCGATGCTGTCTCCCATTCGAACCGACATGGCACGGCCGGCGGCATCGGCCCATGCAGGGGCAGCCTATACGCCCACCTACAGCTCGCCTCTGCCGCTACCGGGCAGTGCGAGCGCGCCAAACACGAGGTTGCTCGAGCCACGGGACCACATACCGCAATTTGGGTACAACGCTGGTGACACGTCGGCTGCAGCTGTCCACACCTTTCCCCCACAAGCAGCAGGCGAGAGTGTAGACCAGCAGCGGCCATTCTACCCACCCGAGACGCAGTCGACGCAGTATGAGCGGCCAGGGCACGTTTTACCGTACGGAGAAACGGCAGAGGAAACCGATGGCGTCAAGCGGGAGTAGTAGAGCTTCTTCAAGTCCTTCCTCTGACACGTTTTCCCGAGCTGTTTACGCACGCTACCCTCTTTATCCTTTTCTTTGTATTTTACTTCTTCCTCCCATACCTTTTTCTTGTATATATGATCGGAGCCACCAGTCCAGGTTCCGGGCCCAGGAGAAGCAACAGGATTGCTCGGCGAGAAGCAAGTATTTGGGCTTTGGCAGTATATATATATATATATGTAGCGTATATTCGAGTATAAAAAAGTTGACTGTAGGTGCCGGCGACTCTTGACGATGTTGTGCATTTTTGTATTACGTTCTGCGCAACAAAAAACCGGTCAGTTTCGGCTTACAAGACAGGCATGCAAATATATATATGGCGATGTGGTGATTTTTTGACTTCAGAGTTTGACGTGCCAAATAAAGTGTCCTCCGGCAGCCAGGCGGTTATTGCATCCAGGTTCAGGGCGCAGCAACGACGATCAAGGCGGATAGGTTTACCAGATGTATACTTTCATCATGAAAGAGAATGGGGGGTTCCGCGGGAATGGCGCTGTGCAAAAGGGAACTGGGAAACATACTATCACCTCGCGCCGCGTGATACGATGGATGTAATGCTGCTCCTACGCCGGTTCGATGCTACGACGACGCGACAAGTGCGAGTGTTGGAATGAACTCCCTTCTCCACGTCCGTTGTCGTCGACAAAAACGAATACATGTGCGAACACACACAAAGATGTAATGTAACTTGCATCAGGTCATCATCGTTTCATGGCAGCCGCACAAAGGGGCCCTCGTGATGATGGTTTTTGGCAAGGTTGATCGGTCTCGACCGGGCCATCGTAAATCGCCAGCAGCAAAGGGAGAATAGAGCCGAGCTGACAATATGAAAATAGTGGTTGGCGGTCTGTTGTTTTGTTTAGATGAAGAAGAGGAAAGGGAAAAGAAAAAAGATCGGCCCAGCAAATCAACAAAGTGTGAAAAAGGTTGCGGGTCCGGGTCGCCGCATCACGTGATACATTTGCTTCGTTTTCGCGCCCGGCTGGTGTACAGTGTATCTGTACAGTTCAGGACAGTGTATTCATTGTGCAATGTTTGACCGAGAGTGCTTGTGCGCATCGTTTCAGCGGGCGGTTTAGCGCCTTGTCCACTGTCGCGTGTCCGCTCCCCCACCAAGGAATCGCACTGTGCGGCTGAGGAAAGAAGAAAAAAAACGGCTGTGGCACTTGGTCCACGCCCCAAACTTCCTGCCTGGTCTATCAGGCTGCAGGGCTCTTCACCAAGCGTTTCGACTCGCCCACCCATCTCCGCCTCCGCCCGCCGCCCGACGCTGCCATACAACCTCCTCAACCCTTGGCCGTCGCGACCATCACGCCCTTTCGTCACGACGCCACGACGCCCCCGCGAACCTCAAGTATACTCCCCCCCCGGTCGAAAGCGAACCCCGTACCAGCCGTCTTGTTTTCCTCGTTGCTGCGTTTCGTCTTCGTCGCTCGCCCACGTCAACGAGACGAAGCCGCTTACGACAAAACCCGCGACACCATTCGACGCCCTTTCTGGTGCCAAAGTCCCATCGACTCTTTGGCCAGACAAAGCGCCCCGTGCGGTCCATCGCCGGCGTATTCCCTCACGGTTATACGCAATTTTTTTTCCAATCTTCAAAGGCGGCTCCGACCTATTGACGGAAACCCTCTGCAGTGTATGACGGTCGATAGCTGAAGGGAAGGCTCTGCCTGGTCCAATCCGATTTTGCTAGCCAGCAAACTTGGCGCGACAGCTTTTCTCTTTCAAACTCTCTCACACCCTGCCCTCGTCGCTCTGTTTTTCCTCTCGATTGCTTGCTTCTCCGAGGCGAAAATTTGACCGAGAGAACCGCGAGATGTCGTTCCATCCGCAGACCCCACAGAGCCCTTCGCAAACATCACCAGCCACGCACCCCGACTCCATGGCCGCCGCCAACGCGGCTCCCACGGGCCCGACAACCCTTCCTACGCCCGCGCACAGCGTCACCGGTAGCATCTCCCACCAGTCCGACGCGGCTATGGCCGACGAGTTCCCCCACAAGCGGAAACGTCCGCTCGATGATGTCGGTGAACGTGACCACAAGAAGGTCCAATACGACCACAGGCTCGGCATCGAGGATCTGCATCTCGATGTTGGGCCCAAGTACATGCTCCTCCAAAAAAGTAAGGAACCCATCTGCTACACTCTTCCCCTTCAGCCCTTTGCTTTTGGATGAGATGCAGGAGGCGCCGGTACCAATCCTTCTTTCTGTGAAGAGTCTTTGTGTGTTGACAATGCCGTTCGGCTACAGCTTATGAAGACCAGTTCCCGCTCCTGACAGGGGATCTGTACGAGCAGTTTGACTTGGCAGACCTGGCGGCAGAAGTGGCGCGTGAAAAGCCCAACGGTGAGAAGAATGCCCTCCGCAAGACGTACAAGGGACACATCAAGCGTCTCGGTGTCGCCGGGCACTTTGACGTGCAGAAGAAGAAGGAGGACGCGCCCTCGGATTTCATGGCCATGTTGCAGGTGCCCGATCTGGAGTGGAATGTGCACCAGGTCAAGGGCCGTGAGATTGGCGACGGCCTGTCCGAGGCCACGTTAAATGGCTTGGCCCGCGCCATGACGATGTCCAAGGGCCCCATTCCCCGGTCTGTCTGGGACACGTCTGTCCTCGGTGATATGGCCCCCCACAACGGCAACATCAACACTACCAACGGAGAGTCGAGCAAGGCCGCCGGCCCCGCGACCGCCCGGGCGACGGCGCCAAACACACCCGCCGCCACCACGCCGTCAGCGACGATGGCGACGGCGGCGGACCGCCCCCGGGGCAGCCTCCCGCCCGGTGCGGATCCGCTGCGGCCGCGCCGAAACATCAAAAAGCGGACGTATGGCGACAGCAGCTACGAGGGCTACGGTGAGGGCTTCCCCGATGACGACGCCGGCGCGGACACGGGCTACTCGACGGGCGAGGGCGAAGGCGGCCAGAAGCGCAGGAAAAAGGTGAAGACTGTCACTACGGCCACGGAAGGCGCGTCGTTTACTAACGGGATGCAGCAGAACTCGGGGACCACCCCGCCCTTCCCCCCGGTACGGCAGCACAGCTACGGTCCCGGCATGGTCGGCGCATAGAAGCTCTGGGCCTCGCTCCATTCTCTTCCCCTTCTGCGTCTCTGTCATGAACATGTTTTGTTCTTCATTCACAGAAGCGGGAAGCGAAAAAAAAAAAAGACGCAAGACAACCTCGAGAATGGTTCTTGTACAGGTGTCTTCTTATTTCGTCATGACAAACATCGAGGGGAGTTTGACGGCCGCTGTTACCTTTTCATGATTCTTTTATCTCATTTTCTTCTTTTATTCTTCCTGTCCATTAGAGGCCAAGCCCGACACTCTCCGGCCGTCACGCATTGTTTTCTTGCATTGGCACAAACCCTCTTGGTGCCTTGTTTTTTTCGTCTCGATCGGGTGGGTTCATGAGATAAGATTTGGTGCGTTTCTTCTTGTTGTTTCATTTATTCTTCTATTAGCATGGCGTTTGGGGAGGAAAAAAATATCTCGTCTTGTTTTTATTTTTCTTATTGCTTATTCTCTTTACGCCCCTTTTTTCTTTTTTTGGCATGTCTGTTATTTTGGAAAACTTGCAAGACGCACCGCACCTTTGACATGCACATGCATGCACATACATGCTTCTTCTCATGCACGCAACAACGCATGCAGAACAACCCAAGAAAAAAGAAAAAAAAAACTTGCTCATATCAGAATGCATTTTACACCAAAGAGTCTTCTTCTTTCTTTTGGCTTGGGGGCTGTACTACTGTTTTTGTCTTTTTTCTTCGTCTTAATTGGTTGGTTGGTACCTTGCGAAAGCTGGCCGTTTTTGTTTCTTCCTATTCTTTATTGCTTTATTTTCCTGCTTTCTCGTCTCCGCCGGTTTGTTCTCCGTCTCTTTCCTGAGGGACTGTTTCCCTCAGATGCTGTCGTTGGGACAGAAGCAGAAGGAATGGGCGGAGAGGGGAGGCCCCTTTGCTTGATGATCATTTGTCGTTTGGCCCTTTTCCTTACCGAGTCTTTAGATACCAGCACACGTGTTTTTTACCTTTTCTTCTTTTGCGAGAGACAGACATGTATACAAAACAGAGCAAGTAACACAAATTGATTCCATGCCTCGTAGATTGTGAATGGATCGTGCTGGGGTTGAAGGTGTTTGGCTGAGTACAGTCGCTGTGGGTTCTCCTACCATGAGCATAATCATTCAATCATCAAGCCCACTCGAGATGTAGATATTCTTCATTAATTCCAATCGTGCCATGTTGAGATAAGTAAAAGATTTCGAAATACAAGAGGTGAAACATCGTCTAAAACGCCCAGAGTGTCCATCATGTCATAACCTATATTATACAGAAAGAGAAAGAAAAGAGCAAGGAAAACGCCAATCCTTCCCTGGTATCTATTTTTTTCCCTTCGGTTTTGGGGGAGGGGGGTTCCTTTCCTTCAATCCAGCGCATCGTATCACTTTATAGTTTCTATCATTACTGAGGCGGCATATCACCAAAGTTGCCATTCTCAACGGACGGGTATGCGCCCCCACTCATCTCCGCCCAGTTCCAGTCCAGCGTCATGGGTAGCGCAAAAAGGTCCTGCGGCAGAAGCGGCTGATGAAACGTTGCATCCAGAGACATGGCCGACGGGTCACTGAGGAAGCCGCTCATTGCGTCGAACGAGTCAAAGTCGCCGTTTTCCGAAAGTTGCTGCTGTTGCTGTTGCTGTTGCTGGTGCTGTTGTTGTTGCTGCTGGTGCTGGTGCTGCTGGTGCTGCTGGTGCTGCTGCTGCTGCTGTTGTTGTTGCTGCTGTTGCTGCTGGTGCTGGTACTGTTGATGCGCTTGCGGCTGCGTATCCTGGTTTGGGTTACCGTTGCTCGGTGACTTGTGGTCCTCGGATGGCGACGTCGCCGCGACAGGGCCCCAGGACGACGAGCGGTGGGTGCGGACCGGCGGTGACAGCTCTTCAATAGTCGTAGGGATGGGCACTTCGGAGGTGTCGAGATTTTTGGAGCTTTTTACCTTGCCGTCCGTGCGGCGCTTCCGCCGGAAAGACTGATCATTTTCGGCCTTGTCAACGACGAGCTTGGCGATGCGCACAAACTCGGAACATACGCCGAGCATGCGATGGACACCACCTTGTTCTGCCTCTTGGCCCAGCATGGAAAGGAATGTGACGACCAAGTCCATGAGTCGCGTATCGTTTTTGGCGCGTACATCAAGCGGGTTCTGAAGAATGTTTCCGAAAAGTGTTACCAGAGCGGAAACGGGAAAGTACAAAATCAGCCTACAAATCGTTAGTTCCTCTGTGCGAAGTTATGAAGCTGTAGGTACTGACCAGACACATGCAAAGTCGCCTTGGGGAACGTATTTCAGGAGAGAGATGGACGCTCGCGCAGCAGCTGTGGACAGAGCAGCAGAAGAAAACACACGAGGGTTCAATGGCCGTGCGTTGAGGCCTTGGATTGCGTAATTGGCCAGGCGGCTCGTCCAGTAGCCGTGATGAACCGACATGCGGTGGATAGTGGTGAGACAGTTGTAGTATGTAAAATGCAGCATAACAACATGCAAGATCAAAGGTGTGTGAGATGCTTTGATCTCGTGCTCTGGGCGGAACTCGATCGGAATGCGATCCTTCCAGTCTTCGAGCTGCTGGTCGAGCTCACCAATTGTGTTGAGGAGCTCACCGTCAGACTGCTTGGTCGCCTTTATCGAGTAAAGTCTTTTGTACACACTACTTTCGATGACGGCAAATTCGCACATGACGCGGAAAAGATTCATCTTTCCCTTTCCATCAGCCAGGGGAATGTTTCCGATGTTGTCATCCGGGTTGGCATCCGGCAACTCGACATTTATGTCGTCGTCATCTTGGGCAGGCGGTCGGCCAGATCGCAGACAGAGGTCCTTATCAAGCATGTAGGCAATCCAAAAGACTCGCTTCCGTTGCTCTATTTCAATGGGGTTGAGGTTGAATCCGGAGCCACGTTTGTGCAGACCTATGCTGTGGGAGAGGCGGATAGCGGCGGCAATGAGCAAAAACGAAGGCTGTGGGTTGGGAGTGCCCTGCATGAAGAGAGCCATGCCGAGAAGAGCTTGGACGGAGAGAAGATCTGCGTTGCGCATGGTTAATTCGGCGAAGACGCCCATGGCGTTCTTTAAATAGGCCCACGCCTTTTCGTCCTCTTCTTGTGGCACAAGGTTGCTCATGACGCGAAGGCGATGGGCAATGGCCAGCGCACAGTTCAAACTAGCCCACCATCCAGATCCCTGATAAGGATTGGATGAGTACTGGCGCTCAACGAGGTGCATAAAGGTGGGTTGGTGGAAGAGAGGAAACATGCAGTTGAAGTTTTCAAAGTAGTCGGTGAGCAGCGAGAGGGCCTCCTGCTTGGGTGGAAGGGGTCTGAAGATGGGGCGCTGGAACAAGTCGCCAAAGACTTCGGGCTTCCAGTTTGTCCACTTGTGGTCGTCAACAGAGACTTCGGAAATCATTTCCTGGAAGGAGTCGTCACCGGTTCTCGTGTTAACCCATTGGATGCCCTTGGGTGAAAAGATGGAAAAGCCAGAGGACGATCCTGTGATTTGTTAGCTGAGAAACTGTTAGGACGAGTCAATGCGCAAGACGCACCAATATAGCGAGTCTCTCCGCTCTGGTTGGTAACGAGCGAGCACATCATTTCCGAGAGGGCCTCGACTTCCTCATGGCCTTCGTCGTCACTATCTTTCGCTCTCCTGTCTTCCGCGGACAGACCAGACTTGCGCTTATCTGCAGATTCTTTGCCGGGCGAAGTCATTGAGCTCCGGGGAGTACAGTTGTCGGCTTGTAAAGGGGAGACGGGCGGGCTATTTGAGCCGATGGCGAGGGAGGCTTGTCTCGACTTTTCTTGCAGCTTCTTTTCGAGGGCGCCCAGATCGGTGTCTGGGTCGTCATCATTCAAGACGCCTATGGCGAGGATGTGAGTTGATGCGGGTTCAACAGAGCACGGTTGTTGTGCGACTCCGTTAGACATACCTGACAAGCGGAGCAGCTGCTCCATGCGGCCGAGGCGGTTCTCGAGACCTTCGATATATTTGGCACTAGAGGTAGCGAGCTGGTCAGCTTCGAATTGGCACAAAAAGGACGTTCTTGGTGCGGGGGTTACCCTTTTGGGGGGCTGCGCTTCTTCTCGACCTGGGTAAAGGCGCAGTCGGTCTTGTATGTGGTGCAGTTTGTGCAAGCGGGGAGCTTGCCGTCGCACTTGATCTTCTTCTTGCGGCACATATCGCAGGCCTGTTTGATCGGCGCAAGTTGTTAGTCTACGACGGGCTGTATGTAATGTCTGGGCTGTGGCTGCAGCAGAGTTTGAAGAGAAACTTGCCCTAGAAATGCGGCGTCTCTTTGCGTCATTGGTGTCCTCCATGAGCAGCTGGGCATCAGAAAACATGTGAGCCGTCATGTCGGGGATGTGCGCCATGTTGGGCATGCCGTCCTGGGCGTAGGAACCAAAGATTTGGGGCGGCTGGTTCATCAATGGCGGGCCGGAGCCGGGCATTTGGAAGCCCATGTGGTCCATGGTGGGAGATGGACGGGCGCAGCGGACGAGGTTAGAAGTGAACAGTGCGCGGGTGAAGCGGCGAGGTAAGTGAGGCGACGATGGATGACGAAAGTGAATTTAGTATGAGAGCTGGCAGCAGCGGGGGTGGCGGTGGTGATGGAGATTGGACGTTTTTTGATCGTTTGCTCGAGGAGGGGAAGGGGGCGAGAAGCGCAGCAGTAGCGGCGAGGCTTCTGATCCAGGTAGGTTGCTGGTGGTGGTGGTGGTGGTGGTGGTGGTGTACGACCGGTCTATCGAACGGGATAGGTGTGATGTGGAGGAAAGGCTATCGAGAGGATCGGAGGACGGTAGTCATGTCGAAGAAAGCTTCTTCTGACTGGTTGCCTTGCGACTGGATAGATAGTGTGCTGTACGTATGTCAAGGGTATAAGAAGGAAAGAGGAGGAGGAGGAGGAAGAAGAGGAAGAGGCGAAGGTGTATGGATGGGGAAGATGATGGACGGAGGAGGAGGGCGGACAAGCCGGAGTTGGGGATCGAGGCGTCGGAGGCTCAATCAGAGGGGACTGGAAGCAGGCAAGCGGGTTGGGGGGGGGGTTTGTTTCTAACTAGGTACATTGGTAATATGAAAGTAGCTTTTCCGGTTATTCCAGGTAGGGAGGTACCTGCGTCAAAAGCATACCTCCTACGTCAGAACGTGCCTAACTAGTGAGCGCCCACCATCCGGGGAAGTCAGGCGCTGGAACAGCAGCAGAGCAAGACAGTGAGGTGCAGAGGGCTGGACAGTTTATGGCGCCACCAAAAAACAGAGTTTCCCGGGCGGGCCTGTCCCTTTTTTCCCTTTTTTCCCCCTTCTCTTATGTACCAGGCCAGGCAGAAGTGCCAAAGTGGCAGAGCCTACCTAGGTACCTACTTACTCCTCAACCTCCTCCGACGCGGCGGTACCCGTCCCAAAGTGTGGCCCCTCGGCTCACACCCTGATCCGAATGCGCTACTATAAACCACCTTCTTTCTTTGCGAGACGGAGCTTGTTGGTGTTGCGAAACCTCTCTCTCGCCCCTAGCTAGAAAAATGGTGGGGGAAAAGGCAGTTCGTTGGCAGCGCTGTCTGTGCTGCGTCTGGATATCTAGCACCCAATTGCCCCGTCTTTTTTTCTTTTTTTATATTCTTCTTTTTTTTTACCTTGTTCATCTCTTTAATTACTCAGCCTCTTTGCATAACCATGAACCATAATCAAACCCATGGTGACCGTCTTACTTGCCTTCATGCTATACCCCAACCCGTGGACGATAGATGCCCAACTGCACGAGGGGGCGGGGCAAGTCACCCATCGTTGAAACTCTCAACGGTAAAACCGGCCTTGTCGCGAGATTTCGGGGGGCGGAAATTCTGTTGCTGGTTTTGAAAAAAAAAAAAAAAAAAAAAAGGACTGATTAACTAGTACCTGATAAGTAATTCGACGTGTGCCCCCCTGCCCCTTCTCGTTTTGTTTCTCCATGACGAAATCCCCAGTGCACGATGCCATCATTCTGACCAGGGCTGGCAGACTTGCTCCTTGTTCTACTAGTATTAATACGTCAGGCATATAGTAAAGCAGACCAAATCTAGCTATAGGTATGTAGTTATTGCTTTTTGTCAATCAGTTCTATTTTCTATTCCAGTCGCGACCCCAGTTAGAAACCCCCACACTTAGCAGACCGGGCGGACTTTTGGCTGTGGCTGGTATCACAAAGTTGTGTGCCAGACATCCATCAAATATAACAATGGGTACATCTCATCTCATCCATACACGGGAATCACAAAAGGAAGCAAAACACAAGAAAATAAAGTCAAGCCGCCCATGTGCCTCATGCCTGGTCGAGTTGCCATCTCAAACCTTGCAATGTACACCCACCATCACGGCCCTTCCCTCCAACAGCGCCGTTGTGAGCATGAATCATCATGCAACGCATCCATCCGCTTTCCCGCAAGCTTGAACTGATCCGCAAGATATGTATCCGCGGCCTGTACAAATTACAGGAAGAGAGAAAACCACACACCGGCGCGCACAACACACACAAACACACACGCCATGCCCGCTGCCAAGCAATGTTGCATCAACCAGACCTGAACAAGAGACGCGGCTGGCGACTAGTCAATGCTGCCTCAGACACGGAACCAGAACCAGAGCCCAGTTCGTCTTCACCTGCGCTGATCCATCCATATTTTGCCTATTTTGCTGTTCAAGTCTGGAGTGGCCCGCCCCCAACAGCCGCTAATAATACCTCCAGTCGCAAAAAGCTGTCAGCCAACGTTCAATACGAGTACGGCAACGCATTCCCCTCATTTTCTTACATAGGTATGTACGGATAACTACTAGGTACCTATTTATTTCTCCGACCCAATAAATAGCGCGGCAGCTAGCCTGCCCTTCGGAAACGACTACTGGAAAGACGACTGGAAATCGTAGAAAATAGTCTCATTTCCTAGTGCGCTAACAGAAGCCGCTACCTACCTCTACACTAGAGATAACCATCATTCCCTTGCCTGTGATGCGCATTTGGAAACGCAGACGACTGAATCTCCCTCCACTCCCGAGTCGCAAGTATCGCCTCCTGCCTATCCGTATAATTTCAGCATTTCGTTTTCATTTATATTCAACCTATATTCTCTTTCATGTCGATGGAATCATTTTGACCTTCATCCTTGGCACTTCACTCTCTTAGCGTACTCTTGCACAAATGATTCCACATCAGAGCCTGCGCAAAAAACGCGCCCCTACTTCAGACGTTTCACCAGCGGCGCCCAGCCACCTTTTCCCGAACCCAACATCGCCAGCCCGTTCAATAACTCCCTAGGCTAGGTCGTCACGCATTTACTTGAACAAGTTTGAAACATGGCTGTGCAAAAAAGAATGAAATCTCCTGTTGATAACTTCAGCATTGTTCCAATCTTTGTTCCAACAACGGCACTCTGGTTCCTCTCATCTTGCGCTCGGTAGGCGAGAAAAGAAAGTCGTCCACCATCCCGATTCCCGAACACGTCTGAAACACATCCGAGTCAACACACGCCCAGAGTCACGTCAAACCCTTTTTGCTGAGTTCCTAGGTTTCTCTCCGATTGTCAGCAACAACGTCAAACCAAGCGATGGAAGACGAAAGAAGTACAGCCAAAAAAAAAAAGTCCGATTGCCATATAGTTTGCCGCCTGATACACTGATGACGGGATCAGGCTCCGCGCGCGGCTGCCTTGCCAAAAGCGATATCGACAACATGGCCCTTTCTGCATGAATGTTGGTCTCTAACAATCCACCCAATCTAGACATTGACAAGAGCCGCCAGCCCAATATCTCAAGCGGTAATTTCATTTTACAAATACTGTCGCACCAATTCTGTCATGTCGCGCAATATCGCCCTCATGTTCCACCGCTTCACTGCATCCGCGACACAAGACAATGAGTAAGGCAAATTTCTGCTCTTTATCGACTATGTAGTTGTTTTTTTTTCCTTTTCCCATGTCGCTGCTAGCCAAAATATACATTATATCAGAAACCGCAAACAATATCAGATACGAGACCTAGTATCGCTGCCTATACCCCCTTGGAAACGCCCGGTAAGCAATACTTTGAGAAGAAGACGCGTCCACAAGGGAGAAGAATGTCAAGTGACAAAGTCAGGACCTTTCCTGGCCTAGCAATATCCAACATTGTCCGCGCGGGAAGAAGGCGCTGGCCAAAGATACCACCAAAATATTGATAAATGTAGAAACCATATACAGGTTGAAGAAGAGAAGGGGGTGAAAATGGATACAGAGATGCTCGTGGTATAGTCGCTTTTCGAAATCAGTCATCATATGCTCTCCTGGAACCGTGAGCTGGATCCTCGCGTGCTACCACTAGATCCAGGGCGTCTGGGTGGCGAGTCGTTTTTTCCCATCGGCGGTGACGGAATTGGATCGGCAAACGGGTTGGCTTCCGTTACCGGTATGCGAGCGGGCCCCGACCGCATAATTGGCACGCCGCTTACTGGTCGCATAGGACTACCGAGTGCAAAAGGCTCCTCGCCACGATTGAAAGGCTCGGAGGATTGCGAATACTGGCTCATGGTGCTTTCACGCGGGTCCGAGTATCCATCACCGCCCGTGTAGAGAACAGACGGCAGCTTGCGGCCCGACACACGGTAGAAGCCTCGTTCGCCACTGCCAGGTACTTCAAGCGTATCGGAGGTGCCCCCAGCGATGCCCCTTGACTGATTCTTACTAGTCAAGGCCGCGAAAGCTGCGTTGACAGATGAGGAGGCCGCATTTCGCTCTCCCATGGGGTTGATAGCTGCGCCTGGGCCACGCGAAGCCGGGAGGGTTCGAGTATCTGCGCTGCTCGGTAGAGACTCACTGCCTCTCTTCTTCTTGTAACGCATAACAAGCATGACGAGCAAGGCCAGAAAGGCCACACCTGCAATGCTTCCCACGACTCCCCCAACGATTTGCTTTTGCTGAGTCGATAGCGGATCACTACCCGACGTGGACGAGGTGGAAGAAGTTTCAGCACTACCTGCGACCGTGGGGATAACCGTGGGAGAGTTCCAAGTCGGTGTCGAGCTGTATGTGGACGAAGACGAAGAAGATGAAGAATGGGAAGAGGTTGATGTGTTCGTATCCGTGTCGCTTGAAGTTGAAAAGAGGTCAAAGTCGGATTGCGTCGCAGTAGTATTGTAATTGAGAGACTGGGTCAGGGAAGTCGGTCGGATTGTGGAATTTGACGGAGTGCCGAACGAGGTTGCATTACCCCAGGCGGTTCCGTTGCTCGTATCCGACAAGGTGGGAAAGCTAGAGACGGACGAGGGAGGAATCGGAGCGGAACTGGGCTGCGACGAAGTCGAGGTCGTGTGGTGAGTCGAGGTTGTGGTAGATGGCGTGGATGATGAATCGCGTCCAAGACCCGGTAGAAGGCTGCTCGGGTTCACGGCAATGGTAAAGGCAGGGCCAGATTGTGACATGGTCTCGCCCGTGCTAGGGTCGACAACGACGGTATTAGGGGTGGCATATTCGGTAGAAGTCGATATTGGCGAGCCAGAGTTGTCGACTACTTGGACGATAGAAATAGTCTGAACGACCTGGGTGACGTAAGTTGAGGAGGCATCGTCAGCGCGGGCAGCAAGAGCAGCGTCCACGGCGGCGGCGAGGGAACGGGCATCCAGCGACGAGGAATCGCTGGCTGCGTGGTCGTCTTGGGTGGCAGATTCGGGCGGTTGAAAAGGGTTGTGTGGGTGCCCTTCGTCGCGGCGACTGTCGTGGCTGGCGTCTTGGTGGCGGGTATGGTCATGCGTATGCGGGTAGTGAGCGTGGCGATGGTCCTGTAAATGGACGGCAGAACGAGCGTGGGAATCCGAAGCAGAGGATGGCAGAGGATGGACAGAATGGGAATCACGGGCCTGAAGGAGTGAAGACCCGTGAGGATGGTTAGTCATGATGGCGACTCGTCAGAGGGCGGCGCAGCGGTGGCCAAAGTGGTCGTATTCACTGGCGACTGCGGGGGCTCTTGGCTGACGACGGACGGAGTGTTTCTATTTTTCGACACGCGGCTGGGGCATCATGATCTAAACCAGGCGGAGTCTTGACGTCGAAGTGTGAGAGCTGTGCTAAACTAGGCTCTGCAGCTAGCCACGAAGACGCAACGCAGTCTGCCTTGGAAGTGGAAGCGACCGAAAAAAAAAAGTTGTAAATAGCTTTGCGTAAGCCCAATGAGGGTTTCCTGTCCCGTATTGCGATGGATTTGCAGCCGAGTCGTGCGTGCGTGTTTTTGGGGGTGGTAGTACTGGTTGGCCACTAGTTGAAACGGATCGCTGGTCGGATAAAGGAAAAACGGCTGTCGAGAAGAAGAAAATAAAATAAAATAAAATAAAAGAGCGAATGGCGACGAAAATGAGGTATACCTAGTAGTGAACCAACAACGTCAATGGCATAATAAGCATGACGAGCGAACCCGGACGCGCAAGGTCGAGATGAGGCTGAGGAAGAGGAAAAGAGGAAGAAGGGAAGCTGGCGACAAGGAGAGGTGGAAAGACTCTGGCTGATGGCCGGGCAGTTGGGCGCAGGTACTGGAGGTGTGAGCGCCAAAAGGCGAACCTGGAGGGCAACGGGTGCGGGTATTCGATGCGGGTACGGATATTCAGTGCGGGTGAGGTACCTACCAGTGGACCACTGAGAGGGCGAGGCTGCAGGTCATACATTAGTAGGCTAGTACCTGGTCGTTTGCACAGCACGGTACCTGCTTGATGGTGCAGTGGGCTGACCGACCACTGGATGGAACGGGGAGGTGCTGCACGGGCCTTTGAGTAAATTAATTATCTCTGGCGCATTTATCATTCCGTTATTACTCTCGTCTTTTTGTTTGCCCAGTCTGGCTCTTTGTCTTTGGCCTCTACTCTGACGCTTGCAAACAATGTGCTTTCCTTCCCTCATTTCCTGGAGACCCAGTGACGGCTGTAATAAAAGAAAAGAAAAAAATGTACCCATCCTGTTCATCTGTTAATATTAGCAGACGAGTGGTGCAGGGGTTACCGCCAATAAAAGCCGGCCGGGCCACGATGGCCTGCGAAACAAGCCTAGCGTTGAATGCCAAGCGAATCAATACGGGCTGCCCAGGGTGCCCAATTGCTCACACTTCGTGTGCTCTTTTATTAGTGCTTCGGTATCCATCTCGATGCCCTTTTCTGAAACCCTCTGTTATCCCTTTCCCTTCCCTGCCTCTCATCTGCCTGCCCGAGCACATTGACGTGCCGAGAGATCTGCAACACCACAAACAGCCATCGACGGTTCGTTTCTCACTTCAATGCAAGTGAAGCCCAGCCCCTAATATCAAACCCACATTCCAATACCTAACTACCACAACACATTATAGTTATTCAACATTCCTACCTATTGACAAGCGTTATTAGTACTGACCTTCCCCCCCCCCCCCCCTCCGCCCTCTTATTATATCCATCTACCAATAAAGGCTCGCAACACCTTGGTACCAACATCCAGATGCTTGCTTTACCCTTCAATTTGCGGTTTCCCTAGTCTGCGCTATGATTATCTCGTATAGTTCTTGCGAATATCCTTTTCGCACCTATCCTTCGCCTCTTTAAACTCGCCGTCGATCCAGCCAGTTCCCCATCTGTTCCGCGCGTCAAAGCCTCGGCATACATAGCATAACTTCGTAGGTAGGTAGTACTATGGTTTATTACTAAACAGCTGTAACTACCTACCTCTTAGTAAACCTGTACTTCCCTGGTTGTTCATCACCAGCTGCTAGCTGCCCGTACCTCCCAAGTACGACCTAGCCACATACATCCCTCCGTTTGCCAGCTCTGTGCCACACAATTACTCAGCCACTCTTTGCCTTGGTCCGGTGGGCAACGTCGCTGACTTGCACAGAAATCGACGAGATGGACCACTACCTACCACAGCATAATCAACCTCTCCGTTGCAGTCCAAGTCTTCATTAGTACAGTGCCCTCTTCAGACTCCATTTTCTCTTCCTTCAAACGTTGCCAATAAAACATCACGAGTCGGCCTGAGACGCGAGCCTGGTGGGGGCGGCACGTTGATTCTAGCGCCCTTCTATCCTTGGCTACGCCCAATATCATCGTCAACATCCCGGCCAGCAATACGCTCGACCGATAGGGGCATCCCTCGCCATGTCGCAGTAGCATTACAGTGCCAACAAATATACATCCATCTCGACTTCGACAAGTCTGCGCCCAAAATGGCGACACCTCCTCCCTTGCCACCCCGAACGCTACCTGCAATGTCCACATCACCTCCATCCCCGCCTCAATTTCAAGATGCTGGCCTCCTAGCCACTTCACTTGTTGGAATCGGGTATTCCACCAATCTGCATGCTTCGGATCCCCGAACCTCATCGTCTCAGTCACTGATAGCACCTGCTCATCCGTCTGATACCAGACGCTCGTTGCTCATCATATACATTCATGGCTTTTACGGCAATGACCAATCTTTTAGGTCTTTCCCAGCACATGCACATGCTTTCCTCACCGAGCTTCTCTCTGAAACTCATATTGTTCATTCGAAAATATACCCCCGCTATAAAACCTACAAAGCTATTCAAGTTGCAAGGGACAACTTTAGTGCCTGGCTTGAACCACACGAGTCGACTACCACTGATGTCATCCTTGTTGGCCACTCCATGGGAGGCTTGCTGGCTGCTGAGGTTGTTTTAATGGTAATGCTTGTATACCTACACTGTTTTCGAACCAAGCTAATGAGTTCCACCTAGCCTAATCACGATCCAAATCTCCATCAACCATTCAAGCACCGCATACTGGGTACCTTGTCTTTGGATTCACCGTTTCTCGGCCTACACCCCGGAATTGTTGTATCCGGCCTGTCGAGCCTCTTCCAACCTGCGCCACAACCTGAAAAAGAGACTGTAGGATCAGCGTCTGAGTCCTCGCTGAGCGTGGACCCGTCAACGAGCGACTTTCTGCTGCCACTATCTGATACCACCTCCAGCGCGTCTGTAACATCACCACCACCAACCCAGACGAATGAGCTATACGACCCACCGTTTTTCAACGACGTTCCCTTTAGAGAGAAACCGCTCTTCTCAAGACTACGAAATTTCGCCTCGAAGCACAGAGCCGAAGGCATATTCAATGCTCTAGGCAACCACATTGTATCTCATCTGGAATTTGGTGGCTGTATGGCCGACTATCCAGAACTCTCGTCACGTTATAAACGAATCCGGGCTCTGGAGGATGTGGATGAGCTCAAAGCCATATCCGAAGGCCATCCAGCCGCAGCACACAGACGTGTTCGGTTTGTCAATTACTACACCTTGTCGCCAGGTCGTCCAAAGCCGTCGCCCCAAATGGTTGGGCTGAGAGTTGACAGCCCATCGTCCTCAACTCTGAGCTTGAACCAGCCGGAAACCGATAGCAAGGAACCCGGGGAACCCAAAACAGAAATAGAATCGAACCCCATTCAAGAGACTCAACAGCCACCACATCTGACACAGGCAGTAAGTATTGCTAGCTCTGATGGAGAAGATCTTTACGAAGCGGATGAGCCGAAGCCCGGACTAGACGGAAAACCAAATGCCGAGACACTGTCCAAGTACAACGACGTAGACGACGAGGACATTTCCGAACATGAACGCCGCATGTCTATGCTGCACCTCGACCCTACCCCGATGATGGAAGAAACGGACGAGGCCCCCATGGCATCCGAGGGGGCTAGCATGCCACCAACCGGCGAAATCCAGCCAAGCTTTGACCTCGCCCCTATCCCACCTATGCCCGAAGAGCCAACGGTCCATGACTTGACAAAGTACACGGACAAGGATGCCCGCAAGCAAGCAGAAAAGGAAGCCAAGCGAGAGCAAAAGGCGTACCAGCAGGCCATCAAGGACCGCAACAAGGCCATCCGCGAACGCGAAAAGCTCCTCGAGAAGCGTCGCAAAAAGTCCGAAAAGGAGGCCCAGCGGCTCGAAAAGGAATCAATCCGCGAGGCGCAGGAGCTGGCCAGGCAGAGAGACGAGGCCGCCGCGGCCGCCCGCGCCGAACACGCGGCTGCAGACGCCGCCGCCGCAACAGCAGCCCCCGGGACATCACCACCACCTCAACACCCGCCGCCGCCGCAGCAGCAGCAGCAGCCCAAGAAGCTACGCAAGTTTTGCGCGCTGCCCCGGCGCGACGACGCCACGTGGGTCGACATTTACATGGCGGACGTGGACGAGGTTGGCGCCCACTGCGGACTGTTTACGCCGGGCGCGCACTACGACAAGCTCGTGGGCGACGTGGGCACCCGCATCATGGCGTGGGTGCACGAGGACCTGTCGACGAGGGCGGCCCTGGACATGTAGTGACGCCTGGGTTCCCCGTCCCTTTTTGCCGCGTACAATCGATCACCAAACGATGGCCTCGTCGTAGCCAAACAAAATCTACAACAGTCCTGCATCATCGTCCAGGTAGAACTCACGTCAGGTCTCATTGTGGACCATACTGCCCCTTTCTTGCAGCCTCCACGCTAGATCCATCATTCAGACGCATCGCCATCTCCCGGTTTGATGGCCGTGTTACTGGCAGCAGCCTCCATAGGAGAAACAAGGAGGAGGATACATGTGTAGAACCCCATCTCGGAATACATCGGTATGGCGGGGGCACCTGTGAGGAGGCTCACACATTGATGTTGGGCTTGGTGCTGGTCAAGTCACCAACATGGCCAACGTACTGGACTTGTAAGACGTTAATCAATGCCATACTTTCATTTCCAGTGTACATATATACAGTCGAAAAATGGAACTGCAATCTTGTGTTGGGTCATATATACAAACAAAAAAGTAGCAAGCCATCTCTATTTTTTCTTCTTGCATTGTTTTTATGCGCCGGCTCCCAATGCAGTTGCGACAATGAACAAAACAAAATAACAACGCTCTTGGTCTTCTTCTCCTTTTTTGCCTTTATACATTTCTGCTTCAGTAAAGGTCAAGCTCTCGCATCTTGGTCTCGAGGCTCTTCTTCTCCCCCCCAGAGACGGAGGCTACGCCCTCGAGGGTAGCCTCCTCGCCATCCTCTTCATTATTGCATTCCTTCATGTTCAGTTCCGTCGAGCCAAAGCATACAATGCCCAATCGCACGAGCGACTGTTCTGCCTGCCATTCTTTTGGTGCGCACAAGAGCGCGGCAACGGAGTGCTCTGCCAAAGTCTCCGGCGTCTTCGTTTCTGGACTCGTCTCAGCGGGACGCCAGTTTCTTCCTGTGAGAAGCATGGCCGTGACCGGAAACTCCTCATCTGAAATCTCCGAGGCTACGCTGGGGTCGATGTTTGCGGGGGTGTGGGAGGAGCGGACCAGTAAAAGGATGGTGTCTCGTGCTGCCTGGTCCAATACATCAGCAGGCTCAGTCACCTGCCACTCGTCGCCTTTTTTAGTAACTTTGATGTCAAAGCAAAATGTCTTGATGCGAAGGAAGGTGATGGGCTCCGCACGGCGTGAAATCGCGACACCATCAATTTCCCACGAAACCAACAGGCCATCCGCAAAACCCACGGAAATCTCCATGCGAGGAGGCGAGCATAGGCCATCAGCCACGGGTAGGTGTTGGTCAGCTGTCTGGGGTATGTGGAACGAACGGCCGCTTTGTGAAATGGGCTGGCCCTCTCGGATACGCCAAGACAGCCAGGTCCAAGACGGAAAGGGGGCAGTCTTGTCAAGATAGCATGGCTCCAGATCGCTATTTGCCTCTTGGCTCGACGAGACCACTCGGCCAGACCACGTCCAGCTCATCGCGATAGCCAGACGATCAGTTTGGCTAACAACCTTTAGATTGGTAAAAGAATCAGGATCAAAAAGCGGCAAGCCCATAAAGGTATCGACACGAGCTTTGTCTCTTGCCGCATACGCTCGAGAGAGCCCACGAAAAGCGTCTAAGCGATCCTGCGACCTTGAAAGCTCACGAGTCATATATGTTCCTATCAGATTTCGGATATCGGCACTGGCAATGCCGTCTAGGGGAAATATGCGTCCCAGTGTAAAGCTTGGAGCGAGACGCAACGGTATGCTGATGCTCTCATGGCAGTGAAGAGCACCGCACTGAAAATAAGCCTGGGAGGGCGTCAGGACAAGGCGCCGTCGTGCCAGGAGACCTTCCTGGAGCGTCCAGGCATTGTGTGCCCATCGAGAGGCAGCAACTTCAACATCAGGACGCAGGAGGGAAGTTGTGAATAGACCACTCTCATTCTGGAGCGAAAGCTGGTCCTGGTCACGGGAAACACTTATGCCAGGGATGCCGTGGGTGATGCTGTCCCCAGCTGCCACGACCAGTGTCAACGCGGAGCCCGCGAAAACTTGTCCGACTAAATCCAGCTGTTGCCTTCGTTCCATTTTATGTTCACGTGGGGGTAGGCAATAGTGATCGATCCATAGATAGCGATATCCCAACGACAAGGCTAGTGAAATCGAGTCTTCAAATAATGCCGGCAGAGGTTTGGGTAGTGTAGTAGACTCAGAAAACGACTCTAGCTCTGAGTCTCCGAGTGCGTAGCTGAGTGTAACGTATTCATACCTTTCCGCCCCTAGTTCCGTCGCTAGAAGGATTTTGCGGCTCTCCATGTCAATGAGTTTTAAAGGTGCTTTACCCAGAGCAGCTACCTTTGCAGCACAGCGCTCGTCGGCGTGGTTCTCTTTGCAGTAGTCGATCCAGCAGCGTGGCAAAGACGGATCGAGAGACGCAGGCACGGAGCGGCCTCGTAATAGGTTGGAAGGCGGCAGATGTGACGAGGGCTGGCTGGATTGTGTCCCTGTCTCACTGCTCGCTCCGTCTTCTCGAGAGGACTCGAGATATCCGTCGACGCCAGTTTCATCGTCTGCGGCGCGCAGGATGTAGCCGCGGGGTAGTGACTTATTCTTGGTCGTGACTTCGAATAGGACGGCCCTACCGAGCTCATGCTTTTGGCTGATGCCGAGTCGCTCGAAGGCGTGTCTGACGCGAAAGTATGGCGTAAAGGTGCTAGTGCCGGCCAGTTGATGCGCCTCTGTGTCTGAGGCATTCAGAGAATCAGCAGTGGAAGGTTCCGCCCCATCAGGGCCGGCGCCGGGGACATGGCCAACCATGGCTTGGAAAAAGGTACAGTAAGGGCAGTTGGAGTTGTCCTTGAGAGTGTGAGCGAGCGGCACCCATGGTCTGGCCTCGCCAGGTTTCCAATCAAGCAGTCTCGGGAATCCAATCGCCGCACAAGGCTCACATATGAGCTGGGTTTTGTGGGCAGCAGCACTTCCATGGGGAGCAGCAGCGACGGCCGGCTCGGCACCTGACAGCGCCGGTGCATTCCCGTTTTCCTTGCCGTTGGCATGCGCGTTTCCAGTCACCGCAGCCGGCCCATTTCCGTGCTCCTGGATGGTACCATTCTTCCCATCAGATGGTACCCCGGCGACGATGCGACTGGCGCCGGTCCTGGTGGGCTTCTTGATCGGGATGCCCTTGCGCGGGGTGAGCTGGTGGTGGTCGCGCGCGCTCTCGAGTGGCGGACCAGCCAGGCCCTTTGGCTTGCCAGAGCTATTCTCTCCACGGCCCTGTAGGCGCCGGGGCAGGATCTTGGTGAATTTTTTCATATATCTGGAGAATGTCCAGGGGGTGGGCTCTGATCCTCCCACACCCCTTGCCGCTTCTTTCGATGCTCTCCGGCGCGTCGTCTGGACGTCTGGTCCCCTTTTTGTGTTGCACTATCCGGCTTTGTCACTCCTTCGGTGTTTTAAAAGGGCTGTGCCGTCCCTGGTTGAGAATTCAAGGTGTATGAGCGACTGTCATTTTTTCTACTTTATTTTCCGACGAAACCGCAGAGTCTGATGAGCTGAAAAGGGGCGCAAGAGGCGTTTGTTGTGTTGGGGAAGAAAAAAAGAGCTTGAGCGGGTGAGTTGAGTGGGTGACGACGTATGGGCAAAATAATAAGTAATAGGTACCAACGAATGAATTCCTCTGTAGGTACAAATTAGGTACATCAAGTACACTAGCCAACTACGGATTGCGCCTTGTACCTTTGAGGAAGCTTTCCCCACGGAAGAAGGCGCACAGAGAGGTACCGGAGCAGCTGTCTGGCGGCAAGAGCGCGCGTGTAGTTGAGAGCAAAGCAACAACAGTGCGATTGTGATTTCTGCGTCATGTCCGGATACATTGTCTGCTTTCCCGAGGCAGCAACGAATGTACTGGTTGTTGACAGAGTCTGGCCGCGAAAACATGGCCGTCTCAAGATCCAAAATCACGGTCCGTCTACTCCGTAGTGTCCAAGGGATTTACTTACAGCCCAGCCTAATGAACAACCGTTGCATTCTCCACCCGGTTCCCGGTTCCTTTCCCTTCCCTCGGTCGCGCTCTGGCTCCGCCGAGGGGTGGACGGGACTATCGAGTTGCCAAGCAAGGTAAGGGTACGGAGAGCATCAGTCAAACTGGGAATACCAGCGGTGCTCGGCAGCTTGCTCCTTTGCTCTCTCTCTCTCTC